TCGATCCTTTTTGACTTCGGTAAGATATTCGCTTGCTCCTTCGCAGCGTTTTCTTTACCCGTGACCTTTGCCACTTCGCACATTAAACCCTTCTCTTGTGCGTTCTCGTGACCTTTTATCACTTGCGCAATAACTTCGTATTGTGACCTTTCATTGCGCACATCTTTGGACGGTTTTTCTTGCAACTTTGCCATTATCTCTTGCGTAATTTCATCCGCAAAGGTCATCTCGTCATCTTCATTCTTTTTCTCTGGTGACCTTTCGTACACAACCATCTTATGGTCGTTTTCTTTCATCCAATCGGTAATTTTCTTCGCAATTTCGTTATTCGTGCGAGTTGGATCGATTTGAGATGACAATCCGTCAGTTCTTGGCGGTGACCTTTCGTTGTCATTCCGGATTGCTTCTGTCATGTCATATGACTTCTCCTTTTGCGGAGTTTGCGCTAAGTCCGGTGACCTTTCCGGTCTTGACATGAAAAATCCACCATTTAGTGACCTTTGTAAAGGTACTTTCTCGCCATACTGAGGCGGTAGTTCACCCTTCTCAATCCGCTCTCGAAACTGACGGTTATTTTCGTCGCATTGGACTTTCTCTTCCCAGTACTCTTGTACTTTCGGTTGTGAAGCTTTAACCGTTTCCTCGAGATGCTTTCTCATCCGCCAGTCTTGTTTCTCTCTTTCTTCCCAGTAAGCTTCTCTGGAGATTCTCACATCTTGCGGTGACCTTTGTGGCGGAGGAACTGGTTTCCACATACCGTGCCGTCCATTCGGCCTGTAAGCGACTTTTTGCCACTCCATCTTCTGTTGTAGAGTGTTTGCCTCATCGAGAGAGTCATCTGAGACTTGCTGTGCCCCTTCGCTCTGTTTCACTGTTTGCTGCGCCATTCGCAGAGTCAAGTTACTTTCTTGACCTTTCGGTTCATCGGCGACTTCACCGTGACCTTTCTCTTTCAGTGACTCTTGAGTCTGCTGCACTGGCAATCTCTCGTGACCTTTCACTTCTTCAACTCTCGCTTGAGGTGACCTTTCGGTCTCTTGCGCTCCTTGCGCAGTCACGGCCCTTCTGTGATCTTCCTCGGCAGCTCTTGCTTGAAATACTTTTGCCATCTGCTCAAGGAATTTCGGTCTATCTGGACCGCCTTCGTGCGTTCGTTGCACGGTTACGGTCATTCCGTCAAATTCAAACGTATTTTCGACGAACTTTCGGAATCTCGCGTGATGTGTTTCATCATCCTCTTCGCTTGAGATTTCCGCTTGCGTCTTTCGCAGAGTAGCTTCACTCTTCCTCGCGGTTGCTTTCCGCGGTGACCTTTGGGTCTGCTGTCCTTGCAGCGTCACGTTACTTTCGTGACCTTTGCTCGCAGTTACTTTCTGCGGTGACCTTTGGGTCTGCTGTCCTTGCAGCGTCACGTTACTTTCGTGACTTTCTTGATTTGCAGTTACTTTCTGCTGTCCCGGATGCAGAGTTGAGGCCCTTCCGTCAACCCTGTTCCCCGCAGTTACTTTCTGCGGTGACCTTTCGGTCGGCCCCGGTTGAGTCAAGTTACTTTCTTGACTTCCCGCAGTTACTTTCTGCGGTGACCTTTCGGTCAAATTCTTCCGTCCTTGCGGCAATCTTTTTAAACCCTTCTCTTGACCTTTACGAGCCCCTTCGCTCGATTTCGAGTTACTTTCTCGAATCCTCGGATTTCTTTTCCGGGTCTTTGCGTTACTTTCGCAGCATCCCTTTCTCGCTGCGGTCCTTGCCTGCAGCGGAGCACCTTGCTCCTCTATATCCGGTGGTTTCGGTTCCGGACGATCAGTAGGCTCACCGGCGCCTACTGACCTTGGACGTTTCCCTGGGCCATTCCTGAACCGGCGCACCTTGCGCCTGACCGGCACCATTCGCCGGGGCGAAGTTAAAACCTCCGCCTTGCTGACCGAAACCGTTCTGGTTCCCACCGACGAAGCCGCCTTGCTGCCCGCCGAAGTCGCCCTGGCCACCTTGACCGGCGAAATTGCCCTGGCCACCTTGACCGGCAAAATTCTGGCCACCTTGACCACCATTATTCCACTGGCCTCCTTGACCAGCACCGTTCCATTGGCCACCTTGACCACCACCATTCCATTGGCCACCGCCGTAATTTCCGCGATTGCCGCCGCGGCCTCTGCCTCTACCTCGGAAGCCGCCTCTAACCGGGCCATATCCGCCATTTCCTCCACCTTGGCCACCTTGACCGGCGAAGTTGCCTTGGCCTCCGAAGTTATCCTGGCCGCCTTGACCTCCGTTGTTCCACTGGCCACCTTGACCAGCGAAATTCCCTTGGCCGCCAAAATTGCCCTGGCCTCCTTGATTGTTGTAGTTGGCCTGGCCACCTTGACCGGCGAAGTTCCCTTGGCCACCTTGACCAGCATACCGTCCGCCTTGGCGTGATTGTGGCACATATCCGTTTGCCATTGCGTTGCGCCATCCGCCATGATTGTTACGCAGCATCAACCATTCTTCATACACGACCCGGTTGGGGTTCTGATTCCACGGTGTTCCCGCGAACGAACACGCTTGTGTGTAGTGGTTGCCGTACATGCAGTTCTGGCATGTCAGCGCGTTATTGGCCACCCATCCGTCGATCATGGTGAACAGGCGCTCTACTCGCGACCCGTATCGTGGTCCTTGATTTCCTTGTCCACGGTTCGGTCGGAAGTTTCCTTGATTTCCTCCGCCACCGTTGAATCCCTGGCCAGCAAAGCCCGGGTTCGCCTGAGCCATTCCTTGACCACCGAGCCCTCCATTCAGGGCATTTCTTTGCACGTTTCCTTGTGGGTTCTGTTTCGGCCTTGCTGCTTGCTGAGCTGATGCTTGGATCGCCGCGATCGCAGGCTTGGTTACTTCTTGGACGGCCGTTTGGATCGCCGCGATCGTCGCGTACGATACCTGACCTTCATTTCGACCGTTGCCAAAGGTCATCTCTTGAGTGCCTAACGGCGGGAATTCTGTATTGTATCCTGGCGCCTGCGCCGAGCACGACTGGTTCTGTCGCCCATTCGCGACTTCTTCGATCTGGCCCGATCGGATGATCACGCAATCATCTTGGACTCGGTTGCCTCTCGTGACCTTATACTTTTCTTCGCCAGTCGACCAGGTGCGGAAGAATTCCTTGATATCCATTGGGTTATGGAATTTCTGTGCTCGGAGTGCCTTATAAAGGTCACTGTCGTTCTTACATCCTTGAATTAGGAACCCGATGGCCTGCTTCTCTGTAATGATCCGTTTCGATTTGAAGCGCATGATCGCCTGATAGAATTGATCAAGCGTTTCTTTGCCGGCCTCAAACTTTCTTGTCATAGCTTCCCTTAAGGCGTTGACCCCTTCGTCACGATCGCCAAAATGTTCTTTGAACTTTGTCATCCATTCATCGACGGTTAACTCTTCCGCCTCTTCTTCGTCATCGATTTCTCTTTCCGCGTCAAACCATGCCTTCGCGTCCCCTTTGACTGCGTTGGCGACTTCCAGCATCATTGCTGCATCCGAAAGGTCATACGTCTTCTGAGTCTCCTTGACCTGACGGATCCAACCAAGTAAAGCTTCTCGGTTGCCGTTGTAGTCGATCAACGCGGATTTCCGGGCCATGGCTCTCATGTAACCTCTGAATTCCCGTTCTTCGCGACGGAGTCGCTGTGCTTCAGCGTGGTATTCCGCGCGGTATTCTCTTTCTCGCCTCTCCTCTTCACGAGCTACCCTTTCCTGCTCGTTTTGGCGAACTCGTGGATCTTCATGATTGTCTGGCTGATGGTCAGATTTGTAGACGATTGTTTCCTCGGTCCTGTTTCTTGTTGCCGAGGATTGACCCCACCGATCGGTCCTGAGTGCCCCTTCGCCAACTCAGTATCGTCGGTGACCTTTTCAGCTTTGACCTTATCTTCATCACGGCCGTCGCTTCGGCCAGTCCCCGTCTTTAAGGGAGCTTGGAAATGGAAGCTACCTTCGACGGTGTGGACTTCGCCATATCCGGGGGGTGGAGATTCGATCCTTTCCGGCTGTTTTGGCTCTCCTTCCTTTTGTTTTGCCGACCGTTTTAAAGCTTTAATTTCTTCCTCTCTTTGTTTGACTGCCTGCTGCAGCTGCTTTACGGTTTCGTTTGCGTCTTTCCTGAGCTTCTCATAATCGTTGTTTGCTTCGGTGACCTTTCTCATTTGCTCGAGGATTGTACTTGCTCGGTTATCGAGAGTCTTATCGAGATCCATTTTTGCTGCTTTTAGGATCTCAGCTTCTGCTTCCAACCGTGTGATACGATCCGCTCTGTCTGCGAGGGTCCTTCCTCTCGCTTCGCATTCCTCTTCAACTGTCTTGAATTTATCATCCTTTTCCATTATTGTAGTGGCCAATTCGACAAGTTCATCGCTCAATTTGGCGATCTCTTCTTTTTGTCTTTCATTCTCTTGCTGCCCTTCTCTATTTGCGACCTCTAGCACGGTGACCCGTTCGTCACGCTGTTGTGCTACGGTCAACCACTTCTTTGCTTCTTTCTTTTGGTTCTCGACTTCATCATTGAGTCGCTTGAATTCCGTTTTCGTCTTTTCCGCCAGTTCAAGGAGCCTTTTTGCTGCTTGATCTCTCTGGCTCTCTGCTTCGGTTTGTTTGTTTTTCTCTCTTTAATTCTGTTTGTAACGTGTTGACAAGTTCTTCACGTAGTTTAAGGTCATCCTTCAGTTTCGAGATATCAGCCGTCAGGCTGGTGACCTTTCCGGTGAACTTTGTCGCATTTGACAGCGATTCATCGCGTTTCTTCTCGGCCTCCTTGACCTTTGACTGTAAAAGGTCACGCTCCTTTTTCAGTTCCGCTATTTCTCGTGACCTTTCAGCTGCTTCCTCGGACAACCCGTAGTCTTCTGCGGTGAGCATACCTTCCGCGTCTCGATCTTCGACCATTTTCCTTAGATCTTCCGCAGCTTTTTTCTGACCTTCGAATCTGACTCTCCATTGTTGTGCTTCGTCTTCGAACGTGACCTTTTCTTGTTCCATCACGTACAGTCTGGCTTCGACTTCATAGTTTTATTGCGTTGGTCTCGTATCGCGGCAAAAGCTTGCGCTTCCTTCTCGTCAAGTAGCTGTTCCAGCTCCTTGACACGCTGCTTTAATCCATTCATTACGGATGTTTTTGGTGATGGTGACCTTTGATCCCGTTCGTCAGTCCTTCCTGGCGCCGTCCCCTCAAAGGTCTCTTCTAGCTTTTCATTTAAGGTCATCTCTGCCAAATCAGCTTGCTTCATTGCAGTGTGGAAGGACATCTGAACCGTCGTTTCGTCCTCATCGTCAGTGTAAAACTTGTCACTTGACATGGGGCTGGTACCATTCTCTTTCATCTCTTCTTGTAAGAACAATGAGTTATCCGAAAGGTCGTCCTGTTTGACCTTTCCTTCGTCAATCAGCTCGTTGCTGCTGACGGCGCCACCACCTTCGGTGACCTTTTGACTGACTTCGTCACTTCCCTTCTCAACTTGATCCGCGTTTTCCTCCTTGACCTTTTCGGCCGACCGTGCCATTCCTCCGGTCTCGGCCTTCAGGTCATCTTTGTTCTGTCCATCTGAAACCATTCTCTCGTCGGTGACCTTTGACTGGTCTACCGTGTTATCTCCGACATGTCGCTCAGGAGCTTTTCCATTTCCGTCACTCGAGCTTTCCTTCTGGGTTTCCCTCAGAGCCGTTTGATATGTGGCTTCTGAGCCTCTGGTGTCCTTCCTCCCAAAGGTCTTCTGAGCTCGAGTTGCTCTTTCATGTTCCACTGGCCGTGTGAACGGCTTTAGTTTCCGTTCGTAAGGGTTTTCTAACCCCTGAGACCGTTCTCTCTGACTGCTCGATGAGACCGGTTCATTACCGTCTGTGTCTTGGTCCATATCTTTGGCTACCGTTGATGATCGGATAACTTGGACGATGCTAATAATGTTTCTGACACGTGTGTTAGTTTAGCTACGTAAGCCCCTTTACACGTAAACAGAAACAGTTGCTGTCCTAAAGGTCACCTTCTCTTCTGTATCAGCTCAACTTTATTAAAGGTCACTCTGCCTCCAAAAGAGCTAAGTCTTTTCTAAAGGTCACTTCCACTGTTTCAGCCTAATAGCTTACTCCGTCACGTTAAAGGTCACTTTTCCTTCAGAACTTTTTCTGTTTAAAGGTCACTATCAACTTCGGTCTAGAACGTCTAACCTTGGAATATTTTTCGATTTTATTGAGAAATCAACTTAGATTTCCTCAGAATAAACGTTATTTATTCAGCTTTCAACTTTTATTAAAGGTCATCATTCTCGTCAAAATTTCTGGTAAAGGTCAACTTCTCGTCAGTCAGTTCAGAAAATTTTCTTAGCTAGCTACGTCACGATCTTGAGTGCCGTGCGCAAAAACTCCGCCTCCTTACGAAATCTCAGCTTCTAATTGGCTGATTTCCTAGCTAACTTTAGCTACGCTACTGCGCCAATCACAGTGCGAATAGTCGACCAATCAGAAACGTTGTTTTTCAATTTATAAGGCAGAGTGACGTCACGACCAAAATCGAAAATTTTTGCTAGCGCGCCGTGCGCAAAAGTACCGCCTACTTTTCTGCTCAGCTCAGAACCGACGAATGAAAATTGAGGATTCTACCTATCTACCAATGGTAAAATTAATAAACGAAAATCTAACCTGATCGTTTCCGTGATCCAGAAATCGATCCCGCTCGGCCTTCCGCGAATCCTCCAATCCTCCAGCGATTTAGCTGACTTCTCCTGGGCCAGCCGATAACCCCTTCTGCTTCGTATCAGCAGGACGCAGCGGTGCGTCGACCAAATGACTTGCTGGCTGCGGGTCTTCTGTCGCGCCTTGACGTTAGCAACGACAGGGGCGCTCGACCTCCTTTTGGGAGAGCGCGTATAATGTGTGCGCTCTACTCAGTAGAGACGCACCTGAAAACTTCCACACCCGACAGCCAAAAGTGGCTTGCCCACTCGTGCCCCCCTTCGGGCTTCTGCCTCTTGCGGCGATCTTTTCTCGGCGCTTGTGCCCCTCCAATCAAAGCTACTTCAGTAGCCTTGATCGCGTCAGGTCAGTACAGCGTGCTCTACTCAGTAGAGACACACTGGTGCTGATCTGCTGTCGAGATCCAAACGCTCCTTCGCCACCGATCCGTACGCGAGCCCTTTCTCGCGGAAACTTCTTCCACACCTCGTCAATTGGACGGGAAAACTCTCAGATTATCCTGGAGAAACACGACTCTTGCTACCATGAAAGCGTGGACCCAATGAAGGTTCACGCGTAGGAACAGAATTGACGGAATTCTGCCTACCAAAAAGCCTAGCAATGCTATAAATGCGCCTACGCTACGGAAAGCGAGAAACGGCGTGATTGCTAGGAATTTATAAAACAGACTAAATTCGATAGAATTTCCTCATGGACAACTTCGCATTGCTGACTGCAGCAAGCGTGAGAAATGCGCACGTAGCCGCCACACAGTGCGGGTGCGTGCAGAACAACATGTCTTCCGCCACGCGTAAGGCGGGCGTGCAGCAAAACACAACAGACTGCCAAGCGAGGGTGTACGCATGTACGCCTGCGCTCACACTACGGTAAATCGTAAAACGTAACGCATCATTATCTTCTTGTCTGCGGAAATCATAATCATTAGTTTTGTCTTCCACTATCGATAAATTGTGAATATCTTCCACTATCGTAAAATTAATGGCTTCCATGTAACTAATTTTTTTAAATGCAAATGCATCCTATTCTTAAGGTGATAGACTGGTTTGTGACATGCCAATCTTTATGGCAGCTTCGAAATTTTTTCTGCGCCTTGGTTCGGTCCGTTTTTGAAGTGTACAGGTTCATTAGAAAGCTCAAAAATCGTATTTTTTTAACAGATAAATTTTCAACAGCAGCGCCAAAAGCACAAATGCTACAAAACTTTTTATGTTGCGTGTGCCCTAAAAAACCTCATCCAAGCACCAAATGGAACCAAATGTAGTTACAGTAACTTCTCTAGGAATGAAGCAAAACCAGTCTATCGACTTAAATTATTTGCAGATGGTTAGGATTGCCATTGTGCGTGGACAATATAGGAGCATCGTACCGCCTAGAGTTTGTACAGAAATCGGATATGAGCACAAGTTTGGGTTTTCTGGAAGGGTGTACAATATGGTTTCAGCAAATCTGTATGCGCTGGTCTGACTGGTAAGTCACATAGCATTGATCAAACAAAATTAACCAGAGCTGATTCAGTAACCTTTGACAATCCTGTTTTCTAAAGTTATGATAATTATTATGTTATCTACTGTAGGATGCTAGTGGCGTTTAGCTGGGAAAGACTATTGGTAATTATTAGCCCATTCTGATTCAGACTGCTGCAACGGGTTTCCACGGCCTGGATCATAATAGCGATGCTATTTCTCGTAGCGTTACCGAATGGGGTATTCTCATTTGTCGCTTCCTACTTGTACTATGCCGATCTTATAGACGATCTCAGGCACCCTACAAGCGCGCCAGATTGGTTTAATCGATGGTCAAAGATGGACAGTGCGGCTACGGTAAGAACGTTTGTACCGCATTGTGCGTGCCCCAACTGTGGAAAAATACGACTGAAATTTGATTTTGAGCTTCTTTTATCTTTAAGTGACCGTCGCTTCGCCGTACGTAGTTTTCCAACTACAGAACTGCATTTCTTTGCAAGAAAGTGGTCTTTAATTTATACTATATTTTTTTGATAGGTCATCGTACAACTAGTGACCTTTATGCTTATCTTCATTCCCAGCGTTTGTCTGATCGTGTTTCTCAGTCGTCAGCACCGCTCAACCATCAGCCAAATGCACCTGCAACAGACACAGTCGTCCCAGGACAGATTAAAGCGAAACAACTCCCGCCCTGGCCACTCCGATACGGGCATTACCGTTATCCTGCTTAGTAGTTCGGCATTGTACCTTGTCACCAGATTCCCCATGGTCGTTGAGTTATGCCTGTTTTACTTAGGCATTTCACCTAATGACTACACGGTTGAACTTGTTGCCGGACCTTTTGTCGATATTGCCATGTACGCCGGTTATTCATTTACATTTTTCACCTATCTTATCACCACCAGAAATTTTCGTGAGAACTTTTTTAAACTGCTTGCCCCTCTGATGTCAAACGACGGTGCCTATGTCAACCATACTGGAACGCTGAAATTCTGTATATGTTTCGAAACCGGACTATCAACGTCAGCGTCCGCCGCGGAAGCCAGGGCAACTGCAGATCCTTCCGTGAAAACAATCTTCAGCTGTCTATTGTAGAATACTGATGAAATTTTTCAAGCATATATATTAGCAAATATTAACATTGCCATGCACAAATGTACAGATATAATACCTCATGTACTGTATTAAATTTTGCTTAACACTCGCACTCGTCTGTGGTTTAATTTCACGGAGTTTTCTTGTGTGCCGCGCAGGCGTAGCTCATGGTTTCGTCCCAATCTGGCGTAGAACGGTCTGATATTCATGCAAAATGTTTTCTAAACGTTGTTTTTTTCTTTTCAGTAAGCACGCAATTAGAAAGAGTTGCTTTTGAATCGGTAAACTAAATCTGAAAAGAAGTGAGGACTTTGCAGAAAAATTCGCAGCAGAGCCAAATCACGCTGCCACACTGGGAGGCTGCCATTTGTTCGCCAACCGGAAGCGACTGGAATTCGTAGTTTTAAAGTTTTCAGTGCATTTATTTTTACTAAATGTTTCAGTAAGTGAAAATAAAACAAATTTTCTGAGGAATTCAGGTTAGGTAGAAAGAAGTCGACTGCCAGTGTAACGTTCCATGAATTTCTGAATGATTAAATGTGCCTCTCAGGCACATGGACGAGGGCGAGTGTTAAGGATTTATTATTGCTTAACATATTAAATTTTATTTTTACAAAGCTGCCCACTCGACAAACATATGCTTTGATAGCTGCCGATACCGTATACACATACGGCACTTGTGCTTTACGAATTAGTATAATTTTTATTTATGGAAATGTTGGCCACAATGCATGGTTACTCCAGCGAAGCATTGAGTCAAAACCGTTCCAGCTGAAATCTTTTAAGTTAAAATTTAACAAACTTTATGAAGTTATTATTATTATTACTTAATGTGTTGTTGCTCTCTCAAGTTTAATTAAAGAAAGGAAGAGAATTTCCATTACCGTATTACTGCTGTACATTATTTTACGAATATACTCGTATAGTGTACATATTGTATCTGTACATAGTTCATACACATACAACAGAGTCTCGGAGAGAGACGTTGGTTGGCTGGGCGGTGCATTGATCGATACCGATCTTCGCATGTCAAGCATTTTTCGTGAATAGGCTGGCTCATGCAGCCATTCCCACACACAGAAGCATGCCGCCTCGACATGCCTGTGCGGGAAGACACGAAGGAAACGCCAAGACGTTTATCATCTGGGCAAGGAGAGAATGCACAGCTTTTTACTTTACATGTTAAATCATACACGATACACTAGTCTTTTACTTTTCGCCCTTATTTAGTTTAATAAGTCTACAAATCATTTACTACTGATTCAGTGTTTTTAAAATATTTTTCTACTTGGCAGTCGAAAACGTATCCTTGTTTACGTATATAAATCGCGAATAGTCTGGAACTGGTTGAGAAAAAATTTTCTTTTATTTGGATTCTTGGAAGTTGGAACCATGCAGCGGCTGAATGCTGTCGACCAGACTGTTCGTGCCCGTAGTTCAAAGTTTTCTAGTTTTCCTTATACATATCAACGCCAAAAACATCCGCAGCCTTTTCTGTTGTATTTCGGATGTGCGCTAGCGGTGTTCGGAATATGTACACTGGCCGCTTTCCATGTACAGTTTCCTGGTACGTTTGATAACGTTAATTGCAGAAACTGTAGCAAGTTATACAAAAGTCTATTACAGAACTAATGCTTGTTTTCTGTTCGTTCTCTTTTCTGTACCTGAAGTACTCTTTTTTATACGTTGATTTCGGTCCAATTTATTGCTTTGTATCTTACAGATACGGAGATCTTGCCCACGATAACAACAACGTGTTTATTATGTGTGCTATCGGGGATCATCAGCATGTGCGCAGCCTGCTGTATCGGCGCTGGCTGTCACCTCGTGGAGTGCGCTATCGATCCACGACACTGTCGAAAAATGATCGTTCTCACCTGGTATCGCATCTGTCTAGCGTGTTTCGCTCTGGAGGTAAGCACATTTTGTCACAAAATAATTTCTTTTTTGCGATACTTTCTTTAAATACTGATGTGACATCTGTGTTGATTTCTTATAGATTTGTGCGTCCATTGCCTTAATTGTCCATTCCACCGTGGTAGCGGTGTACCGGCAGTGGCAATGTTTCACGGAGATGGCGTGTCTTCTTCTGGGAACAACATGCCTCGTGATATTTTTCCTAATGACATGTGCGGTGATCTTTTCTATGCGGGATTGTACAAAGAAGCATAAAAGAGAGCGTGAGGCGAATATTTCATATCCGGCACAAGGAGACATCAGCACGCCGATGGCGGGTGTGCAAAGTGAACAAGAAGACGCCGTTTCTCTGCCACCGGACTATTGGGAAGTGGTCGATCCAGTCACGCAGCTGCCGACGTACCAGAGTGCCATGGACACAGTGCATCCAGAGCAGCGACTACTGGATACGCATGTTTAGCCTGGCCATGACCTATTAGACTGCTGACAGACCAAATAATACATTCGTACAAACAGAAGGGAAATGTATGGCGGGCGTTCGCTGAAATTAAGTTATCTGCGTTCTTCTTTAACAGTATCGACATTAATCAGTATTATGTACAGTGCTATAGAAATATCAGATCTTACGGTTGTCTAGAGATAGTATTGTATTGTTGTCTCGAGTTGACCGCACTCGAGTATTATATTGTTGTCCAAGAATTATTATACGAGCACCTAAAAATGTGTATGGCACTCAGATTTTATTATTTCACAAATCCGCAACACTTTATGGCGGTTACAGTACGTATTTCTATGCCGGCTGATACAGAGTCGTTGTCAGTGAAGAAATAAGTTGCAAGTTCAAACGTTTTACGTTTGTTTGGAAGTATAACATATACCGCGGTATGCGACATTGGCCATGTACCTGTAGATGCTAGAGTGGTAAGTATCAAAATACCGACGTACAAGAAGGTACATCTCACAATTCCCAAGTAATGTATGAATTAAGTGCGTAGGAAGGAATCTTCTAAACTTAAAAAGGCGGATACATTTTCGCTTTTATATTGGGTACTTTAAGAGGTATAATTTTTACGATTAGCCCAAAATAGCACTTTTTCCTATGTAACATACACCTTCAGATTACTAAACACCCCCATGACTACGAGTACTAGTCCCGAGACTCCGGGCATGCACCTAAAAAAGATCCACTGTTCCGGTTAAATGTATTTGATATGTATTCGCATAATTGCTTATTATCCGTGCAGTACAAGCAACGAGTTATAATTTCGCTTCCGGAATTAAACTACGCGCGCCCGGGTTCTTCGCCGAACCGAATATAACCATTACCGGTATGTGGAAAACTACCATTATACACTAATACGGGTATCAATGGCTGTTATTGACGCCTTTCGGATATAAGCATTTACTTTAATGGTGTCAGTAGCTGCATGGGGGTGCACTAACATGTAATTATTTTGCATATTTGAACACCGAGAAAAGCGAATAGCAGGCGTCTATTACGACATATTAGTACCATCAATATTTTTGTTGATGCGGCATGTGGGTGTGGGGTGCCGGAAATGAACGTCCTTCTTAAACGATGTTTCCCCGTGGACAAACAGTTTATTTATGACAATTTAGCTAATAACCCTGCTGCGTCAGCAACTGCCAAACGGTCCGTAACGCAAATAAGGGCTAAACAGCGCCTTTCGGATGATTATAGTACAAATACATGGCACTTTGTGTCTGCTGTGCGAGCTGAATTAATAAATGCGCTTTTCAGATGCAGTTCACTAATGCGGTCAGTTTCTGTTTTCCAATCCGCATTTTTAAGGAATCTTCTATAACCGCTTGGCAATGACAAACGGAAGCGCTGTTTTGTCTTTAACTCTGAATTTCCTCATTGCTCAGATTCTTCGTGTCGACGCATCGGTATTCGCCCACCGCTACTTCAGTCCGTTTAATCATGACCTTATCTCCAAGATGCCAAACACGGTACCGGATAATACGTTGTCATTCGGCGCACCGCTAAAATCACCGCAACGTATAGTACAATATGCAACTGAGCTGACCACGACCAGCAAACCGCCTAGTAAGCCGGCCGCTACTACGAGGTCATCCAACAAAAAGCAATCAGGATTGTCGGCTTTGGGACGTAGTTTGATCGGGACGCTGGATCCGAACATATGGGATCCGGAGCCGCTGTACGCCGAAGATAGCCGGGGAAATCGTCACAGTTACGGGCATTACCGCGCTCAGCAGCTGCTGCATCCTCATGATACATTTCGCAACAGGAATCCGCGTGTTGGTTGAAACCGGGTTACCGTAGTCACCGATATAATTATGTTACTTCTTGTCAAAGTTTTGATGTTATTTCACGTATAAGTTCGGTCCGCGTTGAGTTAACGTGTAATGCATATGCAAAGAAAACCGAAGCATGATAAACTTTGTACGATTATCTTACTATTTTGCCTGGATAGTGGTGTTTGTAACTTCGTACTGACGCTTACTGCTGCCTTTCTAACCCATATTTTAAACCAATATATACTGTGTTTTATCGATACGATCATGCTCTAATTTGTCTGTAATAAGAATAAAGTCTGCATTTAAAATCGGCTTTACGCTTAACTGATAGCATTTAGCCAGACACAACGCTAAACAGGAAAGCAAACCGGAAAAGTTTCGCAATTACGATAAAATATTAGCCAAGCGCTTAAACGTCTATGATCGAGCCATGTTGCGTCCTTTATGGTAGAAAAACCGGCACAGAAGACACCTTAGCTTGTGCAAAACTGTCCAAGTCGTTCTCGAACTGCAGCTCGGATGGATAACGCCAGATATGCTGAAACGCTGCGCCGGGGTTTGCAATGAGGAAAACGAACCGGGACACATTTTGCTGTAAATAAGGTCCAAGTAAAAATACAATGATAAAAATATAACGTAACGATAAAAATTGTAGTAAATGCCGCTTGCGCGATACACGTTGTACAGTACAGTTTTTGCTGATTAAAATTTTAAGCGGGAAGCAGTTCTTACCTGTCGAGATTAACGAATCCGTCCACGCGATCGACTAGCGTCACATTCAGAGCGACACCCTCGATACTAACTGGATTTGCTGCGTGGAAAGCTGTATTAACAGCTTGCAGTACGTCCAGCGAATCCTACAACAGGCACAAATACTGCGCCAAAACGACCTCGTACCGAATTACTGATATCGAATAATAGTAACAAATCGGGGCATACCAGTGCCTGACTTTCAAGCGGGCATAAGTACAGTGTAATATTCTCGAAGATGTTGTCGTCGGTGTCTGACGGACGGATACTCTGTTCGTCGAACACCCGACTCATTGCCTTTGGATCCCCGCCGTGGAACAGCTCCCACTTTGTCATATATCAATGGAAATTGATGAGAGTCGTTCAAATACCCATTTTACGTAGGTAAGACGGGGATCCAGGAAATAGGACATATCATCGGCAAAGTGACCTTGTTGGTTGTATGGCAACGTTGTGCGGATGACCAGCTGCGGCTGTGTACTTTTTATAGTGAACTTGAACCATAAGTGGATCTTGAAGGCGTACTCGGCATCTGAACCTGAAATCCATATTTATTTATGGCGTATTCGCGTGCCTGCTAGTATGGCCACCGAATTCGTAGCATGGACGTACACATGTTGTGATTGATTCTACTGGTAGAATTCATTTAACTGATGACAACTAAAATTTTATTACAAATCTTACTTAAATACAAATATATCGCCAGGCGAGTGCTGAGATATTCCTCAATACACCGTGTGTATTGTACATTGATGGGGACACTACTATACACCGGCTTGGAGTACAACGTTGGTATTAATACAGTCTGCGTTTGCTTAAACATGGAACTGGCAACGGGATGAAAGAGGGCCCCTTCGAGATAGGATCTCCATGGAATATACATGGGATATCTGGGAGCTAGGGTCTTGGATATTCCCCAGCATAACGGCACTATTCATTTTCACGGAAAAATATGCCATAGTAATGACCGTCCTAAAGATAATAAAACCGGCATATAATATTACACGAAACAAGGTGCTGACACTACTTGTTACCTGCGTAACTGCGACCCGTTTTTGTCCAGACCAGTGTAAAATGGTTGCGCATTATCAATGAAGGTTGAGTTGGTCCGCGCAGCACGACTGGTATGGTAACAAAGCCGGAGTCAAAGTGCTATTCACAGCGTATTGCAGTTCTCTAGATCTGGCGCTGAGCTGACTGGCCATGGCCGACTGTACCGGGAGAAACATTTGGGGAAAAATAACACCTTGATACAGAAATACATCGATGTATGCTAATTGTTCCGCGAATGCTTTAGTGGTCGATGGTCGTGCCAGCGAGGTGACGTGAGCGTAACGATGTGCGTAGAAGAAGTTGGATTAAGTCATTTCTGATCGTATTTCAATGTAAACGATATACGAGATCTTCGTAAAGGGCACACTAGAAGAGCGTAAAGGTCATTGATAGGGATTGCAGAAAGTACGGACGGCCTTACCCAAGCGGAGTGATCAAGCCCACATCATCGAAACGAACAATCCGAGCTTCACACGGGCGTCCTGAAACGATGTAACATACTTTCGATTATGGTAGTTAATGAAATGATTGCAATCCTAACCAGGTTAAGTACCAACCGCTGGTAGAAGTCCAACCACTCCCAAATTTCCTTTCGATATACTCCACAGATACGGATGTGCTGCGTATGACGATTCCATGCCGACCCAAGAGTTTCCGCTCGGAATCTGGTGGCTATTTTTTCCATCCGCTGGCAGTAGAAACGTTCGGGACATTTGGAACGGATTTTGCTGAGTTGATCCGTTTCGTCGGCCTGAAGATCCGTGAAGTTACTTGGGAGAGCCTCGATCAACGGCCTTTTTGAGACAACGTTTAAGGTTGGCGGTAATCAGAGGGAATGCAGCGGCTGTTTTAGGTACGCTGATCGCATGTCCGAAGATTGCGAAGGACAGTAACGATTTTTGTCGTTTTTTAATGTTTAAAATTTCAGCATCTTGATTAGTATAAATTTGCGCGGGCTTATTGGTATGTGACTACTTGTCCTGGCTGATGCAGATTAAAAAAAATAAAAGTAATGCTTATTGGTATCGAAAACTCGATTTTAACCAGGCTTTGTATCCCAACCGCCATATCAGTCACTGTACTTTAATAGCTTGATATGTCTGTCGTAGTTCGGCAGGAACGAGTCTCATCAACCACGATCGAAATGGCATTCTCAGTGGTAATCGACCCATATGGCAGTTACGTGAATTTTTAAATTTCTGAATGCCACTGGGTGACTGACTCAGAGGCGTAGAGCGGTATGGCGCCGTGAGAACGTCGCCCCTAACGAATGGCATTTAAGGGCTCTTCTCCCCATCTTCCCCCTAGAGTGGCTACGCCGCTGGTACCAGTCTCCGTCTTTTTGTCTTCCGTTGTTTCAATTGATTTCGGTGTTCAAAAGTGTTCTGGATGCAGCTCTGTATTCCCTTTCTAAAGTGTTGAATAAATCTCATAAGCTGTGAAATACAGAATCACTATGAAGATTTACTTAAAACTTGGAAATTAATCTTCGTACGCAACAAGTTCAGGATTTTGTTGGAAATTCCTGCCCCTTTGTGTGGACCCTGCAGGGAGAACCCTACGGAACGCTCTGACTCTGAGGCTCACTGAGAAAGTAATCTGTTAAAGAAGTTGGCTGGACCTTTTCCGATGCCTGGGACGGATGGTCGCGGAATTCGTTGAAAACAACGAAACAGCAGATTCGTTGGTTGCTGAAAGCATAGAGTTTGTTCCGTTATTGGCCGATATCAGCAATTTCTTTGTGGTATTATTAAAACAGATACAGGCTTGCGACTTAAGTGACTTAATTTGTGAAAATGTAGGTAAAATTATTCCGTTAGTTCAGAACCATGGAGTGGACGCAGTTTTGAAATTTACAGGAGCACTATTTCCTACACTTTGAAATCAAGGTTTGCCTGGATGAAAAAGTCCCTTGGACTTCTATTTCCCGTTCGAGCGGCGCGGTGCGGTTATGACATCATACGTGTCACAGTGTTGTTGTTTCAGCTTAGTTGCCGTCGTTGGTACTCTTTCGTCGTACATTATATTCGTGTTTTTTAGATAATCGAGGAAATGTATAAGCGGCTGGAGAATCTTAACAAGTAAGCAGATAACTTGGGGTGGGAGCGTAGTAATACGCAGGGGCGGCTGGAGCTTCCCGGTTTGGGGTGGGCCAACAGTATTGGCTTTGGGGTGGGCCAGGCCCATAGACCACTATGTTAAAAAAAATTTTTTGGAGGGGGCCATGGCCCCCTGGCCGAGGGGTTCCAGCCGCCTATGGTAATACGTATCATCACAGACTACGTTCTCTTCTTTGTTCAGTGCCAGCATTATTTCACTTTTTGACTGGATTTTTCTTACAGAAAACGAACTGATGCTGTTAAACTGAAGAGCGAACATGAGAATGCATCGGATGCCAGATGCTTGCAGCTGGTATTGGAGTCCAAGTGTACAGAGTGGGACCAGATGGAAAGCGAAGAAGGGAAACAAACTTATTTTAACAGGTTATGCAGCGAAAAAGATTTAGAAAATGGAAAATCGTAAATAAATTTCAGACACCAGTTGTTTCGATTTGTTTATTCTATGGCTTTATATGGATCTGTTGTAGCTGCCGGAGTTTTTTCAACAATTGTTCTGCTACCAGAGAACAAATAGAGGAGAGATTGGCTGGGTTGGCTGAAGTGCTGAATGATTATCATAAGTGAGATGACTTCATTTGCACCTTACATGCAAATACCTCGTGTTTTCTTCCATTAATCAGGGAAGGCTTTCACCATAAATATAAAGATATTGTGGCGGAATATTTTGGATATTTCAAGGACATGTATCTCAGTTATAAGATTGAAATGCCAGAAGTCCTGCAGTATCCAGATACAAACGATCGCATCCCACTGAAGGCACAGATCTCTCCAATTCAGGTGCGACGAGTTCGCGCTGCGGAACATATGCCTCCTGCTCCTTCAGTCTTTATGCATTTGGTATGGAACCTGTTTTTACTCCAAATGCTGATATTCTTGTTTCGTGAAAGGCTTAAATGGCAGGATCTGATAATTTTGTTAAATAGCGTGGAACTTCCTCAACCGAACCAGCGGTTTCTCTACCCGAAGAAAGTAAAGGGACAGAAAATACCACAGAAAGATTAGTGATAACGACTGCAGTGATACCGTTCCGACCACCAAAACGGCGTCATTATTGTGCGCCTTTCATTGATCCTAATCAAATTGCGTCTCTGAAAGCAAATAAAAGAAATGCTTATAAGGACGGCACAACCACAGTTGATCCCGTGTCGTCGCAGGATAAGCTGAAACAACCAGATTTCAAGTAATTTTGATTTGTTATTTGTAATCCTTTTAATAGATATGTTTCCAGTTAGAATTGAGAGGGAGTTGTGTGTCCAGAACCATATGAGTGTCCTGCGATAAATTTCTGTCTTTTCTTTTTATTCTGTTTTGGTTTGTTTATTATGCTCTCTCTGACAGAAAAAGAAAAGTGGAGCCGCAAGGTGAAGAAGCCTGCGCTCGTAATGCGCTACCGACCGCATTACAGCCAGTACCATTGGGGAAGCCTTCTTTTGGGCGACCTTCGAGGGGACATCGCAACGGACGCTCGGTCAAGGACTTCGGATCCCATCCTCAGGTTGGCTGTCAGCTTCTTGTACATTCTGATTTCTAATCTGGTATTGCGTAGGTCTCGACCACCAGTCAGATTAGAGCTCCGCTTCCGGCATCGGTTCCGCATCCCATCGTAGTAGCCACCAACGGACAGTCGGGCGTTGAGCTAGGAAAATTGGTAGTGAACATCATCGCCTTTAAACCAGCACAACTGCGAATCCGTTCACTCAACGATGTGCAGTACTTAATCAATTACGCCGATCATCCGCAGGAGTTCGTGCCGCATACTGTATGCATCCACCATATCCCGGTGCACGTTGCGGAGTATCTCGCTCAAACGCCGATTATGTGGCTCCAGCCGGATTAGACGGTGTTTTCGCATAGAAATGCAGACGATTAGCGTCCTCCTTGGGCCAAAACTGAATCTTGGAAAAACTATCTTCAGGTGGATAAGAAGCCGAATAATTTTGAGTCGGTGCAATATATCCCCATACATGTCCCGGGCTGCTTTCGATTTGCTGCGAATAATAAGCCTGCGATGGTCCAGGGCAGTATACGGTTTTACCTTCTTCGGTGTTGACTGTTAATTCCGAGTCAAAATAAAGAGTGCTGTGCATACGTACGTAATACTGATTTACCCTCTGCATTCTTATTACCTAGCGAATAATTCAAATGGTTCATGTACCCATGTGTTGCTAATCTGAAAAAGTCAGGACCATACTTAATTCTGCATAGTAATACTTAAGTAATTCTGCATAATACTTACTAATTCTACATAATTCATTCTACACAACCATACTTAATTCTGCAACCATACAGTAAGTACTGAATTCTGCGTAATACATTACGCGAATTAGACCACCAAGTTGTTATTCGAAGCAGACAGCAGGTACCAGAATAATGACGCCCTGCTATGTATTGCTGTTTATGTTAAGTAGTTGAATACCAACGACGTACCGTATAACCGCAAATTGTCATTACAGCTCGATGTGTACTTGATTGCCAGTGTTACCGTAAACAGTCCTTCCATAGTATGCCCTTTCATAGTCAAAGCACATTTAATGGCATCAAGATGTTGTAAGCAGTATCATCTGGCTTGCGACTACTGTAGACTGTAGTCCTACGCAGACGGTTGGTGATTAACATCTGTAAAGTTCTGAAGGTGTGAGTGCCGTTTTTCTCAAATTCCTGTTTGCAGCGAAAAACTGGTACAGTACGTGCGATTGTCTATCGCACCGTACAAATCTACGTACATAAGTATTGTACTATACCGTCACTTACGTCCAAACCATCACAAACATGGACAAAGGTTACATTACGGATTTGTTTTATAATACCTTTCTTGATACTTTTATTGACTATCTGCTTTTATTGACTACAGTACTTTTATTATACTTTTATACTAATACTTTTATTGACTGTCAAGTGAAACAGTTTTAATAACGATGGCAATGGAGTTTTCTCATGATAAGTAACATTTCCGCATTGTAAATAAAGACCACTGCCTTGGTCTGTTAGGACATGCTCAATCACATTCAAATACTTATTATCAAATTACTTTGCAGCTATTTTATTATTACACGTTTCTGCCATGAAACAGTAAACACAAACAGTTAAGATGGCAAGAAAACAGGCAAAGAAGATACGGCAGCGTTCGCAAACATTCCAAGATAATTTGCCAGTTGTAAGTCGGATGGATACCGCCAGATATGCTGGAATGCTGCGCCGGGATTTCTTATGGTGAAAACGAAGCGGGACACATTTTTACTAAAACCCGGACAACATAGTAAAAGAGGAAGTGCAGCGGTACTCTGTTATTGTGAAGAGTGATACATGATGTGCAGCACTTCAAAGCTTTTTAAAGTTTAAAGCGGGAGACTGTACTTACCCGTCAGTACTGAGAAATCCGTCTTCGCGATCAACCAGTGCGACATTCAAAATGACACCCGGGATACCAATTGGATTAGCTGCTTGAAACGACGCATTAACTGCCTTCAGTACACCCGACGAATTCTGCAACAAGCGCACATTGTGTCGCTATCGATATCGAACATTTATAAATAATCGACCGGAGCATCGTAAAGGTCACCTAACATAGCTTAAATGCAAAAGCAGAAGGCTGCTTGCCGTAGCATTAAAACCGTTCGTAAATTACACGGTATTTTAAAATTTGCATTTTTTTGTATGAATAGTTCTACTGCTCATGCGCTTTGGCCTAGAAAACGATGCCAACTAGCAGTACTCGTACTGCCGAAGAAGTGTCAACTACTGTAAGATCATAACAAATCAACCTGCCAGCGTCAGCTTGTCTCCGGGACATAAATACAACACGATATGGTCGAACGCAGGTGACGGGGGAGTGGTCTGTGCGTCAAAGGTCAAACGAATCTCGCTAGGATCACTACGATGGTACAGTTCCCACTGGGTCATATCGACGGGAATTTGCGAAAGACGGTCGAACACTCGCTTGACATAGGGTAGACGGGGATCCAGATAGTAGATTCTGTGCACGCTTTGGGCATCTTTTGGGTCGTGCGGCAGTACTGTCCGGATGGCTATTTGCGGCTGTGTACCATTACCGGTGAAATTGAACCACAAGGTGATTTTGAAGGCATTCGTCGTATTTAGACCTATTTGTGCAAACATTTAGCTGCGTATCAAGTACTGGAGTTTTTTTACTTAACGACGTTTTCGAGAACTGGGGCAGATATTATTTTATGATTAAGCTGATAATATCACGATGTCATAAAACAGTCAAAGGCACTTAAATTACCCAAAGCTTTTTCAAGGCGCTTGTTGAGATAATCTTGAATGTACTCCGTGTACTGAACCTTGATAGGTACAGCATTAAGACCGTACACCGGCGTGGAGAAAAGCGGCACCACCAGCGCTGACGGTTCCATGCTGTGGTAAAAGGCTAAGTACGAGTGCCAATATAGGGTATACGCTGATGGAACCCGGTTAGTATCTGGTAGGTATCCCAGATAATGTGCATCATTAATATTGACGGAAAAAAATGCCAAGGTCAAATTAAGCCTAAATGGAAAACAAAGGTACTCATCAGAAGTAAGTGCTTTGGCGTTACGTTTTACAGAATTTACACAAGAAAATTTTGCGAACTGGTGTTCACACGAACGTAAACCGCTTCCGCACGACTGATACGAAGATTGAAGCCACCGGTAAGACATGGTTTCGAGTCTTTTGGTGGCAAGACCTTTCTGGCCAGATCAGCCTGCAGCTCTCCTGTGCTCGAATAGTCAGATGCCTGAAGTAGGGTAAACATCTCGGGAATAATCACGCCGCTATATAAGGTCACTCTGATACTGGATAATTGCTCCCTGACGGCCTCGATGGATGGTGCTGTTACGGGGACCGCTGAAGCGGTACGGTGCGCATCAAAGACGTTTTTATACACATCGAGCTGCCAGGTGGGTATTTCAAAATAGACGATATACGAGATCTTGGTCAGTGGCTCACTGAAACATCATAATATAAGGTCATACACCGAGTGTGAAACCGTACCTACGTTACCTAGCGGTAGTGGTGAATCCGATATCGTCAAAGCGGACAATTCGAACGCCTGCCACCTCAGGGTAGCGCGCCTTTCCTAAAGTAACGAAAGAAGGTCGCTTGCGTTGTCGAATATCATTGCGATGCGAAAACGAGAACAATGGTAATTACGCCACGATTAGTACCCACCGTTAGGACCCGCCCAGGCATCTTTAAGCGCCTTCTCGATCGTCTCCAGGGACATTGCTGTGCTGTGAACAACGATTTCATGGCGGCCCAGGATTTTCCGCTGTACTGTCTCACTATTCTCCATAACTAATTCCGGGCAAAAGGGTGGAAACTTTCCCTCTTCAGACGGAAGGAAAAATCTTGCTCCAGGTGTGACCTCCAGCTGGAGGTCATTCGGCGGCAGCAGGATATTTGTTGCATTGGTCGTTGTGGCGCCAGCGCCACATAAATCGGTCGTGTAGCGAAACGTAACTGAAGGTGTCGCTGCTGCCGCTGCGTCATGCAATGTACAGTTCAATGCCACAAAATATTATCATCTTTTATTACTATGAGATGATGATGCCGATATAAAATGTACAAAATCAAGTAATTTGCTGTTTCTAATTGCACTCGTACAGCAAGAATCAAAAGCGCGCAAGGCAATATTTAGCACTACTTAGTACTTCCGATTACTAACCTGTGATCGAGTTCAGGACAAAAATGCATAGACTGGTCAAAACTAAAATCATTTTTTAATGTTTAAAATTATTAATTCAGCCTGCGTAATCGTCGCACTAAACAGGAACAGGACATGGAGATTGTCGTGTAGGAAAACTGAACCTGCTAAACAAATGTCATTATAGCTTTCTATCGAGCATTGTTATGAATCGCTAAGTCGATCACTTCCAGTTTCACTAGGGTAGATTAAGATTTTCACTAGGTTTTCACTAGTTTTCTGAATGCGGCTCACAATTGCGGTACAACTGCGCCCAGGCACCACTTTTACATGATGCCTGTTCCGGGTCAGGTTGTAGATTTTATCGTGGCTGGCGATTAAGATCTATGTCGTTCAAGTCGTACGAGCTTCTGCTTTAATTTTAAATTCATGGTTCTCGGTTACAGATACAACAGTATGTTCTGAACGATAACCCTAGTCCATTATCAAAGCCGGAAAAAAAAAACTGCTATGTAGATCTTTGGCTTTATGCGGCAACTCTAGTGTAACATATAGGTGACCTTCTGCTCAGTACGGTACTATACGCGCGAAATTTCTTCGAGCCGTATGTTACGTATAACGACAAGAGATTCTACTAGTATTTTTAGTTTGGATGTTGGCGCTTGGAAAGAAGCGCTGTTCGCACGCGCGGCGTACATGTCTGCAGCAGAATGGCAACGCGAGCGCGAATAGATAGGCAAATCTTAGCACTATAATAATTATAGCGTTACAAGGTAGTTGTACGAGTAAAATGTAAAAATATTGTCCGTCTATGACAGTATTTATAAAATTGTGCACGGTACCCCACAAAAGTGTTTGGACTATAATGCAGCACCAGCCATGAATTATGACAGCAAAAAAACAGGTAAAGAAGACAAGGAAGCTTTTGCAAACTGTTCAAGATATTTCGCTAGTTGTAAGTCGGATGGATTTCGCCAGATCTGCTGGAACGCTGCTCTGGAACTACTTGTGGTGAAAACGAAGCGGGACACATTTTTTCTGTAAAACAAATTAAAAAGAACCATTATTTAACGAAAACAATGTAGCAATTTTAGCTCAAAATGGTATACACTTCGCAGAACAACTACTCGGTAGGCTGATTTAAATTCTCAAAATGAGATGCTGATCTTACCCGTCGGGATTAACGAATCCGTCCACGCGATCGATTAGTGTCACATTCAGTGCGACACCTGGGACACCAATCGGATTCGCTGCTTGAAACGACGCATTAACTGCCTTCAGTACCCCCGACGAATTCTAATAAGGACACCTTCTGCTAATACATGTGCTTATACCAGTTCAAATACACAGTACTGAATATTATATGGGCATGGCATGGTCGCATGGGTATCTGTTAAATAAAAAAGAACGACCCGCAGCGAATCTCGCCTAACACAGCGTAAACGCCAAAGCGGATCTCCGACTGTTACGAAATCTGCGTACTTCGAAGAGTATAACTATATTTTAGAACTGGTAGTGTTTTTACACATGTAGTCTGTAGATCTACTCCTTGGTCCGACGATATCAGCGGTTAGCTAACTGATGTTATACTCGTACTAAACCCGCGTAAACGTACCAGTGTTTGCTGTTGCTCGGGGCATAAATACAGAGTAATATTCTCAAAGTCTTCCGGAGTCGAAGGAGGAGCGCTATGTACGTCAAAGGTCAAACGAATCTCGGCAGGATCACCGCGATGGTACAACTCCCACTTGGTCATGTCGATGGGAATTTGCGAAAGTCGTTCGAAGATTTGCTTGACATAGCTAAGACGGGGATCCAGATAGTAGAACATGTGGTCGCTGCGGGAATCTTTTGGCTCGTGTGGAAGCAGTGTTTGGATGGCCACCTGCGGCTGCGTACCGTTAATGGTACAATTGAACCACAAGGTGACTTTGAAGGCGTTCGTCGTATTTAGAGTATTTTAGACCTATATGGACACAAATATTTGGAATGAGGCATTTGACTCTTAGTACTCTAAAACGAACCAGTAATTGAGGCTTTCTATTCAACAGTTTTTGACGAACCTACATTTAGTTAATGGCATAAAAAGGCTTTTAAAAACAGTTTACCCAAAGTTTTGTCAAGACGCGTGGTAAGATAATCCTGAATGTATGTGGTGTACTGGACATTAATGGGTGCGACACTGTATACCGGTTTGAAGAAAAACGGCGCCACCAGCAGCAACGGTTCCATAACGAAATTAAAGGCGGCATATTCCAAATGTGACTGCCATGGAGTAAATAATGATGGAAGACTGGCAGAATCTCGCACATGCCCCAGAAAATGTGCGCCACTCATATTGGCGGAAAAAAAGGCTAAAGCGAAGTTCTCCCTAGAAAATACGAAAAACCAATGTATACCCGCTACAAAAAGTTTACGGTATGTGCCACACGATTTACAGGCGGAACGGTAGCGGACTGGTGTCCGAACGAACGTAAAACATTTCCGCGCGGCTAATTCGCAGACTAAGGTCACCGGTGGCGCACTGCGTGGATCGCTTCGACGTGATTATGCTGCTTACAGCCGCCTGCAGACCATTAGTGCTCAAATCTTTCGACTCAAGGAAAATATACTTCTCGGGAATAATCACGCCACTGTACAGGACTACACCGATGCTGGACAATTTTTCAGCAAAGGCTTCGATGGACGGCGGTGTTAAAGCGGCTACTGCAGTGGTACGGTGTGCACGAAAGATGGTATATCCCATACCATCATTCGACCGGTAGAGCGTGTCAAAGTAGACGATGTACGAGATCTTGGTTAATGGCTCACTAAAAAATTATTGCCAAAGGTCACACATACATACACACACACTGATCATTTTGAAATCTCATTATTACCCAGCGGGAGATATAAGTCCGAAATCATCGAGGCGAACAATGCAGATCCCTTCCCCAAGGTAGTTCAACCGTTGGTTTACTGAAATATGAAATACTGTAGTTTCACTTGTTTATCGAATATGCATATATGATTACTGGTGCATGTTAATGATGTCATCGAATATACGAGGTACTTATGTGATTACGTCCCAAAAGCGTGAGCGTGTCGGGAGTGATAATTAGGCGGCAATTAGTATTTACAATGAGTACGCTTCCAGACCTCTCCTAGCACCTTCTCGATCGCCTCCACCGACACCGAGGTGCTGTAAACAACGATTTCATGGCGGCCCAAGATTTTCCGCTGGAACGTTTTACTTTTTCCCAAAAATAATTCCCGAAAGAAAAGGGTGGAAATTTTCCCTCTTCAGATGGAAGGAAAAATCTTGCACCACGGGTGACCTCCAGTCCCATATATATGTGCTGCATTGGCTCTTGTAGCATTACCACGACACAAATCGGTGATGTAAAGTAATGCAGTTGACGGTGCCGCTGCCGCCGCTGCATCACGGAAATGGATAAAACAGCTTTAGATCTTACGAGAATTATTTTTTTGCGGCTTTTTAACTACAGCCGAATATGTTTTCGTAAAACTTGTACAGTTACGCTTACAGAACTTTTACGTTTACTTGTACATCCAAAACTGCTACCCTAAGGCCTAAAGTAGTGCAGTACTGTATTTATGTATCGCTGTAAGTAGTACCGTATTTATTGCACTTAATAATATTATTATTTCTGTTACTTAATGATGTTATTTTATGTTATTATTTCATTTATTATTATTGTATAATTAGTCAACCCATAAAAAAATCGCAAAGGCAAATTGTACTTTGAATGTAGACTTCTCTCGTGGGATTCCAGATCGCTTAATTACCATGTTGTGAGTAGCAACACGCTCATGTCTAAGCTGCAGCTGACTTTAAAACTTCAGGTAGTAGCGACACATTTACACTACATATCCGCTGTGCTCCTGACGGAGCACTACTACAACTCATTTTGTGCACTGTATGAGCTCACGTCTGCCTCTACGCGGACTCAATCCCAATTTTTAATCCGCTCTTCTGTACAAAAAAATTAGCAGATACCCTTCCAGTTCTACATGTGTTCAGATGCGGACCGCACTTGTGTTCAGCTACCTGGAAGGAATATGATCGTAACAATACTGATTTTAAAGTATGCCGCACTTACTTGTTCTCACTTACCTCACTTAATATTTGCATCTCTACCTTATATAGTCTTCGTTATCCCAAATTTGAAGTGTCATTTAAAGAACAGTTTTGAAAACAATATTTCAAGCAACTGCATCGATTATTTGGCTTGAAAATAACGTGAAATACTTTCTCAAAATGTACTAAGAGTTATCAAATTTGAGATTGCTCAGATTTGTTTCACCTGTTAATTCTTCTCCTAGTGCAGTTTCAACGTTTTCGGGTGGGGAGAGTTACTTCGCTGACTACTGCTGAACTTATGAAACCACCCTGACAAGACTCAATTTTAAATCTGACGTTATGTAACTTTGATTTGGATACAACCGCTTCTCAAAGCAACGGAAAAAGATTCAGTTTGTAGTCCGAGCAGCGGTTTTTCTTTATGGGCAATTAAATATCGTTCCTGCACTATTATTTGCACAACGGTTATGAGAATCAAGTAGCACGACAAGGTGTACATACTTAATTATATTCGTACTTTATAGGTGGCATAAAAGATTACAAAACATGCGGCTCCCATTGCTCACCTGTGGCTGTGAGTATGATCGAGGACAGCACGACGAAGCAAAATGTGGTCGGAAATAAAATCATGTTTCACCCTTGTAGAAATCCCTTGTTTTTAGCAATAAATTATGCGCGTATTAATGTAGAAGCTTTCACTCCAGTATTACGCATTTAACTATCTATGTGTGAGACGTGAGTACTGCCACTGAGTAGTAACAGGTAATTATTATTAATTAACTAATAGTGTTTACTATTTTCTGGTTGGTTCTGTAGTACAGCCACCACATCCAAGTACCGCTTTCTCAGGGATGCCTGTTTCAGGTTGATTTTGAGTTGACAACATAATTGAAGATTAAAATCTTTATAGAGCAAGCGTGGGACCTGCCATCTACAAGTAGATGCTGAATTACTCTGTGTTTTAATTCAAGTTATAGATATTTTAATAGCACTGTACCTGTACAACAACAGTACAGAGTAAGCGACAATTTACAGATAAAACCGCAAGCCCCAAAATAGCTTAACTGAAAGATTACTGCACCTTGAACCTCAACATCGGCACTCGAAAACGTTTAGCTACACGACCTTTGTATTCAGTAAGATTTCCATTAAGCGCGCGAGTTCCAACCGCCCTTTTGCACCATTGCCCTTTGCTACTATTACTTAGGTTAAAATACTCTTGGCTAAAATACTCGTACACCCGCCTTGAGAATCACGTCCACAAACGTAAGTATGTGAGTGACATGCAATAAAAGCAAAAATATAATGGCATTGTAAACGATCTTGTAAACGGCAACATTATTTGGAGGGCAAATCTGTGGATATCGAAAATTAGCAAAAGCGATAACAGTACCAAAAGTTGTTAAAACCCACGTAAACGGTGCATATTTTCTGATCGCTCACTGATTACTGAGCGTTTTTTTTATTCTACTTTAATTAAAGGACAATGCGAAACCCTCACAACATGACTTTACCAAGACACAAACAGAGCTATGCGATAAGTTACACAAAGGTAAAAAAACCGAGAAAAAAACGAGTAGCAACATCACTTGTAGAATTCCATTTCAGATTCGTCCTTCTTAATGGCGTTCTTATAAGCCTTTTCGAAATCCTTGGCCAGCACAATATACCGGTTCTCACGCAAAGCATTCATGCCCGCCTGTGGAAAAACAAAGAAAACATGTTTATAATCAAAACATGAAACCAAGTATGTTTCCCAGAGATCCATTTCTTCTGAGTACAGGCATAGACGCACAAACGCCATAACCGGAATAAAACAAAACTCGGTTAAATGCAAGAGGTAAAACTGCACTTACATCTTGACAAATGGCGTTAATATCCGCTCCGGATATCTTATCTGGCCGTGATACATAATCCTCCAAATCCACTTCATCAGCCAAATTCATTCCATTGGTAATCGTGGCGAAAATTAGACGCTTTTGCCGTCGATCCGGCAGAGGGAATTCGATCTTCCGATCCAGACGACCAGGACGCAGGAGTGCCGGATCCAAAGTGTCCGCACGATTGGTCGCCATTATTACCTTTGCAATAAGGATAATATATTTTATTCAGAGGAAAAATAAATCTACAGACAACGAACGATTACTCCAGGAAAAAATCTACTAAAACAAAAACTACAAAATTACCAGTCAAAGGCTAGGGATCAAATACGAGCTATCAAAATATAAATAAATCGATAACGGCCAAACAGGAATATGTGTTTTTCAAGTAAACACATCGCAGTTTTATAAAACACACTATACTAATTTTGAAATGCGAGTAATTTTTAAAACCGCCGCATGTTCCATGATTAATTGTTTATTTCTCACCCAGTAAAAATTCATTTTCTCTAGAGCCGTATTTTTATACCTTAACGTTGGTTGTCTGGTCGAATCCGTCCATTTGATTTAGCAGCTCAAGTAATATACGCTGCACTTCGCGATCGGCTCCGGTTTGTGCATCAAAACGCTTCGTGGCAATGGCGTCAATTTCATCAATAAAAATAATAGCCGGAGAATTTTCTTTAGCCAGACGGAAGACATCGCGCACCATACGCGGACCCTCACCGAGATATTTCTGGACGAACTCCGATCCCACCACACGGATAAACGACGCTACAAAAAAGGATCGCGAGCGTTGGTCAATTTGTACAGCACATGCTTCGCTGAATCTTGATGTACATTTCGATGTATTTCCAGTCAAATTAAAGTCTACGCATGATCATTACATTTACAACAGTACGAGAACATCGAAGCTCAAACAAAAATGGTGTATGCATTTCGATGCATTTATTACGAATTGTTTTGACTTTTCGTGATATCTACACATTACTCGACCCGAGAAATTTTTACGCAACTGTAACAGGAGCACTGTTTTCGGAAAACACCGAGTTTCGATGGGATGTTAAAAACGTAATGCGCTGATTGCACTGTTAACTGAAAGCCGAAACTACTGCCACCATCTGAAGTTTTATTCCCAAAAATACCGTCAAAAACGTACCGGTGGTGTGATGGGCAACAGCTTTGGCCAACATGGTCTTGCCGCATCCGGGTGGCCCGTAGAGGAGAACTCCGCGGGGCGGATCAATACCGATCTGCTGGTACAATTCGAAATGCGTCAACGGCAATTCCACGGCTTCTCGTACTTCCTGCTTCTGCTGATCCAAACCACCAATGTCACCATATCCCACATCCGGTTTCTCATCTGAAGCAAAGCAAGAACGCATTCAAATCAGTGAGCTGCACGATGCATCTCATAGTTATCGACAATCGAAATCAAACACCATACGAAGCAACGACAACGTACAGCTGTATAACATTATGAATAACAAAAAAAAACAGACGTTAACAACAAAATCGTGTAATTCAATTTTTCGTTTAAACTGCAAACATTTGCAAATTAAATTTATATATTAAAACCTGTGACTTTGAACACTCGTGTAAATTGAACACTGGTGTACATTGAACGGTCATTACGGAACCGGCGCGTCTCGTAGACTATAACACAGGGGGACCCCGCGTATATTGAACAGCTCTCTAAAGTGAACATTGAACAAACGAGCTGGAAAGGATCTAATTATTTACTAATATTTAGCCCTTTTGAAAATGAACAAAGGGCCGGAAATCTAGTTTCGGGAGCGAAACAACACAAAAAAATGCGCTTTACGGACTAAAGTTCACTAGCTATTCGCTTGTTGCAACTTTAACAAACACGATTTTTGATTTGTTAGCGTACAAAAGGCTGGATAACGGTGCTGTCGCCCTTGAGGCGGCGCCTGCTCGCCCTCTGGAGCAGCTTTACTGTGCAGAACCACTGCTCCCAGGGGCGGCCCCCTGGGGGGAGCTGTTCTGTACATTGAACAGGCGTCTACATTGAACGAAAAATTTGGAGCCGCAGGTGTTCAATGTACGCAGGTTTTACTGTAATCCCAAAAGCTAAAGCCAGCATCAGAGAAACAGAAGGGGTTACAGCCAGTCCGGTTATCTTACCGGGACGCAGCATGTTGATGCTGCTGTCAGCTTCCGGCGGCAGAATATCCACCAGAGCATTACTGTGCTTATGCAATGCCACCGATGAGCTCGGCTTCAGCTGCTCACGATCCAACGTCGAAAGGATGCGCACATAATAATTCGAACCTGCAAATAATTTACTGTAGAAGTATACATATTCAACACAAACAACAAAACAATTAGCAACGAAAAAAGGCGAAATTTCCGGAGTTTAGTTTTTTAGTGCGTTTGTCATAATGGGTGGAGGACTGGGGAACAGACTATCAAGTTTCGGGTGTACAATAATTACAATTCACAAATAGGCAAAGAACGCGAAAATAAGCAAATGTTAGAATGAATATCTTCGCTTCGCAATGGGTTAGGCAAAGCAGAGACTACCAAACTTGACAACGTAATTTGTTTTTTATAACCACACCAAAAGCAACTTTTGCAGACAACGAAAGCAGCTGAAGTATTCTCTGCCAGCTTACAAATAAGCATATGTCAAACCTGTTGTCGAGCCAACGATTCCCGTATTCTGATCAATCGCTTCCAGGAACTGGCCGATGACCAGCGGGACGCTCTGAATACGCTTCACTTCCTCCTGCGCGTGTCTGTACTCGTTCTTCAGATTGCGCTGCTCATCCTTAATGTAATCCTCCTGGACATTGAGAAAGTCCAGCTGCTGCTCCAGCTTCTGCAAATAGAAAACAGGGAGCGAGTGACTTTACGAGTCAATCAACTTAACGGTTTAAACTTCCGAAACATATAAAGAAACGAAAAGAATTTTCAACGAAAAATTCCCAGTGTCTGTAACAGCAAAAGGAAAATGCTTAGAAAACGTACACACCATAAAACTGATACAACTTTTCACATACACGAATATCTTTATTATGCCAACAAATTTATAGTGACTATAAGTACAGTCCGAAAATTAAGCAGTAATGAAAACTATTTAGTTCGCTAACAAATTAGCAACCAGCTCGTGAATTTCCATTTGAAGAGATCCGAATTCGGATATACTGTATACTTGTCAGAACCTGATCCACTGGCAATATTTATTCTGAAGCGTAGTGCATATGATTGTGTCACTAGTCAGTAGTGCGTACCTTGTAGCGAACGTAGAGATCTTCCGTATCCAGTTTAGTGAGGTCCCCGATATCGGGAAACTGGTTCTGCGCATACATGTCGAACTGTTCATCAGCCTGCAAACGGACGATCCTTAAGATTCTGGCAACAATCATTCATATAGCAGCAGCATAAATGCCTAACCTTCATAAATGGTTCTTCGGGGGAAGCAATGTTCTGCAGCTCTTCCATGGTTCCCGGTTAACGATGGCTATTTGCCTAGGTTGACTTCCTTTAAATTCTTAATCAATACTATTAAGTGTTAACGTCAACCTCGACCACTGATCCAAAAAACTATCCTTCAAATTCCAAAGCGAAGTCAAAAAATAAAAATCCAAACTTTCGGAAAAGTGCAGATCTCATGCAGTCGTGAAGGTGTCGAATGGGAAATCCATTTCCATCGTGATGGATTTGGTAACTGCGTGGAATTTCAAATTCCATTGCAGAAATCTGGGCGGATGCTGGAAGCAGTCTTTTTGCACTTGAAGCGACATACGTATGTTGGAAATGGAACTTACTTTTTGTACATCTGACTGCCGTCTGGAGAGGATTCGTTGCCTTTGTGCTTTTCTTGCTCTTTAGTAGTTTAGTGACTTTAGTCTTTTATAAATTTTTTAGTTTTTCTATTTTCACTTTTCTCATCCCGAGGCTTTTCTCATTTACTCTTCTCCCGAGGCTTTTCACATTACTGTACGTACGATTTACGAGTAGGATTTCCTATTTGTACGAACTGCAATTTGTGTCGGTTCGCGTGCTCAGTCACTCGGTTGTTGTGATCTGTTATGGCGGACCAGAGAACTCGACCGAGAAATCCAGGTGTTTTCAGGGCAAAACGTGTGCGGCCCTCGAATCAGCTACGCACCATTTGGCAGAAACATGTTGAAGAGCGTCAGAAAAAGCGTCGGTATGCAAATTTTTGACAGCCTGTGAGTTACCTATTGTACGAAGTTTCGAACCGAAGTAGTTGTAGACTGACTGCATGTTTTTGGAAAACATGTCGTCTGGATGGTCCCGATGGTGTCTAACTTGTTCCCTTGCGAGGCTTTTTCCTTCGTAATTTATAGATACTACTTTCTTCGTTTTCGCAGAGGAGAGTTAGCTGTTCCTTCCCGGGAAATGCTTCAACAGAAACTGGAGAAAATGGAAGAGATCGAAAAACGTTTGGCGGTGGATGAATATCGCAGAATTCTCCGCACTTACACGGTAAATATATTATACATTTTCATACCAGGTAGTCAGTCAGTCTAAATTTGTCCACGAGAATTCGTTGCTTGACCGTACGAGGGCTGTCTGTGTGAACGTTGACTTGGGTTCTTACCATTTGTTTCTGACACTGATAAAATTGTTTCGACTTTTCTCATACGTGGTAGGACTGGTAGCGAATTTTTAATTTGCTCATGAATTCGTCGATTTTCTTGTGAGATATTTTTGTATCCGTGTATGCTTTTGTTGACTGAATTACGACAGTATGCGTGGTTGACATTTTTCCCCAAACTTTACCCTGTGATGTGTTGTATCAAGCGCTGTCGTCGTTGCAGAGTAGGAACGACAGTGAATTGCCGTGGCCGCTGACTCCCGTTGAATTAGCGCTGCAGGGATGGGAATTTTACCAGCCGGGCATTGTCCGCTGCACACACTGCCAACGGACGTGCTTCTTCGATGCGTACTCCTACAAAGAGATCTTCACTGGTGTCTCACCCGTCGACCAGACGATGCGTAAGAAGATTAATTATTTTTTATTTTAAAAAAGTACCTAAAAGCAAAATAACCTGCTTATTGAAGGCTGTAATTATTACAAATGGCGATCGGTGAATTTTAATGCATGAGCGATACTAACTGTTCATCACTACCTTTCTTATGGATAAATAAACCTGAGAAGTTGGGAGTTTGTGTGGTTGACCGCGTCGCTAAGTGTTTGTTCACTTGTTGCTTATTGTGGTTGATTAGGGACTAAAATTACGGATGACTTCCGGCAACAGATAGTGGATTCTGGACATGATATGCTATGCAGGCGTCCAGTTCTGCCACGAGGTTGGGATTTGTTTTTCCTGTGCTGTTCACTGTGGACAGAGGTTTTATAGTTTATACTGATCCTTCGTGTGTGTGAGTAGAGTCCGAAGTGAACCAGTTTGTCCTCTTCTCCTTCAAGTCATTCCGGGAAATGTTTGAGAAACGGCTGCGATCGCTCGTGGAGTGTGGTGGAAAGTTGCCAGTCATCGCCAAAGACTATCATGTGAGTGTCAGTAAATATTTTGTTGTGTGTATAACTAAGGCGTTTTTCAGCGAAAAATTGTTTAAGAAATAAGTAAATGTTGTGATTACATGCTGGTAGTTGAGTGTACTGCTTTCGATGATGCAGACACCGTTCACTGCAGTTTTGTTTGCAGTTACAGTTTCTGTAGGTTTTACTCTGTGAGTGCTATTTACAGCCTTGCACTAAATTTGAACCATTTTTGCACATATTTTATAGCTTTTTAACGGATAAGTATTTACTGATTATTTACGGACACTTACGATAAGAATATCGGTTTTCAGTATTATGGATAACAGTTGTGGATGTACATTTGCATTCTTTGCAGCGTATAACGCGGTTCATCATTTTTGTAGAAACTGTTACCGGAAGAAATCCTACAGAAAGCGGTCTTGAAACTTCTCGGCAAGGAGTATGAATTTTCTGTTCTCCTGGCGGCTGCTTACCTGGCTCTTTTTGGATGGCTTGCAGAGTAAGGAAATATTGTGGATATTTATTTACAGAAATGGAAGCCTTTAGAATTGATTTGGTCTTAGAAGTCAGCTACAGAATTAAAACAGAATATGATCGTTATTTAGATCACTCTCAGGTATCAGCTATGGGACTGCATTGCACGAAATTTCCAGTTGATAAGCTAATATCGCGTCGCGTTATTTGTAGCGAGGAAGCGCGCGGGACACCCCCGTTGCTGGCGTGCCGGGAGTGTGATAAGCGCGTCAGTTGCGCCGGTTTCTGTCCCCTGGAACGACTAGCAATATTGGAGGCTAACGAAGAAGAAGGATTCCATCCCGATCTGTTCTCGGCCGGTCCCGAAGGCCAGTTTCGTTTCGACTGCCAGGGTGAGCATTTCTCATGGTGTCCCTGGGTGCGGATTGTTCCTGTTCCAACGGAGCGACTAGAGGCATTGGCCTTGCCGCTCAACACGCAGCTGACTGGGAGCCAGTTGATTATTTGTGCGTTCAAAAAGGAATATTTGACTATGTGATGGGAGTTCAGTGTTTTGCGGTTTATGACTGTATTTAATTGGACAAATCTATTATCTGGCTGCCGTATCGGGTTTGTACAACAATAGTGCTCCATAAACGAACCAATATCAAAAAAGGGTTTGGCTGTTTTTATTCGGTTGGTTCTCCTTTTGTACGATGAAATGCTGACGGAAATGCGCAGAACTATGCATGTGGTCTTATTTCATATTTACAAATTTGCCGTCACGTTATTTATCGCAGTCATTATACAATCGCAATTCATAGCTGTACTTACTGCAGTAATAACTACTCTATAGTAACCGGAAGAGTAAGTACATGATTACATATATAGCATCATTTATCAAGATCAAATTTGATAGATTAGTTGGTAAAACTTTTAAAATAATATGATTGAAACAGTCAAACAGATATATCTGTACTCGTACTTGCAATGCTACTGTGATAAAAATAAAATGCAGTCCCATGAAAATACAGCACAAGTAGGCAGATGCAGGGTGTTTATAAACTACGGCATATCGCGCAATATGATTGCTGTACAGATGTCATGCTTGATTTCCTGTCGACCAATGCCAACAGTACTCCCGTTTGTTTGTTATTTTTATAGCTATTTTACGTTCTGCTCTAATGGTTCCGCCATCTGTTGAATGCTTGACAAGCTTAAGAAATTAATCTAATCATAAGAAGTTTACTATATAAACATAATAAACTTAAACTACAGCACATAGTGCTGTACACAGTACTGTATTGTACACAGTACTGTACACTGTACAATACTCATTTAATGGCAATATCCATTTAATATTTCCCAAGACTGTTGCCCGAATGACCTTTCAACAGGGAAAAGAAATGTGAAATACGTTATTTGATAGCTAATTTCTGGCACGTACTCCAACCTATAGTTTAACCCGGCATTGCTCTCACTTGTCAGTATTAACTATCAATGAATTTTTGCCGAAGTCGTAATTTAGCATTGATATCTATATTTTAAAGAACTATCTGTACATAGAAGTACATGTACAATTTAAGTTCAGCAGACGTCCCGAAAAAAATATGTTATGCCGTGCTTCAAAAGCAGAATTTCTTACGACTAGAATTACTTGTGTTGTGGCTTTGTTAATTCTAAAAACATAAAGCGGAACGCCCTTATATATAGATATATACTATATACGAAGAGAGTCAGCGGCAATCATGCTTTTCGTAAAATTTCGATAAGGATGGTCGCTAGATGGATTTATCGTTTATCGATATTGTCATCGACATCGCTTATTTATTGCCTCATTGAAAAGCGCTCATTAACCCACTGAAGCATTGTTAAGCGGCTCTATTTGGGCCGTAAAATTGGCAATAAGCAATAGCCAATAAGATCATACGACAGTAAGTACAAGAAACTACCGTGCTTACGGTTAGTTTTCATGTTGATACCTACAGCTACTTTGTAGTACGCCACTGGAATTAGCTGTAAAGTTCCGAAAATGGTTTGGTTAAAATTTTGAAGCCGGAAACCGAAATGACAATCACACACCATCGGTTTCCGGTAAATTTTAATTAACGATAATTATTAGTACTATAAGTAGACTACTCGGATAGTACTCGTACTGGATAAAGCGCACAGGTGTGAATCAACTTCTCAAGAGACAATAACAAAATGAAATAGGATCAGAAATATTCAGGCACGTTAGTAACTTTTAAAATTAGTTATGCAACCCCATACATACAATGATGCAGTTTACTTGTTACGAAATGAGGTTTGAAAATCGGTAAAAATAAAATGCAGTACTGGCGAGTGGCGAGATTTGAGACGCTACTGTACTTACGGCCAACCACAAACGTGACCGCCGTCAGACGAAGCGCTACACGAGTCATCCATTCATTCCGCAACAGCCAATGAGCAATCTGAGTTTTATTGATTGATGTCGAGCGGGGTTGGACTATGCACTTCCGTTCAGATGTGGCGCAACGTAGCGAACTACCTTGACTAAGCTACATACTATGGTACTGGCTCAGGAATTCCCTGGCGTTAGATCTTCGTGTGGGCCCGGAAAGTGTGTTCCGTACATTACACACGGTACTACGGCCACATCAGGTTCTTACGCATCTGACGATCAGTCGTGAAGAAATTCTGACAGAAGATTCATTCGTAAGAAAATGACGCATTACAAAAAACATCTTTATCACGATGATGTTTCAGTTTTGCATCTACCATACAGAAAAGATTGCATCATTTATCGGTTTCATTTGTGGAAGTGATAGGTGAACATCAGACCAGATTGCATATTTGTTGTCGTGCTCCGATTTGTGGATTTATTTTCTTTGGGGAATTTGTCTGCAGCTTGAGTCAAGTTGAGTGTTCGTGTTCGGTTCTGTCTCATTTCTCATCTTTCGTCAACGTGAATCTCGCATTATCATGTCCGATCGGACATTACGATCGCATGTTTCCCGTCCGGGCTATTCGGATGTCACTCACCATGTGGAATCGCATGAGACAACATCGAGCGAAGGAGCGACAACCACGCGTACCACAACCGCTGTCAAACGAGTCAAGTATGCAAATTTGCCACTTGTTATCAGTCTATCGTATTTGTGGAGATAGGTGTTATTGGAAAATTTGCGTATCGTGCTTATATCGCTAGAGTAGTGTTTTTACTTACCTTCCATAAACTTCGCAGAAATGAGGAAGTATTTTGCAATTAGAGTAACACAAACTCCTTTAAAGTTTTGCCTTTAAATTAGCTGAACGTGAATGATGTCGCGGACTTTTGTCGTTGTTACTTGTATAATACGCAATATGGTTGATTTAATTAAAAAACAATTACAACAGACTCAACGAGCTTTAAGTGCTTTGGAATAAAATTAATTTTACTTTATATTTTCAAACCGATTTTAGCATCACAAAGGCAAAACTTGACAATAGTTATTGCAAAATTTAATTTTATTTAAAAAATATAAGAAATAATAACGGTATACAAAATTATATGATGGCAACTTTTGTTTACCGGTTTTATGTTTGTTTCAGCCGCGGGGAATTAACTTTCCCTTAATTTTGTGGTTGTCTTAATTATTTTGGGAATGGTTTGTTAATTATTTTGTAAACTTGATTTGTTAATAATTATTTCGTGAAATTGAAAATGATTCATTTATTTATTTAAAACAATTAGTCTTTAATAATTGGTAACTACCTGCGTACTTCTGTTTTTCTGATTAAATCTAGCGTATCTGTACAGGTAGTAGTGATAATTGGCCGGTCGACTTCTACTTAAGCGTAATGCGTAAATGACTTCTGACGGAAAAAAAATCGATGAATATTGCACGAGTTAGCCCGCTATGACTGCACAAAAGAACTTTAAAGAAGCCAGACATTTGGAAACTAAGTAGTGTGATAATTTAGAGACGGGTCGTTGTAGATTCCGCTTGGACAACATTGGAGAATCTCTGGATGGGACCGTGAGTGCGGAAGTAGTTAGATCGTCAATGGAGAGCGAGCGCGAAGGATCTGTTATGTCTGACGCGGCGACAATTGAAGGCTTACGCAACACAGCCAGCCAGACAGAAAATGGGATTTATTACCAGACGTTGTCGCGGGCTGGATCGATCATCGGCTATGTGGGGGCGCTGGATACTGTCAAAGAGGCGCGCAAAAGATTCGAGAGCAACAGTAGCGTGCAGCGCATTTTGGAATTTTTACGCCAAAGGTAAACTAGCAGCAGCGCAAATAAGCAATAAAATTGCGTTTTATTGTGATTGATTTTATCACCGGCGGCGATTAGTTTACGATATGTTACTTACCTTGGAGATTTCGATCTGCAAAACGATGGTAAAAAAAGCGGTAAATAGATTCATAAAAATTAAATAACTACAGTATATTGGTTTAAGAAATAACTGGAGAAATTTTGTTACAGTAAATATTTTTATTTCGGCGATGCGCCTGTTTGGCGTTTATCTACACTGTGAAGGTGTTTGTTTACATGTCCTGAAAATTATTAATTTTCTGTAAATTTATTCAAGCCCTGAAATTAACGTAATTTATACACTCTAGAGCACAACTGTAATCTGCGTGAGTAGTAGTAATTTTATGGTCAGCGGATTTTTGTGCGGTGGTTACCGGTGTTGATTGCTTTACTTCTGCGACCATGCAACTTCGATGCATACAGATCTGTATATGGATGAATTGTCGTTACATTTTGAAAAATCGTTTTATTTTGCATCACCTTGATTGTACACGATTTGCATAACAATACGGTTCTGAATTTTCTTAATGATAAACTGCATACATCACTGTCAGTGTCACGGATGGGTCAATATTTTGGATCGTGTGCTGGAGCGCTGATTAAAATTTTAAAAATGATGGATTGGCGCGAGAGTGCAAAGTCGGCTGTTTCTTTAATTACTGAACAGCCCGTTCTCAGACGTCTCAAATATTTGTTAAGAGCACAAAAGTTTGACGCATCGCAACGTTTCAAAACCGGTTTCCATCGCATAAGACGCATAATTATGTAATTACACCGCTAGAAACCGACGGTGATATTTCCTTGTTGTTCAGCCTTTTCACAGGTTGATGTGAATTTATTTCGCAAAAAATGGGCGTAAGCGCTACAGAAGCGAGCTGGCAGAGAGCGGCCTTCAAGTGGTTTCTTTGTGAGAAAAAGAAAAAATAGAGGTTCTCAAGATGCGAGTTTTCGTCCGTTTTTTTTGCGATACAAAGCCGGTTTTTACAAGACTCTATACTATATAATGCATTATTTATACGTAGAAGGAAAATTTTCATTTAATGGCGATAATTTTCTAAATAGTTTGTCTCGGATGTGTTTTTCTGCCTTAATTGATAGGGTTGTTTCTACTGTAATTTTCTGGATGAGTTTACGAATTAGTGATTAGTTAATAATAATTTTTATTAACCGGTGGGCTGCTTCTCAGTTGTTATTTTTTCTAAAACAATTTTCTCCTGTGTAAGGCATTTTTAAACGATTCTCTGGCTGTTTTGATGCACGAGTAGTCAAAAATTTATTGAAAAATAAGGTAGAATGTCAGTGCCATGTAATTAATGAACAGACATGTTTCTTTTGAAATTTGTTTCAACTTGGATTGTCTTGAAAGTTGACGTGCTTGGCAGGTGACACGCATTTTTCCGATCTGGTCGCTCAAGTGGCGCGGCACTAAGCACATGGATAATAAACGCTGTTTGTGCTGCGACGGAATCTGTTTCCCTCCGCAGCAGCGTTATGAGTGGTGTTTTGAAAAAAGCAGCTGTGCATCTGTAATTCAAGGTTTTATATAACTTTGTTGGATGCTTGGAGAGTCGTGCGGAAACATTCTTGTCGACTCGAAATCGATATGGCGCTCATAAATGCGCCACGCTTCAGCTCTTGCAGACTGTTTTGCGAGAGTTGCATGCAGATGGATGCGAATCATGCGATTAGAGCTGGATTTTAAATAAAACTGAAATTGCTCGATCGAAATTCATGTGGTTGGGAACGACATTTTTGTTGCGACCTTTTTTATAATTCGGTAAAATTGTGAATACTCCATTTGCAATGGTTTGCGTTTCTGTTTTCGTTATCGAATAATTTATTTCGGTGACTCGCGGATATTAAGCAATATGCTTATGACTTATGATTTTTTCGTTTTCTTTTGTTTGCCATAATACAGTAATGTTTTCGTTAAGCAATAATCTTAATTTAGATTTTATAAATACTGTGAGAGGTTTCGGTACGTTCTGGCGGTTCTGGTATTTTTTACTTGCGTAATTTCATTTTGTATCCAGTGTTTTGCTGACTTGCTTTGGTGGCTTTTCGAGTAAATGCAGATTGCACAGAAAATGGCACAAAATGAAACTAGGTAAGTAAAAAAATTCAGAATGTATAGGAATTTCTCACGATATTAATCTAAAATAAATTATTACACTTGAAAAAAACATTGAAGGTACGAGCACTCTTATTTCACTGTATTTAATACAGTATTTAATGGTGGCACTGGACTTTTTCAATTTAAGTACTTACAGCTGTAGCCTGTAAAGATTTTTCATTGTGAACCGTTCGCAAACATCAAATACTGTAATTTTTAACTGAATTAACTGAAGCGTGTACGCAATACAAATATCAAATACGACTGTGCAGTTTACACCATTTAAATGATCGAACTGTTTTTTAAAACATGGTTGTAAGTTGTAAATTATCCGACGTGTATTTGTTTTTTGAAACATGGTTGTAAGTTGTAAATTATCCGACGTGTATTTACTATTCATACTTGTAATGAAACTATTCCTAACTTCCTGTCAATGTCTTTATTAATTTAAATATTTAATTGGATTGAATTGTTTCCATCAATAATTACTCTTAAATTCCATGCTCAGCGCTGTAGGCTGTACTCTGCATTTTAATTGGCTGCAATCCTTGCCAAAAAAATTATACCCACCCACGTGCAATTTCGCACGTCTTAACGGAGCCGAGCGTCACGTGGTGCGGCTGCAAGCGTAAAATTACACGCGCCATACAAAAATAACGCCAGTGTCGCAAATTTTCCCCCGAAGAAAGACAAAGCAGGCGCCGTTAAGCATCATCGGACGGTTTGTTTCCCGGATCTTTCCACCGTTCGTTGGCCACTCTCCATCATTTGCATCTGTACAAATCGAAATTTACCAGTTAAAAATATCGCCAATCATTTGCAGCCGATTTGCTATTCGTATCTTATCAAAGCACCTGTCAAAGCGTTGAGGATTTTGATTTCTCCCGAGTGCTTAGTAGAGAGCTGCGAGTCGGTGATTTCTCGTTGGCTTGAACAGTCGCGTTCAGTTTTATGAGTGTTGATTCTGTGGAACTGCGCCGTGTGTTGTGAAGTCTTCTCCATGGCTATGTAAGAACAGTTAGGAATTTTCGTAGCTGTGAAGTTTATCATACGGAGCCAGAGCGTTAGCGTGAATTTTAATGGTTTGTTTGTTTTCTTGCAGCGACGAGCGACCAAAAACGGGGTACACCTACGCGATGGGGTAAGTCACCGTAAGTGCTGAGTTTCTCGGAAGTTTCCGGGTTCTTGGACCGTTTTCTTTCGGGAGATTTCCTCCTGTTCAATTTTTTACTGGGTCACATTTTTTGTTTCTCCATTGCGTTGTTGCTTTCTAGAATTTTCAGGAACTGAAAGCAGCAGTATGCTAACTATTTTATTATTTATATTTTGCATTTTGGCAAAATAATTTATAATCATTATAAATTTATAATATTATTGTAAACTCGCCAATAACGTATTGCATGTTTTTCCCTATTTCTTTTTTACGTTTCTGATTATTTCGCACATTTTTTATTCATTTTATTCAAAAACCTGGAAACTGTTTCGATAGTGAAATCTCAGGAATTTTTTTAATTTGTTGATCCGTGTTATTGTTGTTAAGTAGTAATTTTCGAAATTTATTTAAAAATTTGTTTCTCAAGAATTTATTTAAAAATTTGTTTCTCGAGTCAAGATGGCTTTTTTCCCCCTGTGTTCCTTGGCATGTTCTTCACTCGGCTGTGGTCTATTCTAAAAATTTACAAAGAATCTCTTTGCAGGCTGGGTTACCGACGCGACGGCATCCACAATCCCGAAATGCCTAACATGTGTCGTTACAGTTTGGATTATTACGCACAAGGAACAGCATCATCGTCTGCCGCTGCATCAACATCCGCGGCATCGTCTTCCTCACAGGTGGTCTCACAGCGGCGCCAAATCACTTCGTCTGCCGCGGATCGCTCCTATGCCTACGATCATGATGACGGGGAGGAGAATTTTATTCAACAGCGACGAAGTTTCCGTCAGTCTTCCGCGCGACCAGGTAAAATGCTGTGACCAATTTCTTTTGCTTTTCCGATGTAACTGAGCTTTCTCGTTGCTCGTTTTTCTGTTCCTTAAAGCTGTCAGTTGTAGTCATTCGAAAAGGAAATATTTGATTAAAACAGAAGACTTTCGTTGATGTTTTCACTGTTTTTCTTCTGCATTTACGAGTATAATCGAAAATAGTTTGAGAATATACTGTTTTCCTTGATTTTTGCGGCCGGCCGGATATTTTACTTGAACGATAACGTTCCTTGATAAGGACTGAAACCGAATGCGGTATAGAATGAATGCTGAATTTTGTGTGGAATTTGTGTGGAACTTACTTAATTTGTTCCTGTTTTGTTACCAGAACCAAGCTCTCCGATGTTTATGAGTGGCTTGCATGCCGTTAGCAATTTCATTAAGCGGAGCGTACGCGTGGTGACGTCCACCACTACCACGACTAACCACTTGAACCATGCTACGGATGAGGAAGACAGCGACGTCAACACCAGCCGAACACTTGTTAATGGCCGCATCACTCCCGAATCTCGGTCTGGATCTGGAACAGAATGTACGGTCTTTTGTGCTGTAGCTGACATTTTGATTGCGTACTACCGTCTACCGCCATTCTGATGTGTAGACTGTAGAATTTAGTCATCTCTTTCCGTTTAGTAATCTCTCAGTAATTTAGTAATTTCTAATTAAAAGTCCTGTTAAATTATAAATATTTTTTATATCAAAAACAACGTATTAAATTATTATTATCTCTGATATTGCCGGTCGTAAATTAACGATTCAATAAGATAATTATTCTTTGGCAGTTTCGGATTTGAAGAACAGTTCCGGTCGTTCGGGGGCGTACTCGGCGTCCCGTGGTGATCAGACATCCTTATCAGCTACCAGTTCAATGCGCCGGGAGCAGGGTTACATTCGCAAGCCCGATGCGGTTGGCAATGGCGTCTATTACAACGGCCATCATAGTTTCTCGCATCCCCTGGAAAGATCCACTCGCACCGCTTCCACTGGTACGTGAGTTGCTTTTTCGTCGGGTCGGCTGGGTATTTTTCGCTGCTGTGTAAACGGCTACCGTGCATTTTCTCGTCGTTAAAGTAGCATTTTCACTTGAACGCTGTCCTTTATTGCATTTATTTTTGGAATGGCTGTTGTCTTTTTTATGTAAAATTATTTTTTTAATAATTATTTATAACTACAATTAAATTTGTCAAAGTATTATTGCGGTGCTTGTGCTTTCTGAAGAATGCGGTCGTCTTGATGACTCTTTTTTTTTCCGTTTTGCAGCCCAGTCTGTATTTGATACGGTGCGTCAGCGGTTTATTGACGTCGTGACAAAGACCACCACAACGTAAGTGTAAAATAATAGTTTCGGTGTGATAATTGTAATAATTTACACGTTTGCTGCATCGCTACAGCGTGACCAATATCTTCAACCAAACGGATGACAATACTACTGGAGAACATCGTAATCTGACGGAGAAGCGGCCCCGTCGATCTCGTTGGGCGCTATGCTGTTGGTGTTTGCCACTGCTCCTTTTGCCACTCTTATTAGGTAGGTAAATCGCTTGTTCCATAGATAATTCTTTAAACGAATGATGAAGTGCCTTTAGACGGTTTCCCATTGAAATATAGATCTACTGTGTTTTTCCTGTATTTTTTATTTTTCTTCTGCAAATCTGTAAAGACTGAAATTACGCATCTGCAGAACCTGTTGCATTGGAGTTACGGAATTCTCCGTTGTTCCAGTTTTCTACAAATTTGATTGTGTTCAATTTTTATTCAGGTTTATTGCCGGCATTTTGGCGCTCGGCGGAAACAGGTGCTGGCAGCAACACGACTGTGATAGATCGGTTTTATGGTGGATTATGGCCGGCTTTATGGGGAATGGGCCGCGACGCCACGGTGGTGCATTATCACTTCAACGGCACGGTAATCATATGCGGTTATGGATCGCTGCCAGTTATTTATACACACTGCAGTGGATGGTTTATTTGTTTACTGGCTTGAACTATGTTGATTGTATGCTTGACAGAATCTCACAAGGCAGGAACTGGAAGAAATTATTCAGTGGAAATTTAATCAGCTTCCGGTGAGTGTTGTATGATTTGTGCTGCGGTGCGGAAAATCTTTCTTTCCCATTGGAATAGAATTATCATATTATTCTGCAGATATTTTATGAAATATCTATAACTAATAAAAAATGAAAATTTTACGCAATCAAAAGACCGGAGAATGTTTTGATCAGTGAACTTCATTTCACAACTGTTGTTTATCAAGGACTGTTAAATTGTCACTTGTGTGCAGACCAGTACAGTATTATTTTTTCTTTTGTAGGTGGCTAAAAACTGCTGTGATGATCTCGAACACATCCGATCTCAAACGAAGTTGCTGGTAGACAGAATTAATGTAAGAATGCATGTATGTGCTGGAAACTGCGTTATGGATAATCTTTGCCTCCCTTTGACAATTATTCTCTTTATGGAAAAGATTTTGTGCGCTGTTATTGCATCCGCGTTTTTTGCTTAGGATCTCAGCAAAACTTCAAGCGAGCGCGAAACACATCGCTTGAACGATGAAGTACGAAATCGCCAGTCGCTCGAATGGATGCGGCAGTCGTTAGAAAAGCTGCGATTATTCGTGATCAAACTGGAGGAAGACGCGGTATATTTTGTCATGATCATGGTCAAAATGGAAACTATTTTTTCAACATCGGAAACAATTTTATTTTTCTCGCTGATGTAGAAGACGCCTCGAGAGGAATACGTACCTAAAGTGGTTCAGGAACGAGAACGGTTCACGTTGGACGATGTCCGGATTTTGATTGCGCAGATGATCAAGCGCTATGATGAGGATAAGATCGGCGAACCGGATCACGCTCTGGAATCAGCTGGTATGTTTCTCGCAGTTGGGGTCGTCTTAATTCCTGTTTGATTTATTTCTGAATTTATTGGTTTAATTTATTGTGATGTTCTGACGATTGCTGGTTAAGATTTAAATTTTTTCTTTCCAGGCGGCACAGTGATTAGTACACGCTGCACGGAGGATTACAAGTGGGGACATGCACAGTTCAGTTTATTTGGCATCCCTTTGTGGACATGGACCACGTCGCCCCGCTTGGCTATTCAGGTTTGCTTAGTGAAAAATAATGTTTACCTTACAAGTAACAGCCAGACTGTATTTATTCCTGTGTACGGATACGTTTCTCTTAATCTGAAGTTTTTTTCCAATCCGCTATGGTGTGCGATTAAGTACTTTACGGCAGTACACAAGTGTAGATGATCTTATGCATAATCACTGTATGACTTGTCAGCAACTGGTTGATCGGGGCTGCCGAAATTTTTTTATTTAGTTTGCGTTTGTTATTAGTTTTTTATCGTTGAGATTGTTTTCCATTACGAAGAATTAATTGGCTTGTCAATGAGATTAGCGAAATTGATGGAAGTTTTATCATGTGTTTTTACAGGATGATATCCGTCCTGGTCAGTGTTGGGCCTTCAAAAATCATACCGGCTTTCTTGTCCTGAAGCTGGCTGGTCTCGTCCGTCCTACGAGTTTTACGATTGATCATCTTCCCCGAAATCTGTCTCCCACCGGCAAGATTGACAGTGCACCGAGGAATTTTCGAGTATTGGTAAGCCTTTGCTGTTCTTCGGTTTGTTCCGATTAAAATAAAGAAACTGGCAAATTTAGGGTCTCTTGTCGGAACAAGGTCCTCCAGTTCTCCTGGGAGAATACGAGTACCTGGACAATGATGAATCCCTGCAGAATTTTCAGATTCAGGTTGGTGATAGGTTGGTGATGAAATTTCGTAGAGCAAGGGATGACTTAGCTGTAATCTATTCCAAGCTTCGTCTACCATAGTTACAGTATTTACGATTTGTATCTGGAATATCATTTTTTGAATGTCGACTGGATGTTGCATGCCGCGCTTGTTTGTGTTTTGTTTTAACGATAGGAAGTAAATGTAAATTTTTATTTAGGTAAATGTTGTTTAAGTCATCGTGTGGATTAGAAAATCAATTTTTGTGCCGAATTTTTGTGGCGTTAAAATCTACCGGATTGTTCACGATGTGTTTTTATAAAGGAAAGAGTTTGGTTGGGATTTGCAGACAAAACTGGAACCGACCCAATCGTTTGGCTATATTGAACTGGACATCACTTCCAACCACGGGAATCGGGATTACACATGCCTGTACCGCTTCCGGGTGCATGGCGTGATGATGCAGCGTGGGAATTTTTGATTCGACGAATCGACATGAATACCGTAGTCCTATTTGCCACTTGGAATGAATTCTGGTCATGAATCTGTTTGAAAATTATGCCAAAGTATGCCTTTATGCGGGAGGGATGCGTATGCGTTGTACCTGATGGTGCTCTTTTTGTTCGCTACTGAATCGCGTTATTTGCGTTAAACGGGGGGGGGAGCATGTGTCTGAGACGAGCTTGTTTTCCAATTGATCTCCGGTTATGAATGGATTTGTACAGAACCAATGAAGCGGATTTTATGCATTTAACAGTTTTCGCCGATTGCTTTTGATTGTGTGAATTTTACTGGTAGCTTCTTGATGGTTTGATCTGAACGTTTTTATTAAAGAGAAAGGAAAAGATATTGCTGAACATTTGTTTGATTCCTCTGCAGGTGCACGTCTGATAAGAAGGACATTTTAATTAGTCGACATTCTTCAGCAGATGTTTTTACTTTATAGTCATATCGCCCACAGCGTTTGTCTTTATTTTCATACATTAAGCAATGCCAGAACCTAATGTAGGCTATTTGATTCCATCAGCTAATATTAACTGATTGGAAATTAATTATAAAAAATTCTTATAATAACTTCCTCAATGTGAGGAGGAGAAGCACTTTGCGAGTACAAAAACGCTGCGGTACAGTTTCTTACTGGAACAGTGTTACGGTGGTGAATTACAGAATTACATATTTGCTGGTATTATCTCGCTCAGAAACTGAATGGACTATAGACACATTGATTTTAACCTGTTGCGTTATTTATTTACAGAATGAGAATTTGATACTGACATCAGGCTGGCCGGTAAACAACCAAAAACATGCACAGTCTGTAGTATTAACTTTAAGCTATCTGTATATTGGTATTGTAGCAGTTCAAAATTCCTGATTTAATAGCTGTAACTTTTGCCACCTGAATAATCTTTCTGCGGAATCGGAAGTACAATCTATCATAGGAACACCAGCACACGGAACTAACGGAGAAACTTTTTTTATTAAATAAAACTGATTTATGAAAAGTCGGCGATTTTGACGCAGCAGATATATAATTTATAGCATTTATCGCTGCACTTGTAACTGCATGCAACATCATAGAGGTATTATCAGAAGATAATTAGTCACTTCGAACTTGACAATAAGTTAGATTTCGCATTACATAAGAAATCGAAGTTGACTTGTTGTTGTTGCTCATGACACGTTCTATACATAACTGGAATTACTGGACTGTATGGTGTTCGTGTTATAATGAGTAACCCGGTTCATCTGAACACGGACTTACAGTAAATCACACTACAAATCTTCGATTTTAAATTTTTAATACGGAGATACCACTTTAATAGCTGTCAAACACGCTGCCGGTGTGTGATCAAAACCGTTCATCCAGACATACAAATATACAAGTATCTCACCTGGGGCAGGTGGTGCAGTTTCAGGAATGCATGCCGACTGTATAAAAATCAGAATATGTGGGTGGAAAAAATTAGTTTGGCGACAGTGCCCTTTAACCAGCGTTGATTATATTTTTACGCGCACTCTACTACACGGCTCAGTTCACCATGATTCGCATGTAAGTACTTCAATGAGATTTTCAACTATGTAACCGAACATGATTATTCGTCTTTATATAATACAGTGAATGGAAGGTCATGTGGTAAAATGGTGTACACTCATTGTACAAAATATTTTGATTATTCGTTTGTGATACTGTAATTAAACATATACGTATTAATTTTTCGTGTCAACACTCAACAGTCTGTTAAAATTGCATTCTTATTATTCTCAAAACCATACGATCCCTCTCATATCCATTAATACATATTGCGCATACAGAGTATATAAGATAATGCGTACAGTTTTATAGAAGATAATGCAATATTATAGTAAACCTAAAAGGTTATATAATAAATGTTGATTACTTATGGAACATGCTTTCGGCACTTTCAGCAGAAACTGTTGACGAACAGTAAAAATAAGAAAATTATTTACGTTTTTATTTCATAATATATGCAGTTCTAAGCTTAATTTTTTTACACGTTTTCAGTATCAGCCTGTTAGCTATTTTGGCGGTTGGCCTTGTAGTGGCTGGCGTACCTGGCGGCACGGGTGAAGTGAAGAATGCTGATGAACAAGTGCAGAAACTGGTTGATTCCGTAAGTAAAAACTATTTAACCACTGCCTAACAGAAGTTATTAATTTGTATAATAATTTAGGACGCCATGCGTGATATAAAATCTTATTTTAGGTATCGAGCCAGATCGCTGCCAAGGCCGGTATCAGTGCTAACAGCAAGCTGATCGCCGTATCGTATAAAACCCAAGTGGTCGCCGGCACCAACTACTTCGTTAAGGTCAGTGCAATAATCAGTACGCAATAGTTACCGGTATTATTTGTTTGTACAATGAAATTTTTAGGGGAAAACACTCCAAATTTATATTCCGATAGCGCGTACATATATCTCTTTTCGTTACGTACAATGTTCTTTTCTGATTTTTTAATCCTACACAGATCCGTGTGGGCGTATCCCGAAACGCTAAGGTCATCCATGTCCGCATCTATAAGGATCTCAAAGGCAAAGTGAGCGTGTCCTCCATCAAGAACGCCAAAGAATCCGATCCAGTGAACTACTTTGATTAAATTTTCCGGCTATGCATATAATTCCAAAAAATATTACAGGAAACAGCTGTCGACGTCGAGTATTGTGTACAACATATATACTGTATGACGTATTCGTATGCCCGTTTTAAAAGAAATTTCGTTGGGTTACACATGTAAAATTAAGGCGGAAGGACGTGTAAACTATGTATATACTGCGGAATGATCGACGCAGAATTAAAGAGGCATGTTGATCACATTGGCCGAAGCTATCACACAAGTTTTATTAAAGGATGAGCCTTAATTTCTATCTTTGAAGAATTAATACCATACAAAGTTTATTTGGTATTAGCATATGTCGTAAAATCACCTTAATTGTCAGTTGTTTTTATTTATGTTGGTTAAAAAATGTCCATCGACCGTGTAGATTGGAAATTCATCAACAGTGATAACCTACAAAAAAATAGTTTACCTTTGAAAAAATAACGTATATACTGTAAATATCGTGACACCAGTATTTCGTTCAAGTTTATGATTACTACTAGTACCAGTATCTTGGTGCCTTGTACAAGTACAAATAGCTGTTGTGTTGCTGTGTAGGTATATATTGCAGGAATTGTTTAGTAAACCGCTCTATGGATGTATCTATACCTCCAATATCAAAAGCTTTCCGCGAAACTTGGATGATAACTTCCAGAACGGAAGTTTTGCAGAAGCGCTTTATGAAGCCTTCTAGATCCTTGGTCGTGTCGACACGTTTCACTAATTTAAAATAATAATTTCTTCGCGCCAATAAGGGTGAATAACACCAAAAATGCATCATCAGACTGAGACCATTAAGCTGACTGGCCAAAATTAACAATGTAGATTTCACCTCGTAAAATGTTGCCCATCGGCCAAACCGCCTTGCGTACACATACTCGTAGACACTTACTGCTAGAAATGCAAGTCACTACAAAAACTATAAAAAATTTCAAATAGTTTTCATTCACGGGAAAACGATTGTTTTTGCCAATAAAATATGCCAATAATGGCAGAAATGTATGTTCAAGTATCTCCTGCAGGTTATATCGGCCGAGTAAAATTTTATACAAGGCCGCCAGCAAAGACTTTGACCATTTATATAAATGTAGATATACTACACATACACAATTACACATAGATTATATAAGTGTTCCGGATCACGCAAAGAAAGGTCGTCGACGCTTCACATAATATTTTTTAACCAGTTTGCATTTTCAGATCAACCTATTTTTCGCCATCAGCACGAGAAGGCAGTGTGTGGATTGTGCGTGGTGGTTGTATGCCTTGTTCTGGCTGTTTTCCATGACCAGGCGGATGCCGACAAATGCGGAGACCCCGATAGTGTCTGTGCAAAGGGGAAAGACTGGAATGCCGGAGATGCTTTGAGCAACAAGTACTGCACCAACTGCACAGCACCAGATGGACAATTGTACAAGAAAGGACGGTGTGAAGGTTTTGGAGCGCGGTGCGAGTGTTATCCGAAATTTGTTTTACCTAAAAATGCAACAAAACATGCGCATGTCGAATAACTGAATGATACTATGTAGTGCTCGTATAATTGTTGGTGTACTATTGCCTATTGGGTATTATATGCAAGTACTTAAATAATGCTAAGCGCGTACATAGTTTATGTACAAGTGCTTCGTTCATACGGTATAAAAGATACACTAATGTTCTAGAAAAAGATTTTCTAATCCGCGTTCGGAATGGCAAACAAAAAGGCAGCTTTACCATACTACGGTATATCAGTACGTAGAAGTTCTTGCGGAAACAAAACAGGGAAGGTTGTCATTTATACTGCAAACGATCGTGTTGAAAACACTTATCAAGGTTGTCCGTTCGGAATCCATTAGACTTTCGGTACAACGCCTAATTGTTGAAATGCATATAACGTGCTTATATTCAGTTTTTGTCATTTTGTTCCGTTTTATTAAATGCTGAAAGACAGCTCACGCCATCGAAATTTTCACGGCAATTTCACAGTGTGATCGTTGACCTTTCTTCAAAACTGCCAGATCATTAGTATGATAGAGCAGCGCCGCAATAAACAATTTACAATTATGCAGTATTGCATCGTATACAATACCGTGTACAGTGTAAAAATATTACCATAGTCTAATGCTGTAAATAGATTATCTTGCGTAGTTATGGCTGCACTATCTATAATTATCCTAATTACCTACATATATTCCCCACTGGTTTCCGGTTTTGTAATACGTCATCGTCATATGCCCATCAAACAGGGTGTTAAAACCGTCCCGGAATTGTTCACCACCGCGGATCAGGCACCGACTAATGTAGCGTTCACTGCGCAGAAAGGTGTTATCGAACGGACATGCCGATCGGCGGATGCCGCGAACAGCGATATCACCGGAATCTGCGTGCCGCTCAGTCAGCTGGATACCCGTTGTGCAGATCAACAGGTGTCCACATCAGCCGATTGTACAGCGAGTGCCGGTTCAGATGGGGAAGAACGGAGTTTCTGTTGCTCCAGCGACAGCGGTGCCAGTAAGTAAGCTCAGCACTACATAAATTTTAAAATGTTCTCAAATGTAATCGGACGAAAAAGGCGTAAAAATTATGAATGCGTTTCGGAAATCGTGCGAAATTACGGCACAATTATTAATCTGTGCTAGTATTATCCGCGTGTACAATACAGATATGTTCTATAGATATGAGGTAGTAAATACTGTGTAAATACGTGTATCAACCACACGAATAATTGTGTGATAACGGTAATGTTGCCATGGGCGGTTGCCTTAGAGACTTTTATGTTCATACTAAAATTAAAAAAAATATTATCAGAGATGATCTCTAGCTGTAGCAGTAACAAGTTAATAGCCTTCATATACCGTATTTACATGATACACTGCAGTACTTTTAAATGTGAACTCTTAAATATTTTAATGTTTTGCAATGTAACTCCAAACATTATAGCAGCGCGCGGAGCAGCCAAACAGTCAGCTACCACGTCTTCTTATTACAACTACCCGTCCGCATATTCCACACAGCAGTCGCCTGTTTCTTCCTATACACCGGCCACCCCAACGGGCGCACCCACTTCTCCACCGGCTGCCGCGCCGGAATTTCTCAATTCACAGCGTGCTACGGTGCGCGAGCAGCAGTGCGGTATTCCCAACGGTGATCCCAATGTGTACATCAGCTACGAACAACTGAAGCTACGCCAGACATTTCGCCGGGTACGACTGCGTCCGGGCGCGGAGCGGGGTGTGGTACGCCATCGTAAAGGCCACGCTAACGCCAACCGGGTCCAAATTGCCCAGACTATTGTGGGCGGGTTTGATGCGCCAAACGGGAGCGGATCCTTGTGTTGGCAAGTGAGTAACGTATACCGTTCTCCTAAATTTTGGATAAAATATACATAAACATATACATTAAATATGCAAACAGCAAATATATTAATATATACAAATACATAAGATATTTACAAAATATATTTTGGGATAGTTGTACGCAATGATACAGGTAGGAAATAGCCATGGGTCATGTGTCATTCGTAGAGATCAGCGCCTCATTAACGCCGCGCGGGGTACGAGTACATATAAACGTGCGCGAACTCTCGAATGGATTTCGGTGATGCATTTCGTACGTAGGGACTGCACTTTTATCGTAGCTAGCTAGTTAAACCACGTCAATTATTTAGTTTAGCAAATTTTTTACTTCCTGTTCCGCACAATTCTTTCTCGATCTTGATAAAAATTTGTTTATAGAATCACATTCGGAAATTAGTTTCCCAGTTAAGCTTTGACAGAACCAGGTGTAATGTGGTGATCCTCAAAAGTTTTGCTTCCCTACTCTACCGGTTTTTTCCATACTTCATGTATACAAGTAACTGAAGTAAGTACCTCGTAATCGTAATCATAAACCATTAACAGAAGGTTTCTGTTCTTCGGATTATGAGGTACGAAACTAATATTTAAAGACACAACCAGTCGTTTCAACCTCTTGAAAATTTACGGTTTCTGTTTACAGATAGCAAGATTTTAAACCCGGAAACCGTAAACCTACAGGAATATTGCGTATCATTTAACAGAAGGGGAAAATGAGCGAAATAACATTGAACACGCACTAATTAAAATGTTGTATCTGTAATAACACAGTAATGGTAAAATAAATAATAGTATTCAAATATCAGAATTAGACTGGAAAAAATTAAACTGGGTATTTTGTAAATATCAAATTTTTTGAAAAATCTGATACTCTTTTCCAAACGGTAGAATGCCATGTAATTTTTTAGCCATTCGTATTCCATTCATATATTTTTTTTGTATTTTGAATTCTATCCGGTACATAAGTGACTCGAAAAACAATTTGTACGGTATGTCAGAGATTTTTCTTTTATTTTGTATACCACAGGTGGCGGTAACCATCTACGACCTGACGACCGGCTTCACCTACGGCTGCGGCGGCAGTATCGTGGGCATGTGGACGATCGTCATCGCCAGCCACTGCCTGATCGACACCACCGTGGCCGCCTTCAACAACTCGGCCAACATCGTTTTCGTCGACATCGGCGTGATCACGCACAGCACCGTGGACGGGGACAACCCCTTCCCGGAGGTCGTGGCCGGCTGCCACCAGAGTTACCGCGTGGCTCAGGCCATCCCCCATCCCAACTTCACCCTGGACACCTTCAACAACGACGTGGCCCTGCTGATCCTGGAGGAGCCCATCGACTTCCGGGTGCACGGGGCTTGCGCCTGTAAACTGTGCCTGAACCGGCACGTGCCGCCGCCGGGGGAGCGCTGCATCACCTCCGGCTTCGGCAGCGAGGTGGACGCCGAATTCGGGAACGTCACCAACCCACGGGTCAACATCCCGCTGAAGTACGTCGTCCAGACCATCCTCCCGCCGAGTTATGATAACTGCTCGTACTTTGAGTCGAACACCGGGGAGCGGACGGATCTCAGTCAGTTCCTGTGTGCCGGGGGCGTGGTGGGGGAGGATTCGTGTCAGGGGGATAGTGGGGGCCCGTTGTTTTGCTATAATGCCACGACGGGGACGCAGTATCTAGCGGGGATTGTGTCTAGTGGGACCGGTTGTGCCACCGGCCTCGGGGGACTGTATACAAAGGTGGCCCGCTTTTTGCCGTGGATTTTTAATACGGCACCGTTAGGTGATGTGACTATCATGGTTTGAGGTTGTATTAAACGCCAATCAATCAAGCATTCCAGTTTCTGAAGATGCAAATTATTACGCGGTTCAGGGATAATTTTATTAACACAGATCCAATGCATTAACAAACTGTTTTGCGGAAAAAGCGACAGAAACAGCACAGACAAATTACATAATTAAAGATTTGGTACATCTATTAACGGCAAACATTAATATCCCGAGCAAATTTGAAACAAGGCGTTGGAGACGAAGCTCAAGAATTAAGAAATGTAGCAATTCGCTGCTCTATCGGTGAGGTCACTCAGATCCATCTTACATAATCGTGCAGCACAAAAATTTCTTCGGATTGCGGGTAGTGCGCGCAAGCTGACGAGCAGCTAATTTTGCGGCATTTGACCTCATGATTTCTTCGTACATGGCCAGAAGACGCGCCATTCGGCTTGCAGGTGCTCCAAATCTTCCCATTCGTCCTGCAATATTTAGGATCTTGCAAATCTTATTAGGAGGCAGAAGATACAAGCTCTCTTGCTGGACTAATGATACGATTGTACATCGTAAGGGAAGCGAAGAACGTATAAGCTTCTGTAATGATATTACAGATCTATATAATATAAGTATCACAGCCGCAATGCAGACTCCTTACCATTAGTCTTTACTACTCTATATAGTGTTGCATTCATAATTAAAAGATCGCGATACAAAACTAAACAAAATCGCAAGTTACAAAAGAACTCACATCGGTAAGGTTTAACGGTTCAGCGTCCCCACAGACATCTCCTGACAAATTTAGTAAAGGTCAAATTAATTGTATAAGCGCAGAGTGCCGACGTATATTACGGGTACTGTACATATAGCAGTTTTGCGATCTAGCAGTACTTAAATAAAGTGACAAGTAATTTTGGCGCGATTGCCATTAAGTAGGTACCTACCTAAAGTACTTGCGGATACCGCCATTAAAGATTCGTACAGCAGCACAAAATAGTATTAATTTTACATAAGACCGTTTTGCTTAAGATTATCACACTTTAGCTTAATTAAACTGCACTACCAAGAACTGATCATGATGTGAAATACGAGTACAGTGTATTTTATGACGGAACCGAGTATTTCACAGTTTCACATCCGGATCCATTGTTCTCCAGTGCCACTGTCCACCGCGCGGTTCAGCACACATTTTTAATTGCTATAATTAAGTGTGCATGACGTTTTGCTATCACGTTGTCTGCTTGGCACGTCGAGTGCTGATGCAGTCCTAATGCGCAGTACTCGTATGCATGGGATCCGGGTTTGTTGCATCGGGATATACTGTAGTATTTTGTATTCGTATCACAGCTCATCAATTTGTTTCCGGTTTCGTAAATTCGTACTTCGTTTTTCGTAGTTTTGGATTTTATTGTAGTACAGTACTGAATTTCTTAAAAACGAAATATTCTTCGATACTAGTAAAAACGGGAAAATAAATGTAAATTGTAAACTGACGATAAATTAGCTGCCAGCCCTTCTTTCATCCATTTCCAACACAAGCCGTTCCAATGGCATTGTGAAGCACATCCGGCTTGTTTTGGAACTGAACGGCTTTCGTTCTTGCAGGCCCAGCTGCGCGTTTTTTAACTTAAAAAAACTTGTTTACTTAAATCAGCTCACGATTTTACTAAACATTTTGTTGCTACTGTTCTTACCCGATTCTTACTGCTTGTCTGTTACTACTTTTCTTGCCATTAACTTTTCGTTTGTACTCCCGCTAACATGGACACCGTGAGCTCTCCCGCCGCAGTCGCCCATGGCGCGAAACAGCCAAAGAAACGCAGCAGGTCCGCCACGGCCAGCGAACCTGCCAAGCGACCCCGTCAAACCCACCGCCCCTTCCCCCTGCCGAAGAAGGGCAACGTTCACGGCACGGATCATTACGATGTGAAGGGCATTCTGGACTACCGATTCTGCATGTCCCTGGAGGATCCCAGCAAGTACATTGTGTACTTCCTGGTGGAATGGGAAGGCTACACCGTCGCGGAATCCACCTGGGAGGATCCGGAGAGCCTCTTCGATTCCTGGCACCTGGTCAAAGAGTTCCTGCAGAAGCAGAACAAGCGCATCGTCATCGATGAGAAGAATCATTCCATGGAGATTCTGGATATTGAGGATGAGAATGACGAGAATTAATCACGGAAAGGGGTCGGACTGCGCGACCCTGGAATTCCCTGTACCTCGAAATTCGCAAGTATTACTGTTAAATTCGGTTTTCGCACCATTCCATATCCTGCTCATTACGATCTCGTTTATTCTGTTTGACCTAGAAGATTAGCATGATTTTGCCGTTGTGATGGATTTCGTGAGATTACCTGCACGTCGTTTGTTGCTTTTTCCGTTCGGTGTATGTGATATTCATCGCTCAGATTGAGATGGATTTTTTCCTTTTTTTTGGGATGATATTATCGTGGGACCAAAGATCTCACCTAAGTTACTGTTTCTGTATATGAATTCTCATTCGTTTTGTGTATAAAATTATTATAAAAGGCATGCAAGCGCATACTGCAGTAAAACCATCATTCAACGCTACGAAAAAAGAGATTTAAATAAATTAATCAAGAACATATAAATTATTCTTACAAGTTAATAAAAACGCATTCAGGCTAACCAAACTCAGGCTTTTTTCGATCGGGACGCACTCGCGCTAGTTTTCCGTCGTTTAACATTTGTGGAGGCTTTGGTTGTCGTTGAGGTGGATGCTTCATTCGTGTCGCTTTCCGCGCCAGCATCGCTTTGACGTTTTCCCTTGGTTCCGGTTTTCTTCGGCCTTCCTCGACGCTTTTCAGTGGTGGATACAGGAAAGTATTCTGATTCTCCCTTCTTTGGTTTAGTGTTCTTCTGCGTCACTTCGATGTTCAGCTCTTCCGAACTCTTCATTTTTTTCAAAGCGTTCCCGACGCGTTTACTGACTGGATTTTCGGCTGGCTTGCGCAGTTGCACCTGCTTAATAAAGAAAACGTTAACATCTTAACACGGAATACTGGATTTTTACCAAAAAAATGTGAAGACAAATTTAAATTAACTGTTCATTATGAACATAAAAATTTTGGTTGCAAAAAAATCTGAAAATTTGGATTCTTTTACAGTATACTCGTATACACAAAGTGGTACGCAAAGGTTTTTTGATATACGGAAAGTTGATGGAACTGAGATTTACCTTGAAATAACTCTCCAGATGCGTCTGTGTCGTCCGCGTGTTCAATCGTTTAATAATCGGCAACAGCACGTCGTCTGCCTTCTGTTTGCCCCATCCGAATTTCCGTCGCGTGTAATCGCGCAGTAAATCTAGCGCCGGTGCGCTCCAGCTTAGTTTCTCCTTGGATTCATCCACACCCGGCTGCAAATACGCGTCCACCACCAGCTTATCAGGGAAGTTTTCGGGCACCGGTAGTTGACATAATGCCGCACGCAGACGATTTTCTGGACGGATGTCACCATTGCTGCGCCGTTCTGCGGTCGCTTTGACCCACTTGGAGAAGCTCTTCAAACTCTGCAATCCTTTGCCGCCAAACTCAGCCAGAATCTCCAACGCCCGCACCGCTCCCACGCCCTCGATACCTTCCGTGTAATCACTTCCGGTCAGTAACGCCAAAGCAATAATCTTCTCACGTTCCAAGCCTGCAAATTTCATGTTCTAATTTATCACCTCGCAAGATGAGCAGAAGGAAACTCAGTTCATGCAAATGTACGCGCATTACCTTACATTCTCAATTACTGAAGTAGGTATATTATCAGCACTACTTCTATACTTCTATGAGTTATTAAATTCCATTTGCTCTACTTCTTTCCTTACAGTTGCACCCGAATATCGCTTTAATATTCATACCCAGCTGTTTTTCAATATCCTCGGCATTATAATATTCCACGTTTTTCTGCTTATGGAACATATTGCGGTACACTTTCTGCCCGCCGAACAAGAACACATCGCTGTCGTCGGTAATGGTTCCGTGCGTCTGTTTGGTCGTATCCAAAAAGGCACACTGCGCTTCAGCTTCTCCGGGACTGACAATATAAGGAATTCCAAACAATCGCAGTAACTCCTAAAAAACGATATGCATACCAACACAAACCAATAAACATTCAGAACCAAACCGGCAATAACCACAATTCAAAATGTCACACCCATACGGAGATTTAGGATTTACCTGGCATTCATGCCGCAGCTGCTCCGTGACACTGGCCGCCACCCGTTCCTCTTTCTTCTGCTCCATACGCAACTGTTTCCCTCGCTAGCTAAATGCTCCTGTAAACCCTGCAGTTCTTCCACCGACAACTCCGCCATGTCAAATTGCGCATCATCCTCGAGATCCACCACTTCCACTGACTTTGCTGGTTTTCGCAGATCAAATTCCGGCACCGAGAGGAAGGCATGGACGGCTTCCGCATCCTCGTCTTCTTTGTGGAAGATCGGCGGTTGTTTCACAAGTTGACTGGGACTGGGGATGTTAACCGGAGATATGGGAATAGCCTGCGATGTGGACGGTTGTGGACTCGGTGTACGCGGGATAGAGTCGAAAAAATCGCTGAAGTCCGCTTGCGAGTAATACTGCACGAGATCATCCGTCATCGGCTGATTCGGCTCCATTTCCCTAATTCAGGAAACGCAAAAATTGTAATATTTGTTACATTCCAAAACATTTTACATTATATGTAATCACTGCCCATTTCACTAAACAAACGATCCATCTAAATATTTGATGCGTCAGTTTCACGACAGAAAATGTTTCAAAAACTGCTGCAATAAATTACACTGGAAAAATTAAAGAATTATATACCTGGATTTTCCCAGATCTGTTTCCTTTACAGGCGAAATTTCAACGAAATCTCCATCAGAATCTGAATTATCGGAAGCTATGCTGGCAATGAGCGCATCAGAACGCTGTTTTTCACTTTCGCTCTTCTTTATTTCGGCAGTAACCGGAGGAGAGAGTTTCGGCTTATCGTCGTCCAGTAAAATGGGTTTTGCCGACTGCATGTTCTTCTTGGGAATATCGTCAGCGCTCTCAATAACAACAATGTCATCCGCTGAGTCCGCTTCAATATCAATCACTTCCATTGGTTGTTTACCGTCAGTGATCTCCGTAGGCGCAACAATTTTAGACACAACCACCGATCTGGACTTCTTGTTTACGGTTCTTTCGTTGGCGAAGGTATGCACGCGGACGGTATTCTCTGTCGGCCTGGAAAAAATCAAGAATTTATAAAATTTAATTATAATCACCGTACTTCTGGATGAATTTAAGTTCATAATACCGCCAAACGGCTGGACTGCATAGATACTGCAAATGATTGTGTTTTCCACTTTCCACTCACAGTAATAGCAATGACCCTTAATAAAATAAGTAATAACTGCCCTGATTCTCACAAACATTTCAAACCCACCCAAACTGCCCCGTAATCTGAACGTCTTCATCCCCATCCATCTCTTCGAGAAACAGATCAGGCAGCGTGGGCGCTTCCTTCGGAACAATGCTCTTCTCCAGAATTTTCCTCACACTTTCCGGAAGAAGCGAAATGTCGTTATTGCTCTCCTCGGTCATTTTCTCATCCACCACAGTAAAGCTTTCGGAAGAATTCTGCGATCCAGATGAGATAGAGCGTTGTATCGTCGCGGAAGGCTGTCGTTTCACCAGAAGATAATGCGCAGAATCCTCCGACACGATGCGCTGTGCGATCACTTTGCATGCAGTTCCATCCGACAAGCCGTCTCCAATTTTATCACAGATCTGGCCGGTACGATGGGAGTTTAACTCACGAGAAGTCTTATCCAGTTCAACTTGTACCTATAAAGTAAGTAAAGATTATAATAAATACAGGCTGTCTAAAAAAGGACATAAACAGAGTTCAAAAAAATATGTCGCTATAATTCAACAGAAGTCCGAACGTTCAAAGATCAAAATGTTCGTATTATCGTATACATACATACTATCCAATACCTATGTACGTGTGACTGATTTACTTCGTTGCTGGCAGGAAAAGCCATCTTTAGAAGCACTGTACGCGTAATCCCATACAATAATCCATCGCCACTCAATTACTAGAGTAATGATTTCCTTTAATTTACCTGGCAGCGAGTTAACAAACGATTAATTTGGAACTTGGAGAATTTATCCGATTCCGCTGGCAGCTGCTTGGCATTCTTCCAGGAGGGACGCCGACGCGACGCCTGCAGATCAACGAGAATTTCGTAGCGGATCTCCGGCGGCAGTGCCTTGAAATCCTCCGATTCGATGTCAAACCGCTCAGGATTGATACCGGTCGAGGGGAGATTATCGGCTTCATCACTGGAGCTGTCTTCGTCCGTGCTAGTATCGAAGTCAGCCGAAGAAGGCTCCTCATCGGGCATCGGAGGTAAAGCGTACATATCACTTGACGGATCCTGCTCGGCTTCCAGTAAATTCTATAAAAATACACTGGCTACATTTTCCAAATCAAAATCATCAAAAGTAGACCTGCAGGCTGTATAATACTGCCATAAAATGCGTTGGGAAATTCACCTAATTACTATTTTATAACTGCAATTAATTTAGGTTTGAGGGGGTCATTAACAACAACAAATTGACTACTAATACTAACACATCCATAATTCTTCGGATTACTAATTACTTCTTATAATTATTTCAATGGTAAAATTATGACAAATTTACTTAATCCTGCACGGATCGAATTTGCTTCCATAGTACACAATTTCCTTATAACATACCGAACAAAAAACTTAATCACGAAGCTGAACTGTACTTAATACTAAACGTTATTATCCTAACAGAAAAAGAACGAGGAAAAAAATGCAGAATTCCATTCACCTCTATCAGTTCGTTCGCCTCTTCGTCATTTTTCCGCCCCCGTCGTGGCGACTTCCCAGGCGGTTTACTGGGACTAGGCTTCCGCACTTTCACCGGTGATTTCCCGTTTGTTCGCAGCGCCTCATTAACCGCCTGCTGCTGTACGACATTCTCCAGCCATTTCCGCGACAGTTTCTCCGCGCGAGACTGCGCGCTGGCCCGTGCATTTCGTCGCCGTTCCAGCAGGCGCTGCTTGACCACCGGCGCCGGCCCATCGAAGACAAAGACGGGTTTAATGCGGTAATGCAGGAGTTTGCAGATGCGATTGAAGAGCACCAGAAGATGGGCGTCGGTGACGGCGATGCCGCGACGATCCCGTACACCCCGCACAGCCTGGTGCATCCACATGCTGACATCCACGGCCAGCGTCTTGTTCTCCAGTGATTCCAGTGGCACGAGACGGCCCGTGGACTGCAGCAGCTGCCATAATCCTAGAACACCCATTGTAATAGAGGGAAATCATTACGGGCGTCCTGGAAGATCTTGAAAAGAAACTGCGCTCAAGCAAAGAATGCCATTCTGTTTGTGATTTGGTCTGGCCGCTCAAACAAGAAAATGCACAACTACAAAACCAAAACTACTTACTGATGTCATCGCAGCCGTACGGGGAAGCTGTCGCACGGTTGGATTTAACGATGTTTTACGAAACATGAGTCAAGCCTCTATTTCGGCGTTGTCATCTTGTTACGGTACATTATTGTTCACAGAAAAATTGACTAGTACATTTGCGAGTCAAAAAATTTAGAAAAATTTAAAAAATAAGTTGTTAGGTTGTTTAAAACGTTTCGATGGTTCACCGGAAGTGCTATTTGGCATGGAATCGCGTCCGACCAGGACCCTGTAGCAGAGCGTTCGTTGTATCAACGCATTAGCTTTTTAGTTTTGCACGTACGCCACTTGCTTGGCACAACGCACAAGTGACAAGAACGGCGAAATCAAAGTTACCGTATAGTTTCTAGGATCCGTTTTTTCTGCAACGTTTTTTTTTATAAAGCGTGACTGATCGGAGGAAAAAACTGCGCGTATTAGAAACCGTAATCTTACGGTTTCTGTTTGTTCTTGAGTGGCATCTGGCGTTGTGATTATCCCATTTTTCTTCAGCGCCGTTGCGCATCACTCGCTTCAGTTCCCTATCATGTCGATCGGCGTCCCTATTAAAATCCTCCACGAAGCGGAGGGCCACATCATCACCATCGAGACCAACGAGGGCGAAGTGTACCGCGGCAAACTGATCGAAGCCGAGGACAACATGAACTGCCAGATGACGCAGGTCAGCGTGACGCACCGCGACGGCCGCGTGTCGCAGCTGGAGAACGTCTTCATTCGCGGCTCCATGGTGCGCTTCATGATCCTGCCCGACATGCTGAAGAATGCCCCGATGTTGAAGAAGCCGGACCGCACCAAGGGCGCCGGCCTGGGCAAGTCAGCCATCCTGCGTGCGCAGGCGGCGCGCGGCCGGGGACGGGCGCGGGGACCCCGCGGGATGTTCCCGCCGCGGGGCGGTCGGGGTCGCGGCGAGGGACGGGGTGGCGGCGGGCCCCCGATGTAATTCACATTCGCACTGAAGGATCTTCATTTGTTGTTCATGTTATTTTCCCTGGATTTATGGGATTCGCGTGGCGTGGAGATCAGCGCGGGTATTTTTTACGGAATTCCCACTTGGAAAGTTGAGAATATTCCTGGATTCCAGTGGTAATTTGTATTCGGCATTCATTTGTCTTAAAACAGTTTTCTTTTCCTTTCGCTAAATGTAACAATTGTAATGTAATTATATACTGCTATGCGTTCTCTTCATCTCGAGCGGAATTAAGAACGGCAATGCTTTTGGTTTTGTTGTCTGAATGAAATTTGTAGCAAATAAATTCCGCTAACGGTCAATGCGCGGATCATGCGTTGTACGCAGGTTTGGATATTTGGTGAATCAAGGATTCAAGTCTGTGAACATATCAAGTACTCGTACTGCGTAGAGTTTCAAAAGGAACGGGTTTTCAGTGCTTATTTTGCATCCAACAAACCGACGAATCATAAACGCAGCCTGACAATTCCACACCAAATTTCTGAATTAAAAAACAAACACAGAATGTCATACCACTAGATTCTTTTTTACTATACATACATAACAAACAAGCCCGCTATGCGGAAGACGGAGTAGATTCCGTCGCGGTGGGATTTTCTGCCGGCGGCATTTTATTCACTTCCTCCGGGGTTTTCAGCTTCCGCAGATAATACTCTTTTTTGGCTTCGGCGATGAGGATGTTGGCCAGGGAGTTTCGGTTCTGCAGCGGATGCGGCTCAACCGGTGGATACGGATTCCCTTTCATCTCCAATACGCCGCGTATCATCGGTTGTTTCTGTTTATTCATCATGGGAATCTTATGCAGTTTGGTGTATGGAGCGTCGAATTTCTGGTATCTAGAAACAAAACCATAGGGAAATAAGAAGACAAAGAACGAAAATAAACATAAAACGAACTAGATTACTGGAACGCTATAAATAAATTTTAACGATAAGAACAACTCATTTAAATTTTTAAGAAACGTATTATCATATTTGTAAGTACAGTAAGTACATTACCAGAGTTTCTTGACTCCAGAGATAATTAAAATAATTACCAATTTAAAGTTAGACTATAGAATCATAGACCATTCCAGTTCCCAGTAACCATTTTCATAATTTTAATTTTTTTTTATTTTTGCGAAACAGCAGATACAAAGTTTACACAAAAAAGAATAAGACGTTTAAAGCTGGAACAAACTTCAGTGCTTCATCATTTATTCAAAACTCAATTTGCTGCAATTCTGCAACCTAAAAATAAAAAAAATCTAAAAATACAAAAAATTACGCGTGTTCAGATCCACAGGCGCCGAACATCGGTTGCCGAGGTAGGTGTTTACCTGGGAACAAAGACTTTGAAGACCTTATGGATGAGATCCTTCTCGTTCATCCAAAAGTCCATGAGCTCCATGGTGGGCTTGTGGTTGGGTCCGTACTTGAGCGCCTCTTGCACCAGCCGCTCCGCGTAGCCCTGCATCTCGAGGGCCACATGCGGATGGGTCTCCACGCGCTCATACCGGAACAGTCCCGTTACCAGCTTCCGCAGCTGGGTCGTACGGTCGGCCCCTGTTTGATCGATGTAGACAATGTCATCCTCGATCTTTTTGTTGATCCTGGCTCTCAGATGGCCATGTCGGGGTCGGACGAGCACTCGCAGTCGTTCTGTCATGGCGCCGCAAGTGATAAAACAGTCTATGAAAGCACAACTAAAACAGCGAATATCGGAAACAGAATTTGTATAACCGTTATTAACCAAAAAAAAGTTTCTTTCACCAAAAATCGAAAAAGCATGAAGATACGGTTACTCCGTTACAGTTAGCGAAAAGTCAAAATAAATTGTAAAAATAATAAAACTGAATTTTTTGTATTTCCCTGCGACCAGAATAAACGACTTCCACTGCCGGTGACTGCAAATAGTTCCATTAACAACTTCCAGTGCGAATGGTTCCATTATGTACCGGAAACAAGAAAACTGGAACTCACACTTCAGTTCACTTGTCACATTTTACACAAGTGACTGCAGCCTTCTTTAAATTTTACGGCAAATTAAAATTCTCCAGTTTTGCTTTTGTGACGTTTAGGTAATTCCCTAATAAAGTTGGCTGATTTTGTCGAATTCTCTTGAAGTCTCTCTTTAACCATCTGATTGTGAGTTGCTTGATCCGTGGATCTCATTACTGAACAGCTCCCAGAATGCCAGTGGCAACTACAGCCAAATATTCCGCAGGGAAACCGAAGAAGCCAGCTGCTGGCGGTTCAGTCAATCCCATCACCACGGTGTAAGAGCAGGAACTAACAGCTAACTCTCTCCTACTATCTCCCAGATTCACAGTTTATCTATTCCCTATATTTCCATACTAAATTCGCGAATGTTATAGCGCCGTCAAGCCGGAGAAACTGTTCCAAGTGGCGTATCTGCCCCCCTTAAACCGTCCCGACCTGCCTAATCCTGTGGGATACAATCCCAATTTCTCCTCCTCATCCGAATCTCAGTCCAAAGGTATCGATCCGGAATTAATTGTCAAGGTACGCGGCACGTCTGTGGTATAATATGCTTTTCGGTTCTTGGGCTCTGTTTTAATGATCGTTCTTGTTACGTATACTTCTATTCTTTTAGCGGTTTTGTAGTTTTAACTCTGAATTATAATTTTCTAGAATTCAGTTATTATTTTGGCGAAGGATAATTCAATAATTCCAACCTTCCTGGTGCCCAGATACATCAATGAATTACTTGTTTTGTTTTTTATGTAATTATGTATTATTTTCTTAATTAAATGCGAGCCAGCGCTTTACGGTGTATTTTAAATTTTGGGTGATGACGTAATATGTTTGTCACAGTTTGTGTATTCCTACAGCGATCCTGGGATATCGCGTTGGCGCCCATCAAACAAGTGCCGATGAATCTGTTCATCATGTGGATGTCAGGCAATGCCATCTCCATCTTTCCCATTATGATGGTGGTGATGATGTTCTTCAAACCGGTGAAAGCGATTATTTCTGCGCAGTCGAGTAAGTTTGTATTTGATGGCTGTTTTTACATAACTCATGGTGAGGTCGACCACTTGAATTACTGGATGTCTTTCATAAATTTGTTTTTAATTATTTTGTGACTTTTGTCAACTGTGGTCTGTGGATAACTTATTTCCGTTTACGTTTAAGTACAGTGTACATTACTTAACTCGTAAAATCACTTTACTTTGTATACCATTCCAAATGCTGGTCGTGTCATTCCTCATCACCAGATGTTTTTTGCATTCAAATTTTTTGCTTTGTTTTTTGCTTTTGCATCAAAGTACGTGTGCTCACTACGCATGATACGAATTTTTGTGATTTTGAAGTTTATACTAACTTGAATGACGTCTGTACAGTCCAAGTCGTTATTTGGTAGCAACAATTTTGCGTAGTTTTGCTTATTTAAATGTGCGACTGTGCGTAACTTTCACTTTCTGTTATATGTATTGTAAACTGTATTAACTTTTTGTGCACCTGTGTAGGCTATGTGTATGTGCGTTATGGCTAGACTCGGTGAAAGTATCCTCCTTTTTACCCGAAATTCTATTACATACTCACAGATAGATAGTTTGAATAGTGTAATTTGAATTAATAACATTTCGTGTTGCAATATGCAGTTACAGTTTGACCAGAAATTACTTGATAATCGATATCATTGACTCCATTTTTTATAGCATTCAAGCAAATCGAGGGGCGGAACTCGTTCCTTCAGAAACTCGTGTACGTCTTGGGGAATATCGTGGCACTGGGATTGGCTGTGTATAAATGCAACTCCATGGGACTGCTGCCGACGCAACCGTCTGACTGGCTGTCTTTCGAAAAACCCTTGGAGGTACGGATTGTTTTTTGTTTTCTCTCCAAGTCGGATAAAATGTACTGACGCAACTGCGTATTCTTATGTTATTTTGCTTAAGGAAAATGTTTTTTTTTTGCAGAGAGTGGAATATTTGGCTGGAGGGAATATGTAACACTCAGACAAGAGACATATTAACTAAATTGATGACATAATTACAGTCAGTTTGAAATTATCGCTCCCATTATCGCTGATTTTACTGTCTGAACTTCGTCAAGTGAAAGTTGAATCGTGTGTGCGTATGAAGAGACTGCAAACTCTCAAGTATACGCGTCTCTTTCATACGCGCTACGTCTGTACCGAGATTTTTAAAAATATTTATTTCGTTGTTGATTTTGACTTGTCATTGCTTACCTGGTATATACCTGTACAACAGCAGATAGTTACCTACTTGTCCGTCGCGCTTGATCGCACGGTGAACGCGTGATGAATGGCTGTTAACCGCACTGACAGCGAAATCTGAACTGACTGGGGAAATCTTTCTCCGTTGTACCACGAACACATCGACAACCGATCCGGTTTTTATCAGTCTGAAACCTGATAACGCCACGATAAACATTTACACTGATCGAGCACATTACACCCAACCAGACAACATTCGATCTGCGCTTCTGCGCAAAATATTTTACTTCGAGAATTCGAGGTTCAATTCCCTGATATTGTCAATTATGTCATCCCATCATCATTACGAAAGCGCGAATTATCCCCGCACCATGGAATTGCCGCTGCCCGTTGTCCACTCTGTGGATTACGTTAATCAGAGCACGTCCGTATCAATGCAGCCCAGCATGTCGATGCCGATGTATTTCAACTTTCAGATTCCTGGATACATTCTCTTTTATCTGTGGGCACCGCGGCGGGACACGGAGCTGATCTGGTCGGTGTTTGTCGTGCTGGGCATGGCGCTGGTGCTAGAATCCTCCAAGAAATTCCGCGAATTAATCAGCCGCTGGGATGGGCAGCGGGTGGCGGATCTCCTCAAAGCCCATCCGCAGTTATCCGCGGGCATCTGGCTGCGCTTGGTGTTTCGCCGGTACCATCTGCTGGAGACGCTGCTGCACGGAGAGGAAATGGTGTTGTCGTACTTCCTCATGCTGATCGCCATGACGTTCAATGTGTGGCTGTTTGTGGCTATGACGGCCGGCACGGTGTTGGGTTATTTTATTATGACACCGCTGACCAGTCGAGATAAGCGACCGGCGCCGGATGAGGCGGCGGTTGGGTGCCGGCATGGCACGGGGATTTGTCGGGCGTGTGGGAAGAATTGCGGGAATAAATGTCAGAAGAATTGTGATACGAGTTGCTTATAATATCGGCGGAGATTAATGCAGGTTTTCGTTGGATCGCTTAACGTGAATACTCCACTCGGTGGCTGGTTAAAGATTTTTAATATTTCGTGTTTTTTATGTATAATTTGAATGATGATGGACTTTTAATTCCATACATTCTTGCTGCTACAAATTTCTAAAATTAATTGCTCTGACATTGCGAGTTTGCTTTAACTCATTAACAAGCTTCTACAAATGGCTCATTTCTGTGCACTTCACAGTAATGATGGGAAAAAGATGCTTACAGTAAATACGCATCCATAGTTTCTCATTTTTAGGACTGAACGTGAGATTTTATGTAATTCTGAGTGGTTGATCTAAAATTACATATATCTGGATCAACCAGGCTTCTCCACTTTTTGTTGTTTTAATGATATATTTTATCGCACGTTTTATTTCTGGCTGTATTTCACAGCCGCACACTGGCATACACAACAGGAACCACTCCCTAACAAGTGAAAAACAAGAAAGGCAAAATTCATAACCGACGTTGGGTGGCCAGCCGTTTCGCAGCAATACTGGCGATCGTGGACGCTGCAACAAAACATCCATGTTTTAGTTTTTATTTGGCAATACCCACCCACACATACAAGTGCCTGCGCGCTGGACACTAATCAACATCCATATTTTGAAACAGAGCCCCATCCATATAATACGGGCATAATGCAAATAAACTGTAGAATCATAGTACTGTACTGCATCAAAAATCTACTCGAATCAACGTGGTTACGTGGAGCACTGGTACAGAATTGGGCAATTGGGCATCGTCAGACTCGCAACGTTTGTAGCCAAAACAGCGAAACCATGGCTATAAGCCACCTGGATAGCTGCAAATTTTTCTTACCGGGAATACGTCGGACATTTCGGGCTGTAAAGCGTGATCGGGCGAAGGCCAGCACTTCCGGTCGTTGTAACGATGCAGCATTTTTAATACTTTTTATCCGCACATTCGACCTGGAAGACGCTGATTTTTCGTCACTGCTGTAAACCAAACAATACGCATAAAATACACGTAGTTAAGTATACAGAACAAGTTCCGTACAAAGAAAGCTGAAAAAAAATACGAAACACAAAAACAAAGCCAACGTTTCAAATACTCATCATAAAGCCCGGGGATGAAAAATTTAAACAGGTATATCACACCGCCTTGTTACATTTTTACTTTCGAACGACATTTCTACGTACTTTTTATCCAAGGGAATAAAATCCGGAAACGGCTCATCTGTAAGAGCATTGCTATTAGCAAAACACAACCTTTCGTCGAAGTTAAACATTGGCAATAAATGCAGTAAATGCACGAAATATTTCACAGCCGAAATAGCGAAAAAAATTATACCGTCTTCAGACAAAGGCATCGGTTTCTTTCGGCGGGGCTTCTTTACATCAGGTTTCTCCTCGATAACCATATCGGTATCTTCATTTGCCGGAAACTCAATTTCCGCATCACGCGGAGGATGGTCTGGCTGTGGTGCTGATTTTGATGAATTTTTAGAGGATTTCTTTGGTTTTAGCAGCGCTTTAACCTGACAACACCAACATTACAGATATAGGCCCAACAGTACATTAACAAGCGGCAAAATCTAGTTAACTTGTTTTTCAACTGCAAAAAAATTTAAGAAAATTAGCCCTAAAAATTTTCCAGTAAAAAATAATAAATAACAATACCTGGATAATATTCAGCTATTTACGCTTAAAAATAAAGAATAATCACATTTTAACAGCACACACACTATGAAATTTTTCTAATTTTAGACTTTTAGTAAGTATGAGAATTTTCGTGCCATTTATCCTGCAAACGTTCTCCGATCCGCTACGCATAACGGCGTAGGTGATCACATGTATGTGCGGAAGAGAAAAAAATACCTTTTGATCGTGGAACCAGGCCTGCTGTTTGGCATTCTTGGCGTGGCGTTCCTGTTTGTGCAGTTTAGAGGCCTGCAGTTCCTGCTGTCGCTGCTGTTGTGCTGTGACACGCGAGGCCGCGAAGCCCACATCCTCGGGAGCGTCGTCGTCCTCCACTTCGGACGTCTCGCTCATCAGTAAATCGTTATCGTTCATGTCAACGAAGTCAAATGAATGAGATTAGCGACTTCGCTCAATTCGAGCAATCCAGTGATCCACTGCAGATTCAAGCGCAAGACTCGAAAGCTTTTCGGGCCTTTTCCTTTTCAAAACAGCACGCTAAGCCACGATGGCAAGGGTAACAACTAACAGGGTGAACGCTGCAAAACGTATATACAGCCACTGTACGTCTGTGCCACCAACAATGATGAAATGATATCAATTTTTTATTAACTCATCGTTCTAACAGAAATAATAAGGATGAAGATAAATAAAACAGAATATAAAATTTCGGTATGCTTTCACGATTTTTTGAATTCTGTTTCTGATGGCTTTAGACTTGAGAGCTTGAAAAGTGACAGCTGACAGTGAGCACACAGCACTGGAACACATCAAAATGCCATTCCAGGCGGTCGATATAGAAACATCCTATATCCTATATCCTATATCCTATATATTAATAAAATAAGCCTTAGCGAATTCCATTTCTGTCACCCTTTTTTGAGCGATCCACTGAACCAAACTTTGATGTCTATATGTCATTCAATAGCCGCGAGTTTGCAGATTTGCAGAAACCAGTTAGTTTTTTGAAAGTATGTGAAGTTTTAGAGAAAATCTTAAAAGAACTTAACATACAAAGTCTACGGGAAAAGGGCAGAACCCACCACTGCAAACCCACCCAAGCCACCACTGGCACGAACAGCACAGGAAAAGACATCTACACTTGATGGAACTTTGGTGTCCGTTAGTTATCGGACTGCCTTTAGTTCATAAGATTTTTATTAAGAGTTAGTTTTTAAAATATGTAGGCTCGGAAAGTGATGTTTCTTAAAGACTGAACATGCAGAATCTCCTGGAAAGTGGGAGGGACCCAAATTCCAAAGATAAAGTAGTTGCCTTTCGCAACGGGTTGATTAGATGTATTAATTAAAATTTAAAACTGCTTCCAAAGGGCGGTTGGCTTTTGCTGCCGTGCCAATAAAGTGGAATATTTTATCCTTTTTTTCAAATCTCAAATAAACATCATTTTGTGAGAGACTGAAAGTCGATTTTGAGAATTTTGGTGTTCGACTGGAAATGATGTGGACTACTCGAGCAAAACAGCGAGTCCCAGTCCCACCGGGCGTACGCACTAGGATTCGAGTCTAACCGCCGCCCGGGGGGAGAAAGCGGCCCAAGGCAAATCTTTTCACGGCGACCTAAATGAGGAGCGCGCGAGCCTCCAGCAGGGGAAGGTAGAGAAGGTAAAAATATTTTTCAGAAGGGATATTTTTCCGCTAAGGAACGTAGACAAAACGGTTTTATGAAAACAAAACCGCATTTTTAGCATTCAACAATTTAACATAAACAGAAAATTTAAAAAGCGAAGCTTATCCGCATTCTAATCTATCTTTCCGCCAGCTATAAAGCATTCCGTCAGATCAGCTCCCATCAAAGGTCAGAACAAAAAAACTAGGGGAATACCCTCTCCGGTGCGCCTGGGTGCGACAAGCTACATTAATGAACCATCTGTGAGGACGTAAGCGTGAAGCGACAATGCGTTTAATGGGTTGGGGATGTTGTTGGCGTTAAATGGGTTGGGTTTGGGATGGGTTGGGGTTGGGATTGGGGAGGCGACAACGCGTTGGGGATGTACTATACAAATGCATAGATTTTTGCCAAACTTGAAACAAATTTTATAAGCACGTAACAGAAAGCGGAATCATAGGCGGCGCCTATCTGCAGCGGGGGTCGCAAGCAAGACACTGTGCTTAAGTTGTCGACGTTAATCAATAAAAAGTTCACCAAAGAACACAACGAAATTTTGAAGTCTTCATCAGGTTTAAATTGTGTGTAAACAGTTGGAGGAAACTGGAAAGTATTTTTATTCTAAGTGGTCTAAAGGTTGACATCGGTGGTCGTACGGTCGCATCACTGGATTGTTTTGTCGGGACGCACTAACTAAAATATTCTTATACGCTCCGCTCAATAAAACTAAATTTGCAGTCATGGGTTTGTGCTTTGTAGCTTTCCATAAATAACAATTTATCGCCGATTTATTCCGCGCAGTTTGCGCGGGGTCTACTAGTCATTAAATAATAAAATTAAGAATTACAGTAAGTACCTTGTACAATTGTACTTTGTACTTTGTAGTTAACATAGTTTGAATCATTCATTCGTTAATTCGGTTTTATCGAAAGCGTAAGTAAGTAATGTACTGGCTGTGATCAATTAAACCAATCACCCAGAATTTTCAACTCACTTGAATTTTACTGTTACTACTATTCACAAAATACAAAAACGGTAAGTAGCTGTTGTATAAGTTGCTTTTTCATCCAGCTGCACTCGACTGCCCGCATATCACATATCTACTCTGTATGTGCAGATAAAAGTCTAACGAAAAGGGAATTTTTGTACTTACTGGAGTACGTAAATTGGTCCAGCCGACTCTAACTGAACTTTTTTCTTTATTCAACAACGGAAAAATCATGTGGTGTCAACTGTCAATTACTAGTGTCGACTAGAGTAGCGCTGCACAACCATCAATATCGTCAATCTAACAACAAGACCCAAGTACAAACAACACATCAACTCCAGTAACCTTTTCCTTGCCCACAAGACCGTCGTCCGGAATCCGGCGAGAGACTGCCATTGCGTTCCATCGACGAGCTGGGCGTGTACGTGCCCTGTATAACAAAACGACGTGAACCCCGCGAACCGGCATCACTGTCGTTGCCATCCATCCCACCATACGCACAACCTCCTCCGTCACCGTCTGCAAAAGTAGAAATCGTAATAACCTTTACAATTCCACAACTTGTACGTACAGAACAGTTTGTACACCGCCAACAATTAAGATAAGGTAAAGCATAACTTTCATAAATATATAGATATACCTGGCTAGTACATATATATAAGGAAATCACTATAGGCACCCCCTTACACCCTCGTTTATTATAGGCACCCCTTCTCGCACCCCGTAATTTATAGACACCCTTTTCTGTTTATTAAATAGAAACACCCTGTCAGTGTATTTTATAGGCACCCTTTAATAGCATATTTCGGATACAGAATTCGAAAATGATTTCATGTACTGTACGTGCGTCAGTCTCATACAGATACTCGCTTACAGACAGAATCAGGCTTTCCATCTGATGATCGGGCGGTGAGGCTGATCTGCTAACTTACTTGTTAGATCTAATGAGGATGGTATCGTCGGCGGTAATTTTGATGTTTCGTTTCGCAATTGTACTTTCGGATGCCGGTTTTCTGTCGGTTCTTTTCGGACACCGGGTGGCCTCCTTGGGTTCTTTTCGGACACCAAAGTTTTTCCTTACCCCCAGTCTTTGTGGCAGTTTTTAAAGGCGGTGAAACACGCGTCGATATAGTGGTTCCTTTCGTATGACATAAAACAAAGTGCAGCTGGTCGACCTTTCCCGTGGCGATCTTGCACAAAAACAGCGTACAAGCAGTAGTTTTCAACATTACCGTATCTAGGTTCTAACACTACAATTACAGTATAATATGCTAAAGTTTCATAGGGGTGCCTATAAAAAACAGGGTGCACGAAAGAATCAAGTAATAAGACAAGGGTGTCTTTAATAAACGGGGTGCGGAAAAGGGGTGCCTATAGTAAACGGGGGTTTTTGGGGTGCCTATAGTGTCACCCTATATATAAATCCCAGACAGCTATTCGAGAACCAAATATATTAATGCGGTTAACGATCTTCTTAATCTAATTTCGAAGCAGTAGTGCCTGGTTACAGGCGTGCGAATTAGTAAACGAAATAATGAGCATTTAGTTAACCTAATTACCCAATAAAGCTAGTAACACGTATAATTAGCTAATAAAAACAAGAAATATTTAAATTCGGCTTACATGTTCCACTAGACCGAGCCCCATCCCCCCGTGCACTCCACCCCGAGGCCCCTTTCGACCAGGACTCCGCCTCGCTCTCCCGCACAATCCCCTCCAATTTGACCTCATACTGGCGCATCTTATCGCACATCTTGGCCACCTGCTGTTCGTGATTATTCTCCCGGCTCCTGTAATCCTTCTCCATTAACTCTTTACACCGTAGCGCATTGTCCAGTTGGCATTCCAGCCGGAAGAGCTTATCCTCCAGCTCTTTACACTTCCGGTCTTGGTATTCACCGTACTTCTTCAGGCAGTCCAGTTCATTGGTCAGTTCATCTATCTTCATCTTCTGCTGGATGTTACAGCCTTCTAATTGACGCCGTTCCGCGTCACCGGCGGAACGGTTCCGACACAGGTCGGCTTCGGCGTCCTGCATCGAGCACATGAGCTTATGCCGCTCCGATTCGAAGCTGGTAATCTGGGCTTGTGATTTCCGGAGGTCATCGCGCATTCCTTTTAGGCGGCTCTCCAAATCTACAAAATATATATGCATTCAGACTTATTTTTCAAATAATGTTCGCTACTTGCGTCTGCGATCTATCACACAGAACGTTGATCTTTACACATTCAGCTAGCAACTGTCCAGAATCACCAAATATATCCATAACAGCATAAATAATAAAGCTATTAATTCGCGTCAATTTCGTTAGAGAAAACGGTTAACCTTTAACATCTGAGTCATTGGAATTATGGTGTGCACTACCGAAGCCAAATAAAATGCCGGTAAATTAAGCTGACCTTTAATTTTATCCTGATACTCGTGCTCTTGCTCGGTCCAGCGGCCTCTCTCCTGTTCGAGATCAGTATTAGCACACCGGCACTGGCTTTGACTATCCTGCAGGCTATTTCGCAAAAAGGTCTCCGTATTGCAATGCTCCATTTGCATCGTTCGGAGCTTATCTTCCCGCTCGGCCAGTAACTGCTCCCGCCGATGCGCCTGTTCCATTAACGCGGCCACCTCCTCATTGGCCGCTAGCAGCGTACACTGTATCGTGGCGATCATCCGCTCGCAGTACCGCCGCCGGCTCTGTTCCATCTCCAGCGTCTCCTGGACATTGTCTGCGTCGTGCGGTCCACCCGGCGCGGCAACGGCACAGCCCGGGCACTCGGCGGTGACCTGGCAGCCCGGACAGGTGGCGGAAGGGTCACCTAGGAGCTAAGAAGTTTATACGCAGCCCATCGGTGTTGCTCGCGAATGGCCATGCTTACTTACTGGTGCTCCTCCCGGGGAACTTAGGCTCTTCCCGGCGAATCCGTGTTTCGGTGTCCACGGGCGAATATAAGGAGATTCCGCGGCTGCATCTGCTCCCGGCGAGGACGACAGTGATCCGTGGTGGAAGGGTTGCGATGCACGGTGTCCGCCGACCGAATGCCGGGCTGCGTCGGGATGAACCGGAAGCGACGACCGGTGGGGGTCTGACTTCCGGTGGGCGTCGTGTGGGACAGAATGTCGGTGTTGGAGTGCGTGGTCCGGCGGATGGACAGAATGTCGATGGTCATCGTGGCCATGGACAGAATGCCGATGATTGTCGTGCGGATGACCTGGATGGCCATGGTCGCCTGTTTTCGGTACTGAATGGCGGTGACTATCACGAGGGTGGACCGAATGACGGTGGTCATCATGGAGATGGGCGGAAGGGCGGTGGTCATCCGGCGGATGCACGGAATGCCGGGCTGCTTCATGGGGATGGACGGAGTCGTGGTGGTCATCGTGAGGATGCACAGACTGTCGATGATCGTCATGAGGATGCGTTGAATGGGGCAGTCCATCGTGGGGGTGCGTGGAAGGTCGGTGTCCATCGGGCGGATGCGCCGAGTGTCGATGGGGATCGTGGGCATGCGTGGACGGACGATGAGGACCAGGTGGATGAGCAGAATGCCGGTGTTCGGTGGATGGATGCACCGACGGTCGGTGGTCATCGTGGGGATGTGCCGAATGCCGATGATCAGGGTGCGGATGGCCATGGAAAGACTTCCGGTGTTCATCGTGCGCCGAGTGGTGCGCTTCCTCGTGAGGATGAGCCGAGTGGCGGTGCTCCCCCGGCGGATGTACCGAATGCCGGTGGTCTTCGTGCGAAGGCCCGTGCGACGCCTTCCGATGGTCATCATGTCCATGACTGGACGTCCGGTGACCATCGTGCCCGGCTGCTCCATGGTGTGACGCTCGGTGTGGATCGTGTGCGGAGTGTAGATGGTCATCGTGCCCGTGACCTTCCGGTCCATGTCCAAGATTATGATGCGTAGACTTCCGGTGGGGTTCCGGCGCAGAATGCCGGTGTTCGTGGAGCGATGTCTTATGCCCGTGAGCCGAATGCCGGTGTTCCGGACGCCCGTGGTCTTCGGCATGGTAGGATGTGGTCCGATCGCGCCCGTGATGCGGGTCATGGGCGGATGGCCGATGGTCACCCGGAGCGTGGTAGGAAGTGGACCGCGATCGCGATTCGTGCGGATGGTCATGGTGACCGGAAGCCCGGTGACCATGGGCACCATGATCGTGTACGGATCCCCGATGGCCATCACTGGCTGTATGGTGCGATGTCGAATGTGACCGCGACTCGTGGGGCGGGTGGTCATGCGGGTCAATATGGCTCTTCGAGGGATGCGCGGCTTTATCATGTTTCAATTTACAGGCCTTGCAGTGTTTCTTCGGCTTACTCGGATCATGCTCATCGTGACCGCCGTGGTGATCGTCCTCGTGGCCTTTAGAGTGGTGATCATCGTGATGGCTCTTATGGCCGTGGGGTCCATGGTGACCTTTGTCGGCATGGCCATGATGACTTTTATCATCATGTCCATGATGGCCCTTATCGACATGCCCGTGATGACCTTTGTCGGCATGTCCATGATGACCTTTATCGGTGTGTCCGTGATGGCCTTTATCATCATGCCCGTGATGACCTTTAGCGTCGTGGTGATCCTTACTGTGTGAGCCTCTGTGCGCGCCATGCCCGGGGTGGCCTTTGGGATGGGCCTCGTGAACAGACGGTTTGCCATGATGATCATGCTTGGAGGGTGCATGGTGAGGATCGTGGTGGCCGTGTTTAGGGTGATCGTCGTCGTGGTGTTTAGAGCGCGTATGACCCGGTTTGCCGGGATGCAGTGTGGCTTTGCAGCCGCATGTTATGCCGCTGGCGCTGTGTTCGAGGTGGTCCTTTGACGGAGAGTGCTTGGAGGGATGATGTCCGTGAGGGTCGTCAATATGTAGCGGAAGCTCGAATTCAATGCTGGAATGGTTGGTGTGACGCCGGTAATCGATTGGTTTGATGGCAGCTGCTGAAAAGGACAAGAATTTTGCAGCATAGCCTCACCAAAGCGTATGTGAAAAAAAGTTTTGAAACTGTTACCAGGATCGCGTTCTAAGAACTACAGTAGTACAGAAGAAATGAATAAACATTACTTCTGCATCCCTAAGCTACAGTAGAGTGCGGTCGTGGCTTTTTCTTACAGGCATAGATAGTCGACATGGATATTACTCGTACAATTATGAATCTACGGCAACATTTGAATGCCACATGACAGAAAAACAGAAAAAAGGGTGAATGCGCATATGTATGCCGTACATCTATAAAGGTATTACATCAACTGATAATAACGGTAATGTCAAAATGCAATAATGGTAGTACTGTAAATACTGCAGTCGTAGATAGTCGATTTTTTAATTATCTTATTGCCTTACTTGTATATCTCTTACTGCAGTTGTAGAAAATCTAGTAATAATATCTTTCATGAAGTTGGCCTAATCATCATGCATATAATTATGACAACATGGTAATTTTCAGCGCATAATTGCAACTATATTATATAAATATACCTAATTTCCCGAGTATCTTAAATTGATTTTTAATAGCGGGTTGCCCACAAAAATAGTACTTACTGCATGCAAAACCTAAAAACGCTAAGGAAATGACGTATCGATCAGATTTTGCACTAATTAATTTAGACTACTAGTAGTAGACGGACGTCATGGACCTAAATTCAAATGCAAGTAATTATGTAGCCAGCAGCCTTTCTCTCTTACATGATTAGATGCATGCAGCTTACTCCAAAATTATATTTAACGAAATATCTCGACACTTTTGCGGTAATGCTGTACATAGTTGAAACAATCGTGTTAGAGAAGCACCGTGCTCTAGGAGCACTTCTACAGAGAAAGAACGGTGCTGGTAAGAATGATGGCACGATACTCATGATATAAATAATTATCTTTCCGCAAACCATCTCATAATATAAAATTAATGTAATGCAAGAGATTTCCAATTGCGCTCGGTAATCTAATGAAAGATTATAGTAAGTACTTCTCAGTTAACTGAAGTGTGTTGCTGATCCGATGCGAGTAATTATGAAAGGCCATCAAAGCTGTAGTGAGCATGAAGCGTGAAGAATTATTCAGCTGGATGATGTAATGCATAATAATTAGATACGATTACGTAACAAATATTGAGAATAGCCTTATTAGCGCTCTGTCATATAAATAGAGCACCAAATGTCTCTAATTAAAATGCGAGGTACCACCGGAATCTGTAACCACATATGCTTTCATAATCAACGATAAGTCTCAATCCAGCTAACCAGTAAGCCACACAATCGAGGTTTGTAGTTTGTCCATTGTACTTCTGTATCTATACTATTGTAGTTGTACACTGTACAGGTACTTACTGTAGCAGCAAAATAAATTTGAAAAACAGCTGCTGACATAATAAATTAATAATCCAGCACATACATGTAATAAAGGAGAACGTGTTACAAGTGTGTAAAATTGCGTACACTAGTACTACTCTTACGGGTACACGTCAAATCATTACTAGCTTCATGCACATGTTGCAACGTATGTATAAAGCTAGTAATGATTTGATTGAGTACTTCGTAGTTTATATTTTACAGTTACCATTTTTTCTGCGACGAAGTTCTTTTTCTCTTGCACAAAAGCAAGACAAATTGCAGTAATAAAATAGAAAGCGTCATGATTGCTAAAAGTCATTAATCACTGACGTGCATACCTGCAGAGGGATGACCTTTGACATCATGGTGACTCGGATGGTGCGATGTGCTGGGATGATGGGATTTATGGGAATGACCATCTTTTTTGTGGTCTGGCATAATCACTAAGGATCTTCACAAACCCAAACAGATGCCACATGAAGTAATCCAGTAGAGAATCATACGTCGTAACACCGAGTTCCACAATGCATTTCACCAATCAAAAGTAGCATTTTTGTGGAATACTACAGCCAACTTGTTTGCATCGTAACTACTAGTTTGAAAAGCATGATTCCAACGGTAAAACAAAAAGCCGTGGGAAAGTAGATAAATTTCAGTGCAGTAATATCATGACCAAATGCTTCACTGGTTTCATGGTACTGTAAACTCAGCACACAAACATTACGAGTTCTTCCCATGGATCGCGGGCAGTACCCAAGCAACACTGACAATTTTTGCGGTTCAAAACAATGCCAGAACGGACCCACTTCGAGCGACTAAACGAAAAGAATTCAAATCAAGCACTAAAAAAAATCAAAACTTTGCAGTTACTTTTCAAACCCGACGAAAGAAAACACTATTTTTTCACAGTTACAGGAAGTCTCTGCAACATCGCAAAGTGGTCTTTCTGCAGAACGTTGCCTGGCAGCCCCAAAAAATATTTTGTTAAAATTCAATTCGCAAACCAGTACATGGAATTGTTTTAAAAATTAACGAACTGAAACGACCAAAAATACCTCCATAAAAAGATTCCATAAATACAATAAAACACCCTTGAAAATGGCAAAAGCAGCTACCATCTGCGAACAGGCTCGAACGAAAATAAAATTAATTAAAAATCCAGTTCATCCATACGTTTGGCGGCGTGTGTGACCATCTTGGTCGTCTCGTGCAGGCGCTCCTTGATTTTATCCGGTTTGAGATCATTGTTGACGGAATCCATTTCCTTATTGAGATTGTATGTCCAGCCGGCTGTGGACATTTGGCGCTCGGCGTCCTGCTCGTCTTCGCTAAACGTGTAGTAACCTTTGGCCACACGATTCATTTTACGAGTTAAATCACGCTGTTGGCCCTAGAAAAATAATCAATATGCACGTGTGTATTTGCCGTATTTAAAACGAAACGGATCCACGTAAATTATACCCTTCTATAGCATTAAAAACAGACCATATTCTTATTCACAGTAGGGTAAACGACACTCCGATGAACAATCAATAATTTTGCAAAAATGTATGTGTTGGCCTGGCTGCTATATAAAATACTTGACGGTCGATATTTGCAAAATAAATCTTCTTTCTACAAGTAACAAAGACACTGACCGCAAATCACAGATCAATACTAATCTACAATCCGATTGAAAATGCAAAATACTGCAAATCATCTGACTATAATTACGATGGTTTTTTGATCGTGCAAAAAACCGTTATATTTAAATAATAAACAGAACTAAAACACAATAAACATAATAAACAACATTTATTGGAAAACGAGTACTTACTTAAATACCAATCGTAGTGCAATTGTACGAATAAGAGTGATCACAATCAAAACGTAATGCTCTCACCTTCACTTTCTCGCGGGTGCGTTTGGAGATGATATCGTAGAATTTCTTAGTGGCCTCCTGACCCACCGTGCGTGCCTGGCTGCAGGCCAGAACATCCAACACTAACATAAGCGTTTTCTTGGGAAATTTCGTGCCAACCGACAGCGAGTGCACGGTGCTGGCATCCACGCCGCTGGCCAGATCAAGGTTGATGCCTTTACGCTGGATGTAATCCTTCACCAAGCGCGATACGACGGCATTGTACAGGCGAACGAAGGCTTCATCCGGGTCTTCAACTGCAACAAACAAAACACCATGCATCAAAATTATCACTCGATCAGTTATTAAAAAATAAATTCGATCTTTAGTAAAAATTAAACGAGCGTTTTTGTCCGTCCACTGTTAACTAATACAGAGCTAAATGTTGTTGGGAAAAAATGAAGCGAAATTAGCGCCACGAAGAAACAAGCGTCACACGATCGCAAACTGGGAACTAACCAGATGATGCACAGAGATAAAATTTGTAGAAAATAAGCTACATTGTGCCAAAACGAAAACAATTTTCGAAACAACTACAAGCGTGATAAAAAATAACGAGGGCATCTTTGTATAATTTAATAAAAGCGAAATATTTTCTTACCGGAGATATCAAACGTTTTTGGATCCTCCTGCAGACGTTCAATCACTCCCTTCAGCAATCGGGCCCCGAAACCCTTCTTCTGGTACGGCGGAACGACGATGAACTGTGCAATCCGGCAGCGTGTCGAGAATTCGCCCTTCCATGCACCGCTGGTCTCGCCGTTTTTCTTTGGCAGCATCCAGTAACGGTACACGGAGCTATACCCGACCAAACTGTAAACACCATCCCCGTTCACTTCATACAGCAGGTAGTGCAGCCAGCGGGTATCATCCGTGCTCAGGATGCTGGCGCCGTAGATGAACCAGGCCAGAAATGGCTGGATATTGGCCAGAATGTCGCCGAACCGGCTCGGATAGCCGAATTCCCTGGCGGTGTCGCCGACTTCGTACAGCTCTAAATTATGAGCAGCACCGGCTTTCGTGGAGAGCGTGAAGGTGCGCAGCTTCGTGCCGATGGGTTTGAACTGGTGGTCTTTGGTTAGAGCGATCTACAAAAGTAATTATGATAAAATGCGTCTACTATGAAAATAAAGAAACTTATCCATCAGCAAAAAATTTGTCTCAAAGCAATCTCAGAAACCAGAAAAACACTTACTGGTTATTCAAACTAAATAATCGCAAAAAAACAAAATTCCCTGCAGTAAAACTAGATCAAAGAAAATTACTGATTTCGAAGAAAATTTGTCTGTTTCAAGAAGTGGCAGTTCAAGAACTGAACCAAAGCAAATATTGAATTAGAAACAATCTCTTTAAAAATAATTTCCACAAAGTGCAGTGAAAAGAAAGTAATCAAAGAAAATAAACACATGCGAAGAAAATCTGTCTAACAACAATATTGACGAAAATTCCAGTAAATACCGCGCCAAATAATCAAGCAGAAACAAGTCGGCGAAACTACATGAATACAGCGCATGAAAATTATACGTTAGACGTAATTGCTCCTTACCTGAAAAGCATCAGGTGTCGTGATAATTTTATGCCCGTAGATCTCTTCCACAGCCGCCAACAGATCCGGAGTACTGCGTTCAGACGGAGGTAGTGCCGCAGTGTAATGCACGCGGAGGAATGGTTCCAGTGTGGCCGGCGTGAAGAACAACTGCACCGACAGATCCTTGTAGCCCACAATCAGCCCTTCATCCACATCCTCGTTGCTGACGGCACCCTCCGTCCCGTTCTGACTGTCGTCGCCATCTGCCAAAAAAATTAGATTTTACAAAGCTAAATTATATCCAGTACAATAAATAAAATTCTATTAAAAATATTTAGTCAACACTTAACAGGGCAGGGTTCGGATAACCTTAACATATTTATACTTTCCTCATAGAAATATCGTCAGAACTGCAAGCAAAAAATTTAAAAACAGATAAATAACAAAAATACTTAGAACATGGCTACTATATAAATAAATTTATTAAACAAAAATTACAAAAAAATATAAACAGTCACTTTTTTTACTCTGCAAACAGACCGCAACACCAAGCTGAATTCATAATATGCACGATAAATATTCATTATTTATACGAGTAAAAAAACAATCACAAACGTAGACTTAAACGCACAGTACCCAGCTAAAATAATAAGAATAACGTAAGTACGATAATTTATTGATCATTAGTAATTTCTACGAGTAAATTATCACGAGTACCAACGTACTGGTTGAACCATCCTCCTCGGAATCCTCCTCCGCATCCATATCCTCCTGAGCCTTTCCATTCGTTTCCCCATTACTCTCGGCCTTCTTCTCCATCTTCTCCAGCTCTTCCCGATCGTAGGGCTCATCGAAAAACTGATAGACGAAGAGCGGACTGAAGCGCTGCTGGGCTGGAGGATCTTCCACATCGGCCATCTTCTGCACCAGCTGCATACTGACGGCGCTCAGGCCATTGGCGCGAAATTCCGGGGGAATCTTGGCCAGATCCAAAACTACTTTTTTCTTTTCGGGGGTGCCTTTGGACGACGTTTGAACGGCATCGGGTTTATCAACCGCATCGACGGCATCGTCCAATTTAACAGCATCCTCTCGTTTGGAGCCGGCCATTGCCACCGAATCTTGCAATTTCACAGATTCTTCCATTTTCAAATTGTCAGAAATTTAAAATTAATCACTTATCAATCAAAGGGAGAGCCTTGTGCAAAACTTGAAAACCTAAACGAAAAGTTCAAAATGAAGAGTGAAAATGAGAACTGAAAAACGCGGACTCACTTTTCCGTTGGTGGCGTCAAAGGGTTGGAAGCCTCAACCCCACTTGATACGCTCAGCTCGCCACGCTTCCTTATCGTTTGTCGTGTTTATCGTTATCTGGATTAAGTGGAATGTTGTTATCAGATTTTGCAAGAGCATAAAAATCGTGTTACAATTTTACCGTTGTGCAGAAATTTTTACCTGCGGTGTGGTCCGTTTGGATCATAAAAAGTTATGAAAAAGCAATAAGATATGATTTTGGAAGATATTTTTAACTGCCTTTAGCACCGTTTACGCATTACGATTGACGCATCACTCGGCAAGTCCGCAGGATTCAAGCTATAAAGCCATAAAGGCTGAAAGCTGCAGTTTCTTTTGCTGTTCGGTTTTTAATATCATTTTATTCCACCGCGATATCTCCTGCCACGTTTGGTTTTGGACGGTATGTGTTTCATTGCCACCGTGTCAAAATTGTGATAAAATGGAAGCGGAGGAATTGATTTTGACTGTGCCCGAACTGGCGGAAATTCAGAAGGGTGAGCGATTGCTACTGTTCTGTGGATAACTTGACAGATGTTTCAACATCATCTTTGAATGCTTCAAAACATTTTACACCTGTTGCGCGCTACCAGAATACCTAACAGTGGGACAGTGGTACAATCTATCCGGTGTTTTAGTATTTAAGGAAGCCTTGCAACAGAATTTTCACGAAGTTGAGGTGAAGGTGGTGGAATGTCCAGACTTGAGAAAAGAGCCATTCCGGATGCCTGTCAAAGGTATTTAACAGTTTTTCGACCAGCAACCAAATTTTATCTTTTTATTGCAGCTGCAACATGACTGTTCCTTGACGCTGTTACCCAATCATACGCTTTCCGAAGTTAATGCTCTCCGTGTAATTTGATTGAAATTTTAACGAGGGCAGTATTTTGTTAATAAAATTGTACGTTGACTGTTAAGTTAGTTAATAGTTAACTTAAAATTTTCTTGATCAAAATATCTCGTTAAAATTTCATTAAAACTTGCATTTCATATTAAAGACTTCACGGATACGCATGGCAGTTAAAAAATGTTGTAACCAATGATCATATTCGTATGCAATGTCTTGCAGGACTGGGAGGATGTCCCGGCATCGCCGACGTTGGCGGAGTGAAATACATGCAGCCTATTCCGCAACGCAGTCGTGTACGTTGTACCGCTACCCAGTAAAATTCCTGTACAGTCTGTATTATCCGGTACTTTGTAAAAAGCTTCTCTTTAATTTTCTTGTGTTTCTTCCTTTCAAACTTCATTTCGAAAAGTGTTTTCGTATGTCGTCTTTTCTGCGCACTCCAAAGTACTGAATGTCGCTGGTACCTTCCAGAAATATGATTTGGTGGACGTGGGCAACATAATGGGGTACAAAGGAGAGTATTCTATCATTGGAGCCGGCGCCGGCCCATTTCCGGAGACTGGATGTAATTGCGAAGTATACGAGTACAGTTGTACTGGTCTTTTGTCGAATGCTTGAGAGACAGTGCTTGTGTTATGCTGATCTAACTGTAAAAATGATTTTCTCCTTGCCTGCAGCTGATGGCCAATGTGCATAAAAACGTGGATGGAGAAATCAAGAGTGTCTCTCAAACGGCAAAAATCTTACCGGTTTGTACAAATATTCGAACATTGAAATCTTGCGGATTACAGTATACCCTTATTCAGGGGCGTCACAGGTCTGGCAAAATGGGGGTGTCAAATTTTGACAGGGGGGCAACTGGCTTCCAGAACCTCTAAAAAATTGACGGGGGGCAACCGGTTTCGAAAAACAGGGGGAGTCAAACTCCAAAAATTTGCCGGTTGACACCCCCCCTTTGACGCCCCTGCCCTTATTTTCGCATACACTGAATTTGATACGATTTATTTTCAAGTAGCCGCTAGCCGGGAAAGTTATGACAGTGAAGTTCACATGTTTTTAGCCGCTGAACTACAATGTGGATCTTTTGATTTCGTCCAAGTTTGCCATTCTGGGGAATTTTTTCGCCAGCCAGGGTTTAACGGGACCGGTGCTCGAAGTGAAAGTCAAAAGACGAACCGGAGAGGAGAATTTTATTACGTGCATGCGAAAAGCTCTTGCTGCGCGTTTCGGTGGGCAACCTGTTGGCATCGGTGGAGTGTTTGTTGTTCCCAGCGGAAAACTTAAAATACATATTATGGTAAACAGTTCTATTTCGTAATTACGATTAATTACCAAACCTTTTGATAGTAAACCTTTCGTTAAATTGAGAATAATACGCTGCTTGCGCAAAAACTTTTCTTATTTTTTTTAATATTTAATTTCGGAAATTACTGCATTAAATCCACTGCCTTCGTATTTGGTAGATTAAACTGTAGCAGTTTTATATGCGGTATTGTCCCGTACACGGTGTACATGTACAGACACAAAATATTTTGTTTAAGTTGCGATAGTGCTAATACGGGTGCTGTAACTTGACGGTGTGATTACATTTTTCAGCCGGATTTTGCTGACACTCCATTGAAAAACGAGACCGATGTCAACAATTGGTTGAAATTTTTCGATTTTCCTGCTCCAATGGTGTTTTATTCGGTATTCGTGTCTGAAGACCCGGTAAATGTTTTTTTTTACAAGTGTCTTCATGATTTCTTTTGTTTTCTGTCTTTCGCTCCCTTCGCAGCAACTGACAGCAATGAAAAAGTGGCTGTAGCAAGCACTGCAAATTGCAAAGAAAAAATACCAGTCATTTTGTTTCGACAGGGTTATGATTTACGCTTGGAACATACGCACGGCCATGCTCTCCTCGATGAAAGTGGACATTGTTCGTCGAACCACGGTGGTCACTATCATTACGGTATGTCCTGATTTAGTTGACTATCGTGTTTTTCTTGGGATTCGCTAGATTAGATTTTCCATGTTAAATCTGAACTCGTACTTTTTGCAGATACGACACCCGACGAAGTGGAATACTGGGGATACTTCAGCGTCGCGGAAAAGCTTTTCCGGATTGACCGACCCAGTCCGACCGAAAATTTAACGTCACTGCTTTTAGGATTTTAAACTATAGTTTCGTTACATCAGATTTAAATTTATTGTCCAAAAACTATCACTGCCTGTGTTTCCACTTCCATTGATATGCAGTGCCGGTTAATTCTTGAAAATAGTACTACCCTGGTGATTAAAGAGTGACAGAGTATCCTTTTAATAACTGCTGCGCTCTGATTTTGATGTCCACACTGTTTATGCCTTGCTGCGGAAAACCGAATAATTCAGATAATTAAACAAGATTAAAAACTAAATAATAAAAAGATTTTGTTGCAGTATTTCAGAAATACTGCAGAAATACTATTTCTTGATTCTTTTTTGAACAACTCTGAGTCTGTGGCTCTGTGCGTATTTCAGTTATGATATTATGGCAAATAAAATAATTGAAGTTGTCTTGTTGCACTAGTCGTACAGTACCGATTTTCTAGGAGACAGCTATACACAATTCACACTTTCAGCTTCCAGAACTTATTATTTTAGCATCGCGCCAATGCAAATCATGAGGTAATTTTTTCTGACCGTAACAGCTCCTTACATAATACAAAATCAGTAACAAACTGTAAAAAAATTGCGTATTTCGGGGATACAAATTGCCACTTACGTAATGATGCTTATGTAACAAACACAGTATTCCACAAGTACAGCACTGAAAGTTCAAAGTACTGAAATCAAAGCTGCATGCCGTTCCGTAAAAAGTCTCCCAATTAAAGACAAACTCTCATCCGTAAAAAAGCGGAATTCACAGAGATCCAAATCATAATAATTAATACTATACGTTAATTATACGAAGGTAAAGAAGGCTATCAGAGAAATACACTGTAAAAGCGAGGCCATGATCCTGCAAGTGCGATCCAAACTGTACAATGTAGAAACACGAACCAGACATGCGATCCTGCGCAACTCACACGCCTGGCCGTCCCTGTTCACAAATCCGTGACTTCCTTCGTCTCGAAAACGACACGCTTCCCCTGTTCTTTCATGTAATCCACCACCAGATTCCAGGAATCCATGAGATTATCGGCTGGCTCCCAGGTCGCATGATCCATCGAATATCCGTCCCATTCGACCAGGAAGTACAGACTCAGCGGCCTACTATCCTCATTGCCCAGATTTCGCATAAATTTGTAGTCATGGATGGTCTTGACGTTGTAGTGATCCGTTCCGGGCACGTTACCCGCTCGCTGCCGAGGGTGCGCACGTTTGGGGCGACTGTATCGAGCTGGCATGTTTCCCAAAGGACTCACAAGACTTGCGACGCTTCTCACACAGTAACACTATCACACCGTGAAACAGGCACGCTGTGCAGTGTACTAGTAATACTATACAATAACTAATTTATCCGCGAAATATTCGAAGCTACACAATGATTAGATATTTCTGAAAATCACAGCAATTTTACCAGCAGTGCTCGTTTAATCCGGAAAGGCAAAAAAACCAAAACATCCATTCACCCAACCTCGAAAATTCGAAACGCGAATTCTATGGTTGTCAACTTGTCGAAGACAAAAAACTGGTAGCGATGTGACATATACAGTAATACAGTACATTTCCACGTGCAATGGAAAGCAGCGAAAATGGAATGGAACTTTGGTTAGACCGCCCACGGCGCCAGACGGAACCAGTGCCAATTGCCAACCACGCCCTGAGTGTTGAGTATTGGTGCCTTCATTGCGGGCTTCATATCACCAGTTCAGCCCATCCACTAAAAAGAATTTGGAATTCCACTTTGCACTGGAACCAATAGTCTGCGTGTGTGGCCGTGCGCTGGCACGTTTTCCGGCGTTTCGCAATGTTTGCACTTTTCAGCATTTCCTGATTGCACAAGTGGTGACAAGCCCAGCAGCTTTCGATTAATGAGTAAACTGTAATGCGAAGTCTGTATGACGTTGTCGTATTTTTTTGCCATTAAAGAACTTTGATCTATTTTTCGTCTCGATATTACTGCGCAAAGTTCCTATTAGTATATTAATCACATCTCCGTCAGTTCCGGCCGTCGACCCCGCGCACATCGCTCCCAAAACGCCTGCCAGTGCCTCCCACCATGGCTCTAACAGGAAGCCTGGTCTTTGCTGTCCTCTCCGCTGCACTCTCCTCCTTCCTCTTCGGCTACAACGTGGGCGTCATCAATGCCCCACAGGTGGTGGTGGCCCAGTGGATCCGCAGTATCCGCTGCAGTCGTCTGGATCATGGCAATGCCACGCAGGAGGACGAGTGGTGTCGGGCCTATCCCGACAACGCCACCTTCGCCGACCTGACGAAACACAACTCGGAACTCAGCACCATCTGGTCCCTGGTGTCGTCCATCTTCTGCCTGGGGGCGTTGATCGGAGCGCTGGCGGCCAACTTTTTTGTGGCGCGATTCGGGCGGAAAGGGACGATGCTGTTGAATAACGTCACGGCGCTGGTTGGATCGGTGTGCATGCTGGTGCCGTATTACGTGGGATCGTATGAGTTGCTGATTGTGGGACGATTTATCATTGGAATGAATGCTGGTAAGAAGAAATTGTACGGGAATGTTTTTGTGAGAGTTTTTAGTTTAGTACCGTGCAGTAGCTTTTTTGCAACGTTTATAAAATTTGCTAATTTAGATTTTGAATTTTTGCTGTCAGTTTGTTTTCCGGTTTGAATTTTGCGACAGAATAATTGTTGCTAAAATTAGGAGTATGCTAAAAAGTGCTTTTTCAAGAATCTGTAAGTTCCCAGGGTTTTATAATTTCATTGTTTTCAGTTTTTGTTGCGCGACCTGGCTTATCGGTTACCGATTTAGCTGTTGGAGTTTATCAAATCATATTCAAATGCACAAAGACAGTCTAATAATGAAGTATAATAAAGGTTACTGGAGCTTTTCGATAGTATTTCGTAAAGATCATGATAAAGATTGCCCGTTATGACAGCGATGTTTTAACCTCGATAGTTCGTTTGTACAAAGTTCGTTTTCTTTCATTTATCGCGGATCAGTGGTTAGTGATGGAATTTTGTTGTGTTGCATTCTTGTCCTGGTCTCGAACGGGTTCTACAACATACTACAGATTAACAGATATACCGTACGTACGTAATGCTTTACACTGTTTTACATATCTCAGATTCTTCGAATTAATTTGAAATAACATCCTAATATGTGTAGAAGGACGAATTCTCTCGTCTCTCGTCTCTCTCGTATACATAAACGCGTGATTATATTTGAAAAGCTGAAGAAATGATCCATTCATATATGCTCTTTTACATAAATATTTCGTAAACCTAAACAAACTGTCTCGGTACATACAGTACATTTCGTTCCTCAGAAAACGGAAGAAGCGGCTCAGTTCAAAAGTGAAAACTGGTTGTTATTTCTTCTTCATGATGTGCATAACACGATAGCATCATATCTATATTTATGGTAGCTGTATATTTGCGTACCGCTGCTCAAAATTTCATTATACTTCTTTGTGTTTCTATACATCGTCCTTCGGAGAATCAGAAGTGAGCGAACTGTTACTACAGTGCTCCCATAAAGGATTTCTTTCTTTAATGGGAGACTGACTGAGCATATAAATATTACTGCGAAGTTTAAACACGATGATGTGAACAAAGCTCTGTGTGTTGTTTAGGTTTCAACTCCGGCGTCCCGCCGATGTACTTAACCGAAATCGCCCCGTCGGATCTGCGCGGCGCACTGGGCACCGTCCATCAGTTGGTCATCGTCGTCGGCGTGTTCATTTCTAACATTCTGGGCCTGCCACAGCTGCTGGGCGACGCCTACCGTTGGCCGTACCTGCTGGCGTTCAGCGTGGTCCCTGCCGCTCTGCAGGTGGTCACTCTCTTCTTCTGTCCGGAGTCTCCGCGCCACCTCTATCTGAACCGCCATGAGCCGGACCAGGCCAAGAAAGCTCTCGAGTTTTTCCAGGGATCAGCGGATGTGGCGTACGAATTAGAGCAAATGGAAGAGGAGCATCTGGCCTCCAAGGATATGCCCACTGTCACCATTCCCGAGTTGTTCCGCGATCGATTTCTGCGGAAGATCATCATCATCTGCATCATGGTCATGCTGAGCCAACAGTTCTCCGGTAAAAACAACAGTAGACCACTGGGAATACTGTAACTGAATGTACTATATAATTGTGACAGTCTAAATTTTGGTAATGATTGTTTTAATTTCGGTAAGAAATTTGTAATTTTTTATGTCGTTGTTGAATTTTCGCCTTTGGTAACGAATTGTAATTTTGATTGAATGTTTGGTAACGAGAGAATTGAATTTCGGAAAAGTACAGCCATTTGCATAACCAGATGTACGGTATGTGCTGGATCATTGTTGATGTTTGAAAGTTGATTAATTTGTTTGTTTCTTCGTTAGGTATCAACGCGGTGATGTTCTATTCAACCAGCATCTTCTCCAGCTGCGGCATGCACGGCATCTACGCCCTGTACGCCACCATCGGCATGGGCGCCATCTTCGTGGTCGCCACCGGTGTCTCCATGGTGGTCGTGGAAAAAGCCGGTCGCAAGATCCTTCTGCTGATTGGCTTGGGTGGAATGCTGGTCATGACGATCCTCCTCGTTGTCTTCATGCGGCTGATGGATTCGGGGTACGAATGGGCCTCGTATCTAGCGGTGATCTCGGTGATGCTGTACATTATCCTGTTCGCCATCGGTCCCGGACCCATCCCGTGGTTTATCGCCAGCGAACTGTTCACGCAAGGTCCGCGTGCGCCGGCTATGAGCGTGGTGGCCGGGGTCAACTGGTCCAGTGCCCTTTTCATCACCCTGACCTTTCCCATGATTGTCAACGTGGCCAAGGAGTACACGTTCCTCATCTTCACGGGATTCCTGGTGGGCTTTGTGGTGTACACGTACCTCAAAGTGCCGGAGACGAAAGGCAAGCGGGTGGATGAGATACAAGCGGAGATGCGACAGAGCTTGTAAAAAACGGTGGAATTAGGCATACTCCGGTTACCGCGGCTTTTCCGCTGGTGAATGCCTATTTTTTGGCCTTTTTGTACTGCTTTCCCTGTCAGTTTATTCCGGTCCCGATCAACATTCGTTTTTGTACTGTTAGTTAAAACGACCGTCCTGATTTGCTTGCGAGGTTATTTTTTTGTAACAGAATTTTGTTGTTATCAATGTTACTTGTTAAGCCTTTATGTTGTTAATTTTTCTCCTTGAAAGTTTAAGCGATATTTAGCATGTTTCGAGGTAAAATGAAACTTCTCTGATCTTTCAGCGGTTTCGTTTGGCTTCCGTTCGTTCCAACTGCAGCATTAGCGTCCGACGGCTTTTCTTTTTTGATCCAGGATTCTTTAAATTTATTTTAAATTTTTTCCTGCGCAAATTTACTGACTGGCAGCCTATTCACAACGTTAGCTTTTGTTAATCCGATTGATTGAAATGTTTGAAACGAGAAACCATCACACTTCAGGGTAAATATTGAAAGGATATTAGATTTCTGATGGAAAAGCATTTTTTGTTTATCCACCTGCATCGGCCGCGCTGGAAACCGCGACAACTCGCCGACGTAAACTCGAAAACGAACCAATCCAGTTCCAAGTTTTGCAAAAACACTGTTTGACTGTTTCTATACCGTAAAACACCGAAGCCGCTTAATCTTATTTAACGTACCGTGTTACAACTTAAAACATCTCCTTAGATTTAGAAAACGTAAATAATCAGAAAACAAAAAATTTTCGTTTTGATAATTTTGAAGGCGGTAATATCTTGGACGGCTATAGCTGGTATTGTCTACCGCCCTTGTGAAAGCAGTTAGATAACTGGAACGTAGGCCGCGTATCCGTGTTCTGAATCTGAACTGTTCTCAGTCTTTTTGAGTTTTTTTCGAATGCCCACGCGTGCAACCTGCAGCGTGGCCGTGCTGAAATCTGTCAACACTCTTTGACACCTCAGACTTTTCTTGTGAGTCCGTGACCGAAAGTTTTCTCCGTATTTTTTGCGAGTTTTCGCTTGAGCTTATCTGAATTGACCAATTACTGTCTGAATCGCCGCGGTTTGGAGTTTGCATAGCAGGTATCAGCGGAAACCCTTCTGTGCTGACTGTGTAAATTGTGTGCACCTTGACTGGGCTGACAACTTGCAAATGCTCTGTTCTCTCTCATCACAGTTTCCCTGGATGCAGACTGCACTCTCGGGATCCACAATGGCGAACAAAAACTCCATAACTAGCGTGAATCTCAATGGATCCATAATGCACCGTCTTAAGCAAGGTACTGCATAGCTACTTTGTGTAGGTACTTAGGTAGTAGGTACTTCGTTGCCAACGTGAAATACACTGCATCGACTGCAGTCCGTGCAGTGATATGCAGTGTGCATGTGCCATGTGGAAGCCCCATACCCGGATCTTTTAGCTAGGCGCTCTTACCAATATTCCTGTTCAGTGTGCAGCGACACATTCGACAGGGAATGAGGAGTAAAGATGTTCAACTTTTGTCCCTTCCTCCTGGTTGCATGAGTATTTACTGTTTACGTATACTGTGTTACTGTACATAAAGCATCGTACTGTAGACTGTATGATATTGATTATGTCATCATTTTGATGTGTATTGTCTAGGCAGATCTTCAGAAAGCGAAGAGGACGAAGCATTCAAGGGAATGGATAAGGTAAAACTCCGTCATGCAGGACTGTATCGCTGGAAAAATTTCTATCGTTTTATGACTGTTGTGAGTGTTGTCCTTAGGAATACAGGAGCTTGAAGGCTAAATGGACAGAGGACAAGCAAAGTGCTCGACGTAAGTCGTACTGGGTAGTAAGTACCGATTCACCGAATATTGAGTACTTAATGAAATAAAAATAAATTAGCAACCACCGGGTACTATGTAATAAAATTAATAAAATAAAAAAGTAACTATACCGATACCCATGTAATAAGGAAAATAAAAAGTAATCGTATACTGCGTATCTTTATCACAGTATAACACGCAATTTGATGTCTGCGTTTGTAGTGGCAGTCAGCACGCTGCAGCAACAAGTGGCGGACCGCGACCGCGTCATAGAACAGCAGCGAACGATGATGACGAATCTGCAGAGTGTCGTCTCCACCAAGAATCGCATCATCGAAGAGCAAGGTATCCGCTTGAAGGAGATTGAAGCGCGGGTGCTGGACGGTCAGCGACAGAAGATGGAGGAGCAGCAGAGCCGCTTGCAGGAGCTGGAAGCGTGCTTGGCCGAGGAGAAACGCGCGCGCGAGGAGTTGGCGGCACGCAATGCCCAGTTGATGACGATAACCTCGGCCATCCACGGGGCTTTCGCTAGTCACCGCGATGTTGTGCAGCTACTATTGGTGAGGGAGATTGTTGTTCGTGCTCTAATGAGACACAGTTAAAGATTCAGTGTCGTTGTAGGGTTCGCCTGGTGGCGTCGGATCTCCTGTTAATGCTCCCCAAGTACATCTTGTGCTGCGTTTTCTGATTCTTGAACGATTACACGCAGTATTTGTTTTCAGGATTTGAAAGTGGGCGTCGAAGCTGTTGTTGATGTCCCCAAAGTCGACGGTGAAAGCCCTACTGTTGTTCCGATTCCGGTTGTCGCTGCTGAACAGTAAGAATGGTTTGCAGTTAGAATTTATTTTTCGGTTATTGTTTTTAAGTTGCTTTGTTATTTTGCGCTACTGCATGCAGTATGAACGTATCGCAGTTCAGCTTTGCTGGTGTTTTGTTCACTTTAGCGACGGTAGTATCCCAACATATGACATGACAGCTTTGTTGTACACGCAATATTGAATTAGTTCTTCAATTTATTTTTTGCTGAATGGTTTTGGATTGATTTTGTCAAGTGCAGTATTGTGCTGAATAGACAAGTGCTTACTGTGTTTCATTTCAGGATTCAGGCAGCAGTTGTCGATGGTGCATCGGAATCCCTTGCTGAAAAGTAAGAGTGGATTGTTTTGAGCTTTGTTTTTGGATTTTTTGCCTACCCACGCTGCGCTGAAATAATTTACTCTAAGCTTCTGCAGTGAAACAGTACGAACATGCAGACATGTGTCGCCTGGAAATCTTTTTTTAGATTTTTTATGTTGCGCCGAATGGGATTTGATCTGTCAGTTTGTATGTTGAACGGACAAATTGTTAATGTGTATTTCAGGACTCCCGTGGCGGCTGTCGATGGCCCATCGGAATCGGCGTCTGCACCGCGCGATCCCACTCCGCCGCCCTCCGCACCGGAACCCCCGATCGAGCCGGTCGCCGAGCACGTAGAAGTCGACACGGAGCCGGTGGTTGTCCCGCCGCCATTGCCCGTTGCTGACGACACACCGCCGACCGGTAGCGAGAGTGTGGGAGCGGACGTGGACATGCCTCCCGCCCTTTCCGTTAACGAACAGTCTAAGGAGCCCGCCGCGGCCCATAAACCCATTATAGTGGTCCTCCCCATCAAACCGGCGCTCCGCTCGCGCCCGCCCATTGACTCAGAGAACCCGGCCTCCCCCGAGATCACCGACCGGCCCAAGAAGACCGTCAGCTTCTCGCCGCTGCTCGATCAGGTGGGCGTCGTGCCAGGGAAGCGGAAACGGGCGGAATCCCTGGTGACGTCCTACACGTGCCGCGTGTGTCTGGTGGATTTCGTGGATGAGGCGGCACTGCGCGGGCATGTGTGCCCGTTGCAGCGTATCTACCAGTGCGGAACAGACGGCTGCCAGAAGACCTTCGGGAGCGCATCCAGCAAGCGCCGGCATGAGAACGCGGCGCACGTTGATAAGCCGAAATTGCGCGCAGCCAAATCAGGGCCGATAAATAATTCCTCTTCTCCGGGTTCTTGATGAGGGATAGCGTTGTGGTTCGTTTTACGAGGACAGTAATGATCTTTGCATTTTTTCAAAAATTTTGTATTTTTATCATTTGTACCGATTGCCTTACGTGATTTGATGGAGTTCCTGTTTACTAACATATGTATAATTTTTCTGTTTGCTGGATGCTGGGTTTTGGTGATGACAGGTTTGCTTTCTTTCCTGGGCATGATGGCTGGAAATTGTTAGGTTATTCTGTTTTTATGGCACTCTCTCAGGTACATTTTTGATTTGATTTATATATTTCGCAATTCGACTGTGTTTGTGGTGTTAGGAAGCTTTTCGGTAGAGTGTTTTCAGAAATTTCGATGTTTGTAAATTTCAAATAAAGATGGTACCTGTGTGAATAGCAAGTGCTTACCGCGACAACAGCATTGCGAAATTTTGAGACAATAAAACATAACCTTGGACCGCGATTGTGCTCCGCCTCTGGACGGCTGGTTTATTTACACTCCAGTTTCATCTGGCGAGCTTCTTAATAAAACGCTTTTGTGTGCTGATCGCAATAAATAGTATATACTTATTTTTACTGATTATTAAAAGAACTAAGAACTTTCTCCTTTAGGAAATTAGGAAAGGATTATTTAATTTGCACCGAGCGCTAAGAACTAAGAATTTCTCCTTTAGGAAATTAGGAAAGGATTACTTAGTATTACGGTGATAAGGTAAAGGTAAAGTAAAATAAGGTAAATGATACGTACCTGTACATAAACCCAATTGCACGGCGTACACCTGCTTGGCGAATTGTCCACCACCTTGAGTGGGCAGTTTGTTGTGGTTCATCTGTTGTCAATACGAGCATCCGATCCCGGAAGCTGCACTTCGTCGTCGTTTATCTCAGACAGTCGCAATGTGATCTTTGATTGACTTTTTAATGCTACGCCTACTACCTATGTTTCACTTCTTTTTATGTGATTGTATGTCATTTTGATTGTTTTTGCTGATTGACCTGCGTTTAGGGATAGGATTAGTGTATCCCAGCGGATATATCTGTTGGGGATTCTTGTGTGTTGGTGTTGATGTTCGCAAAAGGACCGAGTTGCTAGCCACCTCACGTCAAGCAAAATCTATCCTGATTTGGCTGTGTAAGTTTGGCCATAAACCCTCACATCAGTGATCACCACTCGCATTTTTCCGAGTTCCTTTTCTGCGGAGTGAATGTGGTCAGTTTGGTCGTGGTCTATGCAGGCTGGTGCATATTACGACTTACAGTTGCAGGTACAACTTTTCCCTCGTGATCTCCACAATGGCGAATGCGTCTTCCCTGACCAGTGGTCTTGAAGGTCTTGATGAGTCGGACATTCTCGATCCAGCTGAACCAGGTATGGTTGGATTTATCGAATGGGTAATTAAGTACGAACTGCAGTATCCGATACACGCTGCAGTGGTGAACAGTGAGCATTATGCGGATCTTTCGCGATTACACTGTATTCTGCACGCTGATGTCCATGTTTTGCGATGATTTCTACCATATTATCAGCGTATTGTAGACTGTATCTTAATCTTAAGTTTTTCAAGCTAAATCTCAAATTTCTGATGGCTTTTGTCTAGACATGCCAGACCGGGAAGACGGTTCGTCCGATAAGGCGTTGGAGGAGGTGAGGCTCGGCAATGCAGTGCAGGATTGACCGCCAGTTGGTTGAAGTGTTGGTTTTGTTTGCACATACAGTTGACTGAGGCTATACAGAACGACTTCGGACATCTGAAGGCTTTGTGGGCAGAGAAGGTGCAAAAACAGCAATGTAAGGATGGTGTACTTTCCGTATGTTCACAAAATTATCTTAACTGTGCATCTGTACGTACTCGTACTTGCAGTGACAATAACTAAGCTCGAGCGACATATCAAAGAGCAGAACACCATGACGGACCGTCTCCGGGGCAAAATCGTGGAGCAAGGGGCCCGCTTGAAGGAGAGTGAAGCGCGGGTGCTAGACAGTCAGCTGCAGAAGGAGGCGGCGCAAGGTCGTGTGGAGGATTTGGAGGCGCGCTTGGTGGAGGAGAAACGCCGCATTGAGGAGTTGCTGGCGTACAACGCCGAGCTGGCGCAGACAACCGCGGCCTTCCACGGAGTGTTCGCCCGGCACCGCGCTGTTGTGGAGCGAGTAGTGGTGAGGGATGCTGCCCGTTTGCGTTACCTTGTGTTAACAGATTATATATTTAGCGATTAAACAAGATTTTGGTTTGTAGGATTCGAAAGCGAGCGCCGGTACTCCTGTTGGTATCCCGATTCCTGGTGTTGCCGCTACTGAACAGTAAGAACGCATTGTATTTACTGTTCTTGGTTTTTATTTTTCTTATTTGGTATTACTGTGAGCTACGGCAGTATTGAAATCTGAGCAGCTCAGCAGACTACATTAGTATAGGAAATGTTTTGGATTTTTTACTTTACGCTGAATGGTTTTGGACTGGCTCGTCAAGTGCGGTAGTCTCCTGAATAGATAAATGGTCAATGTGTTCTTTTCAGGGCTTCCGTTGCGGTTGCCGATGGACCAGCTGACTCCGTGCCTGCCCCGCGCGACCAAACTCCGCCGCCATCCGCACCGAACCTCCCGGTCGTGACGGTCGCCGAACACGTCGACATGGACCTGCCGGCCGTCTTTTTCCCGCCGCCGCCGGTTTCTGACGTCACAGCGCACACGATGGCCAAGAGTGTGGGAGCGGGCGTAGGCATGCCATCAGCGCTGTCCATTATGCACGCCACGGAGTCCGTCGCCACCGCACCACTGGCCCACAAACAGATTCTCGTGACTCTCCCCAAATCCGCTTTGCGGGTGCATCTCCCCTCCCCGCCTACCGACACGCAGGCCGAAGCAGCGCATTTGACCTCCCCGGAGATCAGCGCACCCACGAAGACCGTCGCCTTCTCTTCGGTGTCCGACCAGGGAGCCGGGATCGCTGTTCCTGCTCCGGGTAAGCGGAAGCGAGCGGAAACGCTCTTGACGGCCAACACCTGCAAAGTGTGTCTGGTGGAGTTTGCCGACCAAGCGGAGCTGCGCGGGCATACGTGCCACGGCAAGCCCAGGTATCCGTGCAGAGTGGATGGCTGCGGGAAGATTTATAGCCATTTGTCGGGCATGTATCGCCATGAAAAGAAAGCGCACGATACAGGCCACCATTATGACCACTTCTAGGCAAAGCGCAGCTTGTTAAATTATGGTCGTTTAGTAACCTGAGCTGCTGACTGTTGGTAGCGACTGGATGGTAAGGTGCACAAGGACGGTAATTACAGTATGTTTAAATTTTGATTATTTTTAGTGTTCTCTATCGCGATTACGGTACAGTTTGTGATGCGATCTAGTTAGAAATTACTTTCGTTTGTTGAAATTCGGTTAGTTCGGTGATGTTTGTGTTATTGTTGAGTGGGAGGATAAACTGGACATTGTTGGGAACTTTTTGTTCTGGAAAACGGTGTGTAGGTATATTTCTTTCGATTAGATGTTGTCTATATTTCATGCGGTTTTTGGTAAAAGTCTTGATGGCAGTTGTTTCGGCTTTCGATGTTTACAAAGCAGATTAAACGCATTTGCGGCATTAACGGCAAAACCAATAACTGGAGATTTTTAAACGTGAAAGAAACCGTAAACATTACAACAATTACAGCGGAATGCGGATCCGGGTCGTACAACATATCAACGCTAAAAACATTAAAAAATTTAAAGTTTACAAACGATAAAAAATAAAAACATTCAAAACCAGCCAAACAAAACAAGCCTCTCACAATGCAATAGCAAAATTAAAATTGTCCGGCAGCGGCGGCATCTCCGGGATTTTCTCGGGAATCGCGATGCCCTCCGTGCCCAACAAGCGCATCTTAATCTCCCACGTCAGCAGCTCCTCCATGTCGGATGCCGCCAGCGGACTGCTCATTTCCTCCCCCAACAACACCCGCAGTCCATCCGTCCACATATTGAATTCAAACTCACTGGGCGCAATAAAATCCAGGGTTTTATTTTCTCCTGCCTTGTTCTCGCCGATCAGCGCCAGAGAGAAAGCGACGTTGTGGTAATTCTTTTTGTTCTTGACATGCGGACACTCCTTCCCGGTCAGCAGCGCTTTGATCTCGCTGATGCCGATAACTTTGGCCAGCTGGCCTGATGAGCTCTCGTCGGCGTCACCGTAGTGCAGCAGTTTCTTGTTAATGGAGAGTTTGCACTTCCAGGTTTTGCTCTTCCCGGCGAACATGCGGCGTTCGTAGTGCGAGAAGAGTGTGCCTTCCTGCATGTGCCGTATGCGATTCTCCGTAATGAGCCCCAAAACCTAAAAAATGACAACCTGTATAACAGTCTTTTACGGCAGTCGGATGCAGATATTTTTCCGTATCGTTTAGTAATATTAGTAATTTTGATATATACATTTCACTCTACAATACAATATCATGACTTTGTACTAACATTCAATTATCCGTGTGTAAGCACAATATAACACGCAATCTTTATTGTATCAGACTAAAAAATCAATCAAGCTAGAAAATGATTGTTATTCACGAGCATACGATTTTCCATTACATACTTCAACGATTTAACTACGCTATCTTTTATTGCTCACGCTTTTGTGTAAGTACCTACGCTATAAATTATATCGCGTAAAACATCGTAGTTAATTTCACCAAAATTTACAAAATATTATTAAAACACAAAGTAAGGGCAGGTAATTTTGTGAAGTATAGCATGTAGGTATAAATATAAAATAAATACCATCTGTGTAATCATACAGCTTCTGCAATTCGGTACGAGTGCAATAATCAAAGAAGTGTTGAACTTGTCAAATTATTTTATAGTTTTCAACATTCTCACCTCGGAGCGCAGCATCTCCCTCAACTGGACAATCGGTTCCGCCTTGGACTCCAGCTGTTCCTTGGCGTTCTTCCTGGCCTCCCTGATCTCGTTAATCTTCCCGTACGTATACTCTTTGACCCGCTCCCGCCAGGCCTCCACCGAGCCGGGCGCCGGCGGATCCCGCAACGACAAATCCACCTTCTCCTTCAGCACCCCGATGACCTTCATGAAATCCTGCGCCGACGCCTTCATCTCCTTCCACGTCCGGCACAGCGTCTGCATGCCCAGCACATAGGCCTCCTCGAAGGGATACTCCGAGGTGAACACCACCCGGTCATATTCGCCCACCGGGAACTCCCCCGACGGCAATTCCACCACCCGGAAGGTTTCTAACAGCACGCGCACCACGTGCAGACTGGCCAAGAGGAACGGGCAGTCGGAGGCACTACGGGAGCAGCTCTCCAGGATCCATTGCCGGAAGACGGCGGGATGTTTCATGGCGAAATACTGCATACAGTCCAGGACGAGAGCGCCTTCCGGCAGCGGCATCAGGTCGTCCAACGGGGAACGGGTGTGTTTGAAGCCTAACCGGGAGAGTTCTTCTGTCGGTTCGCTATTCTTGCGGGTGAGGCTGGGATAACTGGGCACTTCGGCCAGAACGGCGGCTGTGGATTTTCTCAAATCTTGCAAATGCTTCTCGGCCGTCTCTGTTTCCCATGTATGGTTCATTACTCTAGAAAGACGACGTCAATCAATTACAGAAAAATAAGGTAAGCTTATATCGTTATGGAAAGCGTTCAAATAGAATCATAAACCATCGTAATTAAGAATAACATTGATTTGTGAGTCGTGACAGTAAATTCAGTTGTTTAAATCATTGGGTACATTTCAAACTGATAACTTCAGCTTGCACTAAACTGTTTTCAAATGGAAAGCTTTCGTTCAACAGTGAAAACTGCGTGCAGATTTTTTATGCCATACATCAACGGTACTATACAAACACTGCAAAGTAACCTATCATTCACGAATAAATAAAATATATTTAATAACTCTAAAACCGCGTAGGTAAGTACAAAAGTTTAAAGTTTTACCTAAAGTTGATGACTTTCATTAGATGCATCTGGAGAATAAACAGCTGCTTGGCAATCTCCGGCTTGGGTGTCTGATTAAGGGGAATGACTTCATTGAGGACAATCTCTCTCGTGCCGGACGACAGGATGACCTGTGCCAAACTCTGCCGCGCCGCATCGTTCATGCCCCGCGCGAAGATAGCGTTGATGAGGGATAAAATACTCTGCTGGAGTGACGGCTGTTTGAGATGCTCCATTACGTGGGGCAAGGAGATTTCCCGCGCCACCGACGCCTGCTTGGAACTGTTCAGAAGAAGCGATTCCAGAATCGTCAGGGAAATTTGCACCGTGGCCGGGTCGAAACTACTCTTGTTAACATAGGATGCCACCTTGAAAAACCAAAGAAAACTTCAGAAAATCCACTATTACATTTAAGAAAATCAGAACCGACAACCTATATATTTCCTCGTCTAAGCGAAAATCACAAAACGGCCAAGGAAAGACTTTTCTAATCGTTGCTTAATAATCACAAACCGATTCAATTTAAATGTAAATGCTATCTAATTTTATTCGGAAGCACGATATCTTATAACGGTGTCCCTTTAAACGTCGCTCGTCGTAAAAGTACTGTAACAAGAGAAAAAAATCGACACCGGTTCCATACCTTGGCGATGACATTCTGGTCCACCGTATCCCAGCTGACGATCCCGTGCAGTTCAATCAGATCATGGTAGGCGCCCAGCAGCGTCCCGATCAGTTCGGGCATCATGAAGGGGACGGTGGAGAGGGATTTATCCCAGCCCGTTTTCTCGATAATGGTCACCAGCAACTCCATGCCGTCCTGCGTGATGAACTCCTCGGCAAAGGTGACGTCCGGCGCTAAGGCCGCCAGCTGGGTGACGGCGGCGCGCTTCTTCGTGGCGTCTCCCATGCGCAGACTCTCCAGGATGCTCTTGACTTGCTCCGATGCCGAGGGAGACAACACTATTCACACCAACAAAAGGAAAGCGCACAATTCAATAAAAACCAGGGAAAATATTGCGATGAAACGGTATTGTGCTTATCCAATACTTATGCTTTTCACGGTACATGCAATTCAAAAGAGATAATCTAGTAACTCGTTATAACTGTGTTGTTAAAACCGACTCATTTTAAAACGTTACCAAAAATTTTGATACACATTGTCAAAAATTAACTAATAACGGAATTATTATTATCTCGAATTATTTAATTTACTACCTCTTTTACGAAAACTTTTTTTCGATGTTAGCAGACAGAATTTTTGTGATGCCTCGCATCACAAATCACGTTACTGCTATTCCTGGATAGAACTTACCAAGAAATCGATTTTTTACAACTGACAGTCAAGTAAATGGTTAAATTTTCAACTAGTTATGTCGTCTATTTTATGACGATTTTTAATCCGTTTTTCTTTGTCGCTACTCTTACCAAGAACACTGCCATTTTTAATTTCATCGCGATTCTTAGCCGTAACGTAGATCATCTGGGAGGGATTCTGCGGATCCTGCAGCTGCAGGGCGAAATCCTGGTGATTGGGGATCCCCCAGGGGGCGCACAGGTCCTCCACGAGGGCGCTGAGGGGCCGCGTGAAATCCAGTTTGACCATCTGCGGCAGTTTACTGGGATCGTCCGCGTAGAACTTGACGCCCACCTTCAGCTGACCGCTCTCCTGCCGTCCATCACCAGATCCGCCCGACACCGTCGTCACGGGACGGGGGGCGGCACGCGCCGCACTGCCACTCCCCGCGCCGTTCTGCGCATCCTGGTGGAGAAACGAGACCATGAACATGTCATCACGCGTCAAGAATCGTCCAGGCTATCCGCAGCCAAGCGTATCTTACCATAGGGAGGGGACGCCACACGGGCAACTGAATAAACGATAAAGCAGAGAGGGATACAGGGTAAAAACGAACAGATTAGAGGCGAACGAATGGCAGAACGACATCAGCTGCCATCGATGTGGGAAGGGATAATTGAGTCAGGATGCCTTCAAGATCAAAGAACGCTGTCCACAGTACTCACTGCCTGGGGAAAAAATATATAACTTCAAAAAAATGATAGAGTTCAGTCACAAATTATGTGATCCTCCAAAACCAACAATATTATATCGCCAAAGAACTCAAAAATCAACCGATGACAGTCCGTGTTAGTTAGTCACCTGAAATGCAAAGGAAATTTTTCAAAACCACAACATTTCGTTCTGGTCTAGTGATTCATGCAGCAATGCTCAGTGAGTGGCGTCACGAGGTCTGCAGTACTGTGTAGTGTGTAACATTTCACCGGAAGGGCACCCACAAAAATTAGCAACGTGCTCCAAAAAAGCCTGTCCATCTACAACTGAACAAAATAAAAATATTACGATGCATAATCAGTTTTCAAATATATGTGAAATATGTTATTGTATGCTAATAAGTTATAGTGGAAAGCATTCCCAACTTCTGCGAGAAGTGCTCGTGCAGTCGCGCTGCATACTGACTACCGGAAGTTGACAGCTGGAGGAAGTACCGGTACTACTCACGATCAGTACGAGCTCGCATCGGATAAAAACGATGCACTACCGTACGATAAAAACCAGCAGTCAGCATCGAGCTACCGCTGGTTTTGCTTTAATGCTGTCCATCTAAAAATAGCCTATAAACCAGCGCTGAAACGCAGTATTGTATTCAATGCTACATACTAAAGTACAAAACTTTAACGGGGAGATTCCTTGTGTTCCATTAATTTACCATCAGTCGGAAGTGCCGTACCTATGTATCTGCGCAGACAGCACGGAAAAACTTATTATAAAGCATGTTCTTCTCCAGTGCAGCAATCAAGATTTGTATACCGCAATAACTGCATTAACAACTGATTATTCGAATAAAAATCTGAGAATTAATAGTGTCACTTGTTTACGATTTGTGGATAAACTGCGCAGATTCACGTGTACAAGTATATCTATACGAGTATACCCGCCAATGTCAGCCAAAAGCGATGCAAACCTGTTTCCTGCGGAAGAAATCCGAAACGCACTGGAAAAGCAGGAAGAAGGACGCTTCGAAGCGCTGTCATCCCAACTGCGAGGTTCGCGGAATATGGTCATCCGGCCGCTTCAGCAGGACGATTACAAGAAGGGATACATGCAGTTACTGGCGCAGTGCAGTAATGTTACGCCTATACCGGAAGAAGTATTTCTCCGGCAATTTCGTCGGATGCAAGCGCTAAATGGAACGTTTTACGTTGTGGTCATCGAGGACTTGGCGACCAATAAAATCGTGGCAACAGGTGCATTTTTTTAACAAAAATTTGTATTAATACAAAACGAAATAATGTTTTCCTCATTATTCAATCAGAAACGCTTTTTCGACTCGAATTATTCAACGCCAAGTACTGTTTTTTGACGAGTGAATAAGTTGAAGATTGGAGCTCCTCAACATTAATAATTATTAAATACGAAAAGATAAATTAGGTATTGATAAAAAAATAGTGGATTTTAACAGGCTCATTGGAAATTCAGTACAAATTCATCCACTCAGTCTCGCTACAAGGCCGCATCGAAGACCTGATGGTTGACCGCGAGGAAGAAATCCAAGATTACCGTTACCAAGACGGCAACCTGGCCAGCATATTAACTAACGTCTTAGTGAGTCTCGCCAAATCCCTTGGCTGCTACAAAATCCACGTCGACAGCCCGGAGCCGTTCGTCCGCTTTTATAATCAATTCGGCTTTACAACGGAGCCTGGGATCGACGCCCTGGTGGCCCGATTTCTGTCCAAGACAACTCCATAATCAATTTCAAGCCCAATATCATTTATGTAATTAATTACAGTGTTTATAAACACTCTGATTTAGCACAACACAGCGTTAAAATACACTACGATGTAAAAATTGTGGATAAATTTCTATGCAGTCTTCCTCTGCGCATTATACTCAGAATATCGAATAAAAGCGTGGATCCAATGGCAGTTATGACGCTGGTAAAACGAAGAAACCATTTTAAGCATTCTGTCTGTGGGAGTCGCTGCTCGGACCGGATGCAAGCTGGCTGGTGGTCTCATCGTAGTCGGCCCCGCGCAGATGCTGCGGCATCCAGGACTGCACCTTGGTGCGCGTGGTGCTGTAGGGGAAGTAAGCCTCGCTGGTGCCGGTCTTGTTCTCCTGATGCGGCACCATCCACTTGTAGTTCACCGGGGGCTTCACTGTCGGTGGCAAGTCGGTGGTGTAATGCATCCAGGCATGCCTGGGCAAAAGAAAATTCGAATTTATGTAGTGTCCTCAACATTCTGTTCACAAAAAGGTAGCGTATTATGAAAGCTGTAGTTTTGTCTAAAGACTCTAAACAGAAAAACTTTCAATATAATTATGTGCCATAATCATCCAGTTAATTCCAGTAGATCTACAGTTCAAAAGGTCAACATGTACTTGCATTGTACTAGTACTTCTTCCGTAGTAATTTTTTTGATATGGCAAAACTTTTACCATTCAATTTTCAAACTACTGCTCACTTTAAAACAATCGGCATTCATTTTAAGCTGCCATTTCCACAATAAATGCTTTCTAAATTTATTAAAACTGCACAAAACGAAAAACACCAGAAAATTTAAGCGCGGGTGACAGCCGACAAATGCCAAAACCAATGTTTCAGGTGATAGTCCTATAATTCCCATTCCAGGAAAAAAGTTCAGTAAATTCACGCGGCAAGATAATTATTAGTGATGGCACTGATGGGGTATTCGCACTTCGCAGTAAGTCAGCTCCCCATGATAAACCCTTTAGAAAATGAATAATTTATAATTATTACCAACACGTGCAACAGAAAACCCACCACAAACACCGCCGAATTTGTTTCGCTGTAAAAGATTTAGAAATTTTACAGAGCAATGCGTAAATAACAAACAAATACAGTATGAGTAATCATAAAATTATCAGCAAATCCACGTTAATTAGAAAACCATAAATAAATAACACTTTATAACAGCAAACAACAAATTAGTTTATCGCAATTTACAACTATTTAAATAATTTATGTACTGTAAACATACACTTACCATTCCGCTGGAATCTGCGATCCATCGTAATCCACAAAGAAGGCCTTATTGTAGATCACCCAGCGATTCCTCCCTGAAAATTTACACACAAATAATGACAAATTTCCCGTGAATCGTCATTTGAATGTGCAGTGTGCACACCACTTTATGTATACTGCCTGTGCAGTTCTTACGCTGCAACTCGTAATGTCAACCATTTACGATGCATCGTGGACAGAATAAGAACAACAAATGGTTTAGAATGGGCTTACCGACGAAATAGTAATTGTTTTCGTAATACTTGTTCCCGTATTTATCCGTGCCAACGTGTGTTCCCCATTTCAAATCATCCGTCACCAGCAGTGTGTACGCGGAATTCACGATGCCTCCGTTCTGCTTGATCGCCCGCATCAGGTTGCCAACCTTACTGATCAAGGACATTTTCACATCTGCTTGTTGGGAATCCCGGCGCCTGTCAAAAGTTAGTACAACAATTTCATAAATGGTAACCAGAAAAACAAAATCGACACTGGAATGCACGATGTAAAAATTCAAACTCGAGGAGAAATGAAAATCACAAACCGCGCACTGCTCCTGCTTCAGACAGACGGCATGGACTGGTTTGCACGTAGATGCCACCCGAAGCGGGCAAGAACGTCAAGAAACACAGTAATTTGAAATTTCTAATGGTAAGTTACAGGAGAGGGAGAGCCCGCAGTGCAGCGCTGAATGCTGATACTCGTAGTGATAAATCAAAGTGCTGATCTTTACGGCTTTACCGTTTATGAATTTTCTTATTTTTATGGTTTCCTAGTGTCGTGTCGATTATTGTAGGTTTATCAGATTGTAGACATAGTACTTCGATCGTATTCTAACAGTTACGACCATAAAGAGGCGTTTGGACTGTCTGAGACTCGCGCCGATGTTGGTTGATCATATTTGCCTGGCTAAAGGCTAAAGCGGGCTTTCCTGAAGCCCGTAAAGGATCAGCGAGAGGCCGAGAGCCCCTCGTCGACCAGCGTAAGCTGCACCGTTCACGATCTCGCCCGTGCAGCGCCGATCCCAAACACAGACAGCCAAGCGCCTCTTCTGGCCCATCAGCAGCATCTCAGCGAGGCCATGGAAGGCGTCGATCAGACGAATCTGCTCAGCGATACGGGCGCTCACGGTAGGCAGTGACTAATCGAACAATGTTTTTTTTGCTGTAAATTTCATGATTGTTAAATCATTCATTTCAAATATCGTTCCGTTCTCGCAACGCGGAAATCTCGATAGTCATTGCAGAACCGACTGCTCTGTCTGGATAGCTGATTTAAAACAGTTTCAAGCGTATTGTTGTGTTTGCACATGGATTCAGTCTGTGTCCTGTGTTTCAGAAGACAGCATGCAGCAGGACCGTTGCGCTGTATGCCTGGAAGTTGCATCCGGTTTGTGTTGCGGAGTGCTGACGTGTATTCCTTGCAAGAGCTTTTTTATGGCCAACTGGAATAAAACGGTTTGTTCAGTATGAGGGCATGCGAATTGATATTTTGGAATTTTTCATCATTCATCACCGTCTTTCTGTTGCCGTAGACTTTGACATGTAAAGGAAGCGGTCAGTGTGCGGTGGAAAATGTTCGTCTCAAGTCGTGCAGCAAATGTCGTTTGGAGAGATGTCTAGCAGTCGGCATGGATAAAAGGAAATCTTTGAAACATCCAGACCGCGCTCGGCTAGAAGCGGAGCTCTTGGGACTGCGCAACCCACAAAACCCTACTGCCTTTGCCAAAATGGCTATCAGAGCTGTCGTTCGCAATGCCCACAGTGTGGACGACTTGGAAAAACTACTCCGTGCAGTGCAGGAAGAAGATTCTGCAGAAACCGCATGCGTGCCGTTCCCGCATAAATTTCTCAAGGTGCCTGCGTATAGTTTAGAAATTGATAAATCTACAGCTTTGTTTGTCTACAGTTTTACAGTTCAGTTTATAATCTAGTTTTATTTTTTTTTTGCATTTTAGAATATTTTAAGTTCTTATTTTCTGTTGGATTATTAATTTTGTTATGCGTTTAGGTGAACGAAAACGAGGTTTTGAGTCATGTTCTGACCGCACGGATATTCCGTTGGAATCGTGTGGCAGCGAGCAAAGTTGTTTCTTCACATAACTGCACGGTGGATACGAGTGCCGTTTGCATTAATCCTTACCATTATTGCAAGGCAGGGAAGCCGGGGCCGGCTGGACAAGTCTGTGTTGTTGCCAGTTGCAATAATTACACTGGAAGTCATGCTAACGTGGGATTTTTCCGTCTGCCGGACAGAACAGCAAACGAAGAGCGATATTTGCAGTTTTTTTCCTTGTGCGCTCGTCAAGATTTGGATAAGACGGGATTTACCAAGCACCACCGTATTTGTGGAGAGCATTTTCTTGAATCGGATTTTGTTCAAATGTAAAATTAAGAAACATTTGCTTATACAGGCAGCTAATATATCCTTGCTTTGCAGCAGTGGAAAGCGCCGGAAGCTGAACAATACGGCATTACCATCACAGCTTATGCCAAAGCCAATCAGAATCGCTCCCTTGAGAAGAGACAATGCCCGTTTGGGTTTTGAAAAAACCGAGGAGAAGAAAAACCTCAACAGTTTTATTGCGCAATGATGATGTGGTGCACGGGGCAAATATGTGTATCTCAGCAAGCGTAAAACGAAAACGTAACTGAAAAGCCACACTCTGTGTAGCTAAATGGATGGATCTTCGGATTTTGAAAGATAGCCTACATCGAGCGCGGTTTGGATTTGGATGGGTGACCACTCTGAGTTCAGGCTGCGAGTGCATGGCCCGCAAGGCTGTGTGCGAAGTGGTTAGTCGGCATCAGCGCTGACCGTACGGAGTGGCGTGTACGTTTCCTCGACGCCTGTGGTCAATACGGATTCTACGTGGATCAACTCACCACTTCGCTGCCGTACGTGGACGTACGAAGGGGCCTCAACTTCGACTCAACTTTGATACGGATGCGATATAGAGTGATACTGATCTTGTTGTTCTGTGGCTTTGTGCCTTGTGCAAAAACACAGCCGGTACTTTGCGATTGCTTTATGCGGCTAGTTGTTTCGAAAACGTAGCTTTGTGCCCGTATTAGCCTACAGCAATTCTGTGACGTGTTGCTTCTCTAGCGTTCGTATTACTGGTGTTTAACGAGTTGTGGTGACTTGACTAGCCTTAGCATATTTGATGTTCTTCAACGGATAAGGATATGTGAGAGTGCCCGTTTACGGGCTTGGCTACTCGAAATTAAATCAATCAATCAATCAATCAAAATGGCCGGTGCTGCACAACAACAACTCAAGTTGGAGAACTTCGAAACCGCCGAAAAACTAACGCGGAAGCATTTTCGGCCTGATCAAATTGCGATGATGGAGTCGTTGTATCAACGGAAGCTCATCCTTCATTACGCGGAGCTCCAGCGTATTGCGGAATTGATTGATTAATGAAGGGGAAGGGAAAAGAGGAGCAGGGAAGGGAAAAGTCGAAAAAAAGCGGAAAGGGAAGCAGCGTGAAGGGTAAAGCGGGTACATCTGTGATTCAAGAACAATCGCGCGGAAATGGCGAAACCGGATTGGATCAGTTGTTGTGATCTCTCCACTGCAAGCACTGAGTTTGCACCGCCTGGTGCGTTGCCGTCGATGGTCCCTACTGTTACTGTGCCAGTGACGCAGGCCCCTTTCACAGCGGGACTATCCCAGAAACCGGTCGGACCAAGTGTACGAAGAGGTTCTAATTACGTTTGGGTTCAAGGAAATCTTGTTAACGTAACTGCACAGATTTATGTTTTATAACCATTTGAAATTACACTTAAACGTTTTAAACGGTTGACTGTATTGCTGTTTACTGTTTAGTAGTTTAATCGTTTAGTATTGCAGTTTAATGGCTAAGAACAAAAAATCCCGAATTGTGGAAAAGCTGAAAAAAGTCTGTTACCCCTGTTAAGTTTTATTTCGGCATCGTGCTCGTAATAGCTTTCTACATTTCGGTGTGCAGTCAACTTGCGTGATTGGTACAGTGATTTGCAGGATGCTGTTTTCTTTTCCAGGTGGCTTCGCGGAAGGATAGATTCGCCCGATTTATTTAGCGCTACAACATCTTACCACACATACCATTTTGACTAGTGATATCTGCGTGATAGCCTTAATAGATTTGCTTTACATTTTCTGTGAACGCTGAGTCGCTGACCCGTGAATTATTCCGATAAGAACTGTTGAATTTAACAAAGTATCCCAACTGGTACTATGCATTCGTTTATTGCGTACTTAGAATTACAAGTCCGTTTACAAAATAAAATTCCAGAACTTTGTTTTGTCGTTATATCTGGGTTGACTGAACCAGCGGCATCGTTGTTTCGCTTTTCAGTATTCGTACTTATAAAATTATTCTAAACTGTGTGCAGCTTTTGTCGGTTGTATTCTTAAGGCTGAACTTGATTATGATGATAAGTCTGTGTATTTTGAATAAAGTACTATTATATAAATACGATTAATATCATTGCCGTGACCTGAGTATGTACTCTGTAGTCGTATCTGTACACTGTACAACGATGATTAATTATCCCTTCACCTTTGAAATCTCGGCAGCCTTATAAATACGTAACAGTATTATCGCATTTACGACATAGTGCATTACGTTTTACTGCAGGCTACTCGTAGCGCTGAAACGATCAGTGCATGCCCGTCACTGCATGGCACCCGATTCACCCGATGGTACACTCGGTTGACCAGCGGTCAACGAATGCCGCTGTCATGCCATAAAAACGTTGAATTTCGTGAAACTGATCTACTATGCTTCAAGAATCTTTATTGAGCGTATTAAGGTTAACTCGAATACAAAAACAGATTCGATTTAACTACTGTAGCAATACAAAATTATAATAAAAACATATAAATTACACATACAAATTACGTCCCGTTAAACCGTTGATTAACCGGTTGACCTTTCCCATCCTTAATGGCCTGCTGGGGACCGGGTACCATAATACCGGTCGGTCCTTGATTATTCTGTTCACCGCTTAAATTAATCGTCACATTGACGCTGCCCCCGTTGGCCCGGGGCGGCGCATCCACCACGACCGTCTCACTGCCGCCCGCGCCGGCTCCGTTGCCCATATTAATATTGACCATCGAGGGCGGGGGTGGGACGGGGGTCGATAGCATGACGGACGGCTGATCCAGTTGCTCTTTACTGGGCATGAGATTACTCTCCGCTCCCAGACTGTAGTCGGGTATCAGCTGGGGGTTGCGAATCACCACCGACATCTGGTATTCGGGATTCTCGTGGCCGTTGATGTTGCTGCTGTACAGTGGTTGCTGGGCGGATTTCACGCCGGGATACAGGACCGGCGGGGGTTGGGGTGCGGCGGCCGGGGGCGAGTAGGGTTGGACGTGCGCGGGGGGCGGTGGTTGGACGTAGGGTTGGACATAGTCAAGTTGGGTGTCCAGAACGTGCCACTGGGGATAGTACAGACGGGAGTTGGAGTATTCAATAAATTGCCGTGAGCTGCAACAGGAACATTACTAATTTAGTTAAGTTAAGTTAAGTTTAATGGATTAACGTCCGCACACGAAATTCGAATTCGAAATTGCTTTCGAATTTTCGATCCATAGTAACAGACGAAGTAAAGCTAAAGAAGCACGTAATTCAAGTTACTTTTAGATGTCACAAGTTATATTTCATTGAATTTTTGTAGGCGATCAGCTGCCAGGGAAATATTAATATGATTTATTCACTATCCTAAGCGCGCGCTCATACAGGCCTGCACACGTGCACTGCAGGAGTCAATATGCAAATAAACTGTGAAGCAGTTGTAGTACGGTGGCATCTTTCCGCTCCGGTTCAAATTAACATTAAACATATCCTTTGACCTCTACTCGTAGAGAAGATACGCATCTGCACAAAAGTACATTGTATAACACATCAAAAATATTTTTATCTTGCACAATTTTGTTTCTGAAAGGTTTGCAGTAAGTTATTATTCCGTTATAAAGCTCTGTTCTAAAACGCTTTGCACTAAAAATTTTTTTGTACTAAGTTACTTTGTCGAGTATTATAAAGTGCGCGATGCGATGTTAAATGAACTGCAGCTGCAGCCCACTGCAGTTCAAAACAGAGCCAGCCGAGTATGGAATTTACAAAAACTGAGCATGTGTCACTTACAAAGTTTTCAAGAGCGCTAAAACTGAATAGCTATTCTATCATTATTAAAAAGCCAGCCCAGTGGTTCGTACCAGAGCTGTAACACATTAAAAATAAAAAACCAGGACCATAAATAATTACAACGCTATTGCCGGCTGAAAAATCTTCTCGCTTACTTGGGACAGTTGACATTATAAAACCAGTCGCACACCAGGGTAATCTGATTGAACAGTGTCTTGGGCGGGCAGAGATACGTCGACTGTTTACCGCCGACATCACACCGATGGTACACCTGGCAGTAGTGATCCAGATCCGCGTACAATCCCGGCTTCATGTGTTCACACGAGAAGTAGGTCTTGGGAATCTCCAGATAGGCCGGGAAGTCTTTGCCGCCGGAAGAATAGGCCACCACATCACCGGCTTCCTTGGCGGTCAGCGGGGGTCGGCCGCGCAGAATATCCAGGGCATCGAAAACTAGCGGGTTCTGAGGGGGTGGGGCCGGACCGTACGATCGGGGTGGTGGGGCGGCCGCGTAAACGGCCTGCTCCTGGGCCAGCGGGGAATTATAGCCGGTGTTGGAGACCGGGCCGGTGTAGTCGATGTTACGCTTGCGCTCGCTCTTCGCTTTGCCCCGACTTGACGATTTTTTATGGCTACTGGCCTAGAACAGCGAAACAGCGCCGTGTTAATTTAATGAAAATTACAATTTCCTTTTTTGCATATCGAAGAGCGTTTTTAAAAACGCTGCTAAACAGTTGCTAACAAACTACAGCACAATATACGAATTTTACAGCACTTGTGTTCCCGTGATCGACCGAAGCGAAGCGAAGGTCCTCTCTGTTCAAGAAATCAGGAATTTTGTCGGTCACGTCGGTCACGTCGGTCACGCATTAACAATTTTAAATAAAATATGGAAGAGCACACCAAAAATGATAAATATAAAACAAAAATACTTTTCAAATATAAAAAATGTATTTTTAAACAGTTTATTAAACATTTTAATCTTGGTTTCCCGCTTCGCTTCGGTCTTCTAGTGCAAGCCGACAGCGGTGCGCTTTCCTAGTATGGTCAACGCAGGTGTATACTGTATGCCATCATCTTATTTAAAATATACGAGTATAGAAAACGTACTTACAGTATAGCAGCAGCAGTAATATTACAGTACACTAATCGTTGACTTTACTTGAGTACTATAAAATTAATATACATACAGTAGATGCATTACGTCATTTAGCTTGTAAATGTACAAGAATTACAAAATCGTAACGCCTCTTTGAAAAAACAATGGTCCTTAGCAATTCGGCTAAATTCCAGAAACTAAAGAAATTTTGCACCAGTATTTGAAATTTCCTCATAAATGACTGTACGATATTACATATGTCGGCAAATGTACTTGCGCTTACTACGAGTAATACCATATCTATATTTTTATCTTGCTTTACCACGATATAAAGAAGTTGAAAATGCATACCGGGATCGTACTTGGTATTAATTTTGACAATCGTACCTAATTCGCATTCTGCAAGTCAAATTACTCGTAAATTTTGAATAATGGCAACGGAAAACATCAGATGGATGGAAATGATGGAACAAATTACATACAGTAGGATGCCCGTAGGAAAAAGACGCAATTGCAAAATTAGAAATCCGACCCGCGCGTCTACATACACGTGTACGTACATTATTTCTGTTTTATGTTAAAATAACAAATGGCATATATTATTAATTATAAGATCAATTTAAGCAGAAGGTTATGTCACATTTTCCTACTTCGTATAGTTAACACATAACTACGTCGTAAAAATACTTACCTGAAGGTTATGATAAGCGGCACACAAGACCGCGGCGACCAACAACAACCTCATCTTCTAAGACTTAATAGACGAAGGAGGCGAATCCTTATAGCTCCCAGTTCAATCCCAAATGGACAATTCGCAGTATCATAAACTTCCGTAAATCACTACCGCATCGACAACGTAATTCGGGCTGAATTCTCCAAACATACAAAAACACACAAAATAACGGTAGCTTGTATAAAAACAGCAGTCACGTCCGCCGGTCGAGATGTGAACTGTAACCAAGTGCTGTATGCTTTTATACGTCAACGTGCAGATGGATGACAGATGCGCGGTAATCAGAGAAGCCGGCGTGATTGCGTGGTGCAGTAGCAAGTGTCGGTTATTTTGCATATATATGATCAGACTCGCGCAAGATGTTGCATTATGCATATGTTGTGGAGACGCGGGTAATGTAATATATAGGCAGCCAATGACCACTGGCCAACCGGCGACGTACGCGCGCGTACGCCCCTCAAGTGACGCCGGGGTCGATTCGCACGCGGAATCATTAATATTGAGTGGGAAATATGGTAGTTTGGAATTGGACCTGACCATCTCATGGATCTCTCTCATAGTCGCCGATCATAATACAACTTCAAGTTTTTTTGCATAATGATCTTGTGCTTAGCATCCAGTTATGCGGTAGGCCGATGTAGCGGCTGAGTTTTCGCCGAAGAAACCGACTATCAAACTGAAACCCGACTGCACTGACTTCACGTGTTGTCTGATACATAATCATTATTAAATATTTTTTTTTAAATTAATTTTGTTTTCGCATGTCAAACATGCTGAAGGGATTTTCTCAGTGCTTGTGTATTTATTAAATGAATTTCGCAAGATTTAGTTCTACTTAAACCATTAATCCAAAGTCACAAGTCACAAGTCAGATGAATTTATACCAATGGTTGGCAGCCGCACTTTGCCATATTCCGTCTTCGGCATAATTATAATACACGAACGATGAGCATCGTAGAACGATGGCGTCAACTTGGGCCATCTTGCTTTTGTCGCTGTTACCGTTGAACGCACTGTATGCCAAATAATGTTTGTTTTATAAATTGTACATAATTTTGTGATAGTACACAACATTCGGTAATTTTTGGAAAAAATGTATTTTTTTGCGCCGAGTTTTGGCTAAATGAATTTCAGATTTGAATCAACAGGTGTTATAAGTAAAGCTTATTTCGAAGGCTTTTATAATATTATGCAAGTTCAAGTTGCAACAAAATGCGGCCGCAGGCTTGAAAAGCCTTAATTTAAAAAAAAAACAATTTATTAAAAATCTGAGCCGGTTCTATTTGGGTCGGACCCAACCAGAACCGGCGTCGTCTGGCCGACCGGTCCACTTTTTCGTTACGCCGCATTACATGAGCACCTTGGAAAATTTGCATAATCACTGTCAATGAGCCCATATCAGCAGACCCCGTCGCGTAACACATTAAGATCATTTTTCTCATCGGAACCCGGCTCACCGCGCGAGGATCACTCCGCTACAATACGGTGCAGCACACGGCAACTTGAGGTAGCCGGTAGCACGGCAGCTGTGCAGCGCAGTATCAATTTGCCGGTTCTTGACTGCAATGGCACTTGAGTGCACTTCCGGTTCCTCAAGCTGCTAGCCACTGCACGATATGTGCAGCGATTGGGCAAGAGACGAGCGAGGATAGTAGTCTGTGCGGCCGGTGCAGTCATCGATATACGTACATGGTAATTGTTTCACAACAACGCTGTGCTGTGCGCATTTCTCTCTGTTTCTCTCTGATAATTGGTGTGAGTAATTAGGATGATGACGTTCGTACCGGGTTCCTGTTGTCAACATAACAGTCTCCCCTTGACCCCAACACGCGTGCACCGGCTGTTGTTTCAATCTGACCCTACCGTCTTGACCTTTGTTAATTGTTCCGATCTGACTTGTACCGTGTGTGTCAGCCGCGTGTGGACGATGTTTATATATTGGATAATGTTGTCTGTGACGACGCTTTCTATAAGACAAACGTACTGACACTGCCGAGCAACGAGCAGTGCCAAAGTTACCGGACCATCAAATACGCTAACGGTTTGTCTGTTCTGGATTCAAGATCACTTCTGAAGCTCATCATCAAAATTTGATGCGGAGATGTGAACATTGCATTGCAGTATTACGTACTTTATCCGTTATCACGTCATATAAATCTATCGCAGTTCGTGATAAGAGTTTAGTGCTTACTGCTGATCATTTTATTCCTAACCATAAGATTGTTTAGGCATCGGACGAGGTTTATTAATAGTATAAATATAGATATTATAAGAGTATAGAGTAAATACGAGATATATAAATATCTGTGCATACGAGTGCATTTCTTTATATTAAAAAAAGGATTACTGTGTAATTACTAAATATTGCGGAAGGATTTACCTAATAGACTCTTCACTGAAAAGACACAGAAATTTTCTTTTAGAAAAATGTCGGGTTTCTTAGCGCTTAATTATTGAGCTCACGTAAAACTAAATTTCCGGCGCTTTGCATCGAAATCTCAACCAAATTAATATGGAATCCACTTGCAGTTTTAGACAAAATATAAATTTGATTGCTGTAGTTTAAAAAAGGCGAAGATCGACTGCAAGCAACTGTAGACAAGTACAAGTAAACTGTATAACGCCTAGAGATATTGTATTAAAAGTGACAGATTTTTGAAAAACCTCGAAATATCCAGGATGATCGAGACACTAGTGAATTTAGGTGGTATTATTTTAATTGTTAACCCGGTATTAAAATCAACCGGAAGCCATCAGGGGTTTGGTCGCCTGCGTATAGCTTATCCCCGTAGAAGCAGTGGATTGCCCACTAGTATAAGTATAAGCGAAGCCCGATCGAATAGTTGAATTCTTCCCAGTCCGCCATCGTGGAAATATAGGCGCAGTGATCACCTTCACAAAGCACTCACGAAAGTGCCGTTCAGAAATCAGATAAACAAAGAAAGTAAACGAATAACCCATGTACATTGCCGCATTCACGAACGGCGTAGCGAACTTCAGCGATGATTGGTCCAAACGGATATATCCGTTCTTCTGCGCGGTAAGAATGCCCGATAATATTATGATGGGGATTCTGGTGAGAAGATACAAACCAGCGCTGCTAAGTAGGAGAATGTTGCTACTGTAAAATGATTTTGCGTTGCGTGATGTGGGGGAACTAGTTTGATTGCCGATGTCAGTTTGTGCCGATTTACTACGTGCTCGGTTTAAGATTCCTTTCTGGCTGATCGTTGATCGGCGGTATCGAGCGAGGAAGCCAATCAAAAAAGCACTTGGGATCAAAATGAGAAGAAAGGTCAACAGGGTGACAACGACCTAGCAAACAGGGAATCACTCAATAAATTTGTATACATGCAACCCGCTAATGTCGTCGTACTAGTTAATATCCGCGTATAATTAAAGCAATGTGTTGCATCAAATAAAATTAATCCAAGATAAAAACCATATAATTATAAAACCTACGTAAAACTGCTCATACCTCTGCAATGTCGTTCTGAAATCTCCAACGCGCGACCCACGCCGGAATTTCCACGCGTGTTTGCAAGAAGTTAAATTTGAAATATCCATCCACAAAGGTCAACATCGAATCGAGCAAAGCCAACACCAACAAGATGCAACTGATAATTTGCGCGGTGGAATTCCTTTGCAGAAAATCAAGCCGAAACGGACTTAAAATGATCAGCAATCGTTCCCAGGAAAATGCCACGAGTATCCTGATGAATTTCAAGCATGCATAATTCGCGCATGTTTTAATTATTGTTCGCAAACGGTATTGTTTAAAATCAGCGACCTTACCAGTCAGCTAATCGCATAAGGGAAAACTGACTCCATGCAGTTATTCCATACGAGAGCTTAATACCAGCTTGGTTCTTCATTTGCCATGTATACAGTGGCCACTGGAAGATGTCGCTCAGGTCAAACAATCGCGACGGGAAACCAAGCCATCTGTAACAAGCATCCAAGCTTAAGCATCGGTGTTCGAGTTTGGCTGATGTTAATTATTACAAATTGCAGAGTACTGTCTGAACTGAAGAACAGATGCCTCTAAAAAAATCTTTGCTTATCGTTAGTTTGCATCCTAACTCTCCAGTCATTTTCTTGTTTTGGCCGCCTGCGGTGTTCGAAGGCGTTAAAAATCATGACCTTAAAGAAACGTTTAACTGGAAATTTCTGCACTGGACATCCACGTATATTAAACTCGATCAGGTACTGTCAAGCATCGAAGTACTGTTATTACTGTCAGCTGTAAATACGTAATCGTACTTCAAGGGAAGATTTGAAGTTAGGAGCAGTTGGTTAGCAAAGGTATAATACAAACTGCAGAATCAGAAGCTGTTTCTAATGCCGCAGGCTGTAGTTGCCGCTCACTTTCTGAATATCAATCACAGGAAATTCTTGATATTATTGTTCAAACTGCCGTTGGTGATTGTTCGAGAGTTGTATCATGAACCACTACATCCCGTAAAGGTCTTTTCGTACTGATAAACGTGTTGCACAAGAAACTGGGTGGTACTTACAGAGCGGCAAGATCGGCAACGCTTGTCACCAACATGTAGCACCGCGCGGAAGACTGCCATTTATACCGTGTGCGTAATATTACCATCAGATTTAAAGCATTACCCACGGTGCACACCACCAACAGAAATAAATAGACAACGTTGTAAAATATGTAAGCGCGGACAATTTCCTCTAAGTCAAACTGATCCCGCACAAACACTGGATCTTCCCGCTCATCGTCGGCGTTCCATGTGTTCCAGTCAGATAAATCATCGTGATCGCTAGACGTATTGAGATGTCCGAATGATTGATTTATCATGCTGGCATCCAATGGCGACTTATGCGACATGATTGAGTGTAATAAACCGCGGCGAATTAATTTTTTGGCTGAATGGCTTAATGGGCAAATAAATTGTAGATTTAATAGCTCTAAATCATTATTAAATTAAGCACAATCCAGCGCTTAGATCGTATCACATATGCTAGCGTTTTATGAAGCCATTCATTGGTTTAAATAGGTATTTAAATAAACGTCAAGAAAATGGTATACTTCGTGGTTAATGCATGCATTATAACTACAGCGCTCCAATATAATATGCAAACCAATTAACTATTAGGGAAAACATGAAGTTGTGAACAAATTTTTCCATAGAACTAGTTCCATATATATAAGTACCAGCTATGTAAAATTAATCAACCATCGATTGCTGTAAGTGTCCCCTGGCGTTTGGTTTTGTCATAACTTCGTGCTCGAAGCAGCGCCACAAATGCACCTAAGATAGCTAGCAGAAAACATGTTTTGCCTGTCAATCATTCCCAGAGTCTTCACTTTACAGAAATAGTTTCAACGAAGACGTAACGTTAACGTTTGCGTTTATATCGCTGTCATAACTTGAGGAAGACACCGGCTGCTGCTGTGATGTCGATTTATCCTTTTGTCACATCCACCTCATAGGATTGGTTGACTGGTTGCCGGAAAGCGTCTTGTTTTTTGGGGAAGCGGTGAAGTCGCCTTTAGGCCGCCTTGAGGATGACTTAAATTGAAAAGGAGTCCTGTTGCGCGGGAAAATGCTAGCTAATTTGTGGTTATGTGTAATGTGCGCTAGCTGTATTCGTTTGGCGATTCGTGAACACACAGTATTACCGGTAGGTTTTCACAGTGACCTTTGTTGAACATCTCATTTCTTTAGATGATAAAGATCTCACCAGCGTTTTCTTAAACATAGGCGTTTCACAGTGTAAAATTTCGCAGCGGTGGTTGAGTAGTTTGATTTTACGTTAAGATTACAATACGAGTAATAGGTATTACAGCACTTAATCTTTATTTTAAAAAGAGATACGCAACGTATCTATGTGTGCTGCACAGAGAGCCACACATTTTGAGAACCACACCATATCGTAAAACACGCGATATTACTATGGAAATTTTTAAGTGCAGAATCACTGCAGATACCGTATGTTATATACAAATACTATATCGAGAACCAATGCAACCGAAAGGTAATCAATGATCGATTTTATGACATACAGACTACTTTCCACCAATCAACAGTGGACAATTTACATACCAACGGTTTGACCTTTCTTTGTTAAAAAGATGCAATCAGAAACTCTGTTTGTGAACTCTCAGACAGAGGAAACTGGAGTCAAAAGCGCTTTGCTTGTTAAAGGTGACATTGGTGGCACTTTGTGATAGCGCTTATTTCCAGAAGAAGAACGACCATTGGAGTCTCCAGTACGGCGCTGCCGGCAGCGAGTGCAGTGGGCTAATATTGGCTGCACGATCAGTTTGACAAAATGCTGTCGAAACTGTTCATCACTTACGACGTAAACGAAAAACGTGAAAGTGTAGGCTGAATATATGGCCAGGTTGAAGAGTGGCAGAGAAAACATAAAAGGTGACTGGTCCACGTAATCGGCGGGATCTAGGAACAGGAAGACGACAAACGGAAACCGGGTTAGGGTATAAAAGGTCGCGCTGCCAAGTAAGATCAGATTTGTCCCGGTCTGTGAACGGGTGTTACGCTTTGTATTTGCAGGACTGGAATATGCTGTTGACGTTTTACTGCTTCCATTTGAGGTACTGCTCCCATGCACGCGTAAATGGCTGATCTCGGATTTTCTCTGATGTGCGAGGAATATAATCAGCGCAGCGCTTGGAAGAAGGATAAGGAAAAACGTCACCGGAACCGAAACAATCTGGATCAAACAGCAGCAACAGTCGATGAATATACCTATTGCACTTTAGTTATTAAATCCATTACTATGTGCGTTGAGTGAAATTGTACCACACTGATTAATCGTTACACCAAAAGCGTAAAAGCGCGCGTCTATCTTACGTCTGCCACGCGCTGTATGTTTGACCAGGTTAGTATCCATTTGGGCCAATCCGACACTGTAAACGCCACGAAACCTTGGACGTAAAGAAACAGAGAATACAACAGGGACACGACAGTGAGAATGGCAACAATTGTTCGTGCTGCAGTAGGCCGTTGGAGGAATCCGAATCGGAAAGGGCTGACAAGAATTAACAGTCGTTCCATTGCAAACACCACAAGTATCCTGCAAAAAATGAATAACAGTAACGCTTCTGTTACACGCATCTATTAATGTAATATTTTAGATTGCGTAACAAACATTTTAGATGATAAATTAGCTGCAATGTGGCAGAGTTATAGCTGATGTAGGCGAAGCGACGCGCTGTACTCGTAAGAAGCAGAATTATAATCGGCGGATACACAATTTATTACGGATAACTACAGCCTACCAGTCAGATAAATACATAAAGGTCAACTGCCCTCCTTGTAGCAGACAATTCGCAGCTTGGATGCCGTCTTGATTCAGTTCTACCCATGCGCCTAGTTCTGTTTTGAATATGGAACTGAGGCGGAATATCTGACGAGGAGCGCCTAGCCATCTGAAACACAAATGCAAAAAAGTGCCCCTAAAATGATATTTCTAGAGAGCGCAGAAAGGTGCATATAGGTAAGTAGCCGGAAGCTAGCTGACAAAAGGGCATACGTACCTGAGGTAACTCTGTTTTTACCCTTTAGTACGGCAAATAACAAGCCATGATTTGCTAGTCAAACCCGCTTTCTTGTTATGTATATACTAACACGCTATGCGTAGAAAGCGTGTATTACGTACGTACGTGCTGTGACGTACGTGTTCTCTGTTTGGTTACATACGATTGCTGTTCTTATCTAACGCATTTGATCACTAATTACATTAGCGATTCGGTTTGCAAGTGCAGTGTGTTGAGTCTTGATGAAGAAGACTGTGAAGTTAGCTTTTACTAGAATGTTGGTGTGACCTTCTGGTAGAAGTGCGTTCTGATCTGTTATTAAACATTTGGGAAGTTCCTGAGTGTTTCGGTTTCGGTAACTTTCGTTAGGCACATCCGCTGTACCTAGCGGAAGTAGAGTTTGTTGTGTACGACCACTCATCGGAGTCCAGAGCGTATTCCCACTATACCGACTGTGTATGGTTGGTCATCGAGTACGGTAGTCGGTGCGACTTCCGTATAGCATGTCATGGCGCCCACCGGATTTTAACAACCCTAGGGAATCTGGATTGTCTGGTGAGTGAGTGGTTTCTTTGGTTGGTTCTGGTTGTGTTGGTTGGCCACGTGGATCCTCAGAGAGTCCCGTGAGGCACGGTTCCTAAATGAGAGCCACGTGCTAGACCGAAGTTTGTTGCCGCAGTGACTTCAGAAGGTCACGCGAGGCACGGTTCCTAAGTGCGAGCCAGGTGCAGGACGGGAGTCCATAATCTGTTCTTGTACTGTGAATAGGTACGGTGTGTACTGAGAAGTCGTGGCGTAAGCCCTGTTAATTGGACAGACTTACTTACATCCGGGTACATTGACCTGGATCTCGTGTCTTGTCTGTGCTTTGTCAAGCAGGTGAAATGGATGGTGTACTGTCTGAACCATCAGCATTAACTGCTGGACAGGAGAATGGCAGAGAAGAGCCATCAACTGGTCAAAGCAAAGCATCCAGACGAAAAGGGATGATTAAAGTTGACGAGTTTGAAGCCATGCTGGAAAAGGCGGATTACTTAAGCCCGCCTACAGTGCAATGGTTTCTTCCTGAAGATGAACAGGTTGGTGAATTTTGTAAGAAGTGGGAAATTGTTCTTCCTCGTACTGGTGAGTTAAGCCAGGAGTGGGTTGAATATGACCTAAATGGTGGTAAAAAACCAGGAGGCTACGATCAGTGGATCCAGGCAGGGAGGAAGATTCCCGCCCGTAGAACGATCCATTTGACCTTGCATGATTACGATCAGCAGTACGGCACTGAACTGCATGAAAAGTGGATGCAGTATCTTGCCCGTAAGAAGCCAGATACTGCAGCAGACAGCAGCAAAGCAGCTCGTCCAGGGTCGGATGCGAAGCAAAGCGGTGGTGTGCAAGCTGCAGTCAGTGAGGGCAATGTACTGTCAGCCAGTGGCGTGGGTGGTACTGCGAAGGATACCGCGGTAACTCAGCATCTGGACCTGACTGAGATGAATAAGGTATTGGAGCAGATCAATAATGCTCCAGATTATTCTGTTGTAGTTTCTCAAGATGATAACGATGTTGATTTAGAACTGGCTGCTGTGGGTAATCAGCGTGTAAAGACGCTGATGTTCAATACAGTCAGAAAATTGGCAAAGAAGGAGATGAGTCATCAACCGCTGCCGTGGTTGATCAGTTACGTAATGAATTGGATGCAGAAAAGGCCCAATTTCATGCACTCATTTCGAAGCATGATGAATTAACTGGAAAGTATAACGATTTAATCGAAAGATATGACGACGCTGTTGATCGCCATAATGATTTGGCTGATCAGGTGAAACTGCTTGGCATAATGCGTACGCGAGATGCAAAGTTGATGCAGGACGCGTTTGAGCATGTTAACAAAGAAAGCGAGAAATTGCAACTGGAAAAGCAGAAATTCCAGTTAGAGAAGCAACAAGCACAGAAAAGCTTTCAAGAGGGCACAGCTGCCCTGAATAAAAAGTATGAAAAGTTTTGGCTGAACAGAAAGCTTTTAAAGATTCTGTGAATAAGTTGAAAGTTGATAGGGATAATAGACGCCATTCAGTGACTGATGACGTCATCTATGTTCCGCATGTTGAGGCAAGTCGTCGCAGCGAAGTAGTACAGGATGCGGTTGATCCTATACGAAAGCTGTATAGTGCAATTCAGAAGCCTGTTTATGTGGTCAAGGATAACCACAAGCTGGAGGAGTTTCTGGATTTGCGTGAACGTGCTCATAATATGCAGGAATGTTTGGGTGAGTCGCGTAGTCCCTCACCAACGATATCTGAAGTCAGTACAATTGCTCTGGCCAAGATGGAAGCAAAGGTAGCTGAACTTGATCGTCGATTAAAGCAACAGGAGACCAAGGGCGGTAGTACTGTTTCTGCTCCATTCGATATGGAGAAGTTCACGAGTGCGATGAAGGGTGCGTTCAGGATGGATACGATGTATCCTGAAAAGTTCGACGGGAAAACGGACACTAATAAGGTCGAACAGTTTATCCAAGGTGTGGATAACTGTAAGAACCACAACAGTTGGTCTGACAGTGACGTCATCAGTAAGTGCCTGTCGCGCTGCCTTACTGGTACGGCGCTTACTTGGTACTTGGATAAGTATGATTCAAGTAAAAAGTTAAAATGGTCCGATTGGAGAAGATGATCCGAGAACATTTCTCGGATGAAAAGGATTTGATGGCCGTTCGCGATAAGGTTGCTGATCGTCATTTCAATAATGACGATACTCCGAACTCCTATGTTGACTGGTTTACGACATCGTTCAAAAAGTTAGACTTGAACGAATCTGAACGTGTCTACTATTTGAAGCAAGGTTTGAAAAGAACCGATTCAGCTGGTTCAAGTACATGGAGGAAAAAAAGAGTGACAGATGTGGAAGAGTTTTTGTCAATTGTCAGAGCTGAAACTGCAGTTTAAACTGCGAAATAGTAATCCGGGTTCGGTATACTCGGATGTGAAGCAGTTCAGTGGCAAGAAGCCAAGTGATGCTAACAGCAGTACAGATAAGACCGTTGTTAATGAGTCGAAGAAGTCGGATGGAACTGCAAGTGATAATGGTAAGCAGGTTACCATTAATTACGCAAAGTGGTATTTCCCAGACGGGCAGCCTATTTGTTTCAAGTGTCATGGTGCGCATGTGGGGAAGAAGTGTACCAGCACGGAACCACGGAAGCCGGTGACAGTTGAACCGCCTGATCATGTAATTAAAGCTTACATGATGAGAAAGTCCACAGGAAAAAATCCCGAAAGTAACAATTTGGGATTGTGTTTAATGCGTAAGCCGGAAGTTAATTCTTTCGATGTGCAGGTGAAGTGTGCACAGGAAGTTGCTGCACGAAACGAAACTTGCAGTAGGGGCGGAGCCGCCCAAAGTCAGTTCGGCTCGGCAGGCCGTTCAAAGGGTCACTCGCTTCGCAGTGGGAGTGCTCAAGCTCATGAAGGTTGGCGTCAGAAGCAGTCAGGAAGTGCTTATGTAAAGCGCTTAAAGTTCCTAATTAAAAATTCCGAAGCGGAAATGAAACGGGATGAGAAAGTAAATGTGAAATTGTTTCACATTTATCGTGGCACTGTGTACCGTAGCAAGGGCGGTAGGTATGGTAGACACCGTGTTGTCGTACCGGAGGTAAGCCGTCAGGACTTGTTACAAGACTGCCATGATAATTGTCATGCAGGTGGATTGCATGATTGTTGGTCAGTCCGTAAGCATATTTTGCGGACTTATTACTGGCCTGGGATAAATTCTGATCTATGGAAAATGTCAGAATGTGCGCACTGTCGCGCGCATTGTTAAAGTTGAGATTGCAACGTCGTCAGTCCGCCGTTTCTGTCACAGGTGTGTTGGCAGAAAACGTGCGTTTACTTGCAACTGCAGTATTAATCAGCAAAAAGGGGATGCTGATTGTGATTATGATAGATAGTGAACGGTTATGGATTATGACTGTTTATGAAATTGAAATTAAGTGCTTGCCATGAAAGTTCTTTATGTTTTCTGTCGTAGCCGCTGGTGTAGCGGTTACGTGAAAATAAAGCGCTATGCGTCGGTGCAGCGTTCGCAGTTTTCGAAAATGATATTAATAAATCATTTTGAACTTTTGCAGTTGTAAACTGTACAGTTTACGGTTTGTTCGTTTGAGAACTGGATGTGTTCAATCCAGTTCTAATCAGAATCCTTGAATTTATTTGGATGGTGATGGCTGTAATGGCCAGGTTTGCTTGATCGTTGCAAGAACCATACGCTGATGTTGGTTCTTCTGATCGGTTGGATACTGATTTTGTTTGATCGTTTGACTGCAAGTGCAAACTTGCAGTGGGGGTGAGTGCCAAGAAAAAGTGGAAAATAAGTATCCGCTTTGTGGTGCACTGTGAAGATGTTGTAAAACGGATTTTATTTATCCATTTTGATTCGTGCTGTTGATTGATTTTGCCAGTGTTATCAGAAATTCTGCTATTTCTGATGTGTTTGGCTTGTTTGACTGTGGATCCTCGAGCTCTGTGGAGAGAGAGGATGGATGAAAAACTTCATGGATGGAACGGACGGAAAAACTAACGTTTGGACGATGATGATGGACGCGTGTGGAACCAAGAACTCTGGAGGACTTGGACGGATTGCCAATTTGGACCGCTCCTCGAACCCCCGTTACACCCCGGATTCCACACACGGATAATGATGCCCTGGATATCCAGGATGACGGTACTTTTTTCCTGGATTTTGAGTTTTTGTTTCACTGGTTCTGTTCTGTTTGTTTTGCTGTTGATTAACGCGGACGTGAATTCCCTGCAGTGGGGGTAACACGCTATGCGTAGAAAGCGTGTATTACGTACGTACGTGCTGTGACGTACGTGTTGTCTGTTTGGTTACATACGATTGCTGTTCTTATC